AACGATACATGCATTTCACATGCAATCACTGCCAATTACGAGTTGCTACACGTCCAAAGCATGACATCAACGGGGTCAAAACGCCTTGAGCTCCCCACGCCGGAGTCAATGGCACGACACCCATACTCGTAGGGATCCCCCACCCACGCTGCCCCGCCAACATGGAGCTATTCGCGATGAGCCCACCTGCATCCAGTCCCCCCCGGGTTCAATTGCTAGCCCTGGAGCTATTACGGAGTATCTGCTTGCTCTGTTCAGCAACTGCTCAATACCAGGGTGTCCAGCACTTACAGTGTCCAAGCAGGCAGAGGCAGACAGAGGCAGACTGAAGCCCCTCCAGATCCCTGAGCTACACTAAACATGCCGCATGGAGCTACGACCCAAAGCCGTTACGACGGATCAGATATGGAGCACGCCCGTCTCCCAGATGGCAATCTCTCAACAATTTTGCACGTGTGCGGCCCAACAATATGCCCCCTGGCACAGCTCGTTGCCCAAGCATGTGGTTCAGCCATTGGCTACCACCGTGCTCCAGAAGCTCGTTCGCGCGCTATCCATGATCTGAAGCAGTCACAAGCCATTGCGAAAAGACAATGATCCCTGCGCTCCATCTCCATCTGGCTGAAAGCAAGCGTTTGACATGTGATTCTGGGTTTGAGTGGAATAGGTGTACTGTGTTCAACTCTGCTCGACGCCAATCGAACGCCCACCACAGCCGGCAATACGCGCCTCTGACCTGCGGACGGGCCTATTGACGGACAAACTGGATGCCCAAAGATAATGCCGCCCGCTCTCAAGGTGGGCTGTCAGGCCTGCTGTAACCCCAAAAGGGGGTTCGCTTGCGTCGAAACAGCCATGGACGTACCGGAGTTGGAGTTGATGCATGCACTTGTACACGAGTACAGTACCTTATTAATGATACATGTACCTACATGTCTGGACAGAGCCGTTTTCCCTATTTATCCTCTTGTCTCCTTCTCCTCCTCGTTCCTCGACTTGTTCTCTCTCAGTTCCATCTTCCCACCATTTTCAACCTTTCCCTGAAGCTGGGTTCAACACATCTTTAGCTTGTCATCAATCTTTCCCTCTATTCTCTCACTAGGTAAAATGAGAGAATACCATGGCTTTTCCTGTATGTTCCCCAATGCCCCTCTTCCTTGCCATTGAAAGGGCTCATGTGCTAACCAGACACTCTCTCGTCTCCAGGGTGGTAACATTAACATTATGCCTTTTGGCACCGAGATAAATCCTCTATATGCTGGAATAGCAGCCACTCTTCTAGGTGGTATTGCCGTTTCAGGTTTGGTTGCCTCACGAGGCATCGGACAGGACAATGATACGCCTGGGGTTTTCAGGTCCTTTGTCCTGTTTTTTTATTCTTGCTTCATCAAACCCCATCAGGGCGATTCCAAGGCTTCCCAGCAGGACGCTCTAGAGAGCTTCTACAAGAAGCAGGCCGGGGCGTATGATGCCACACGCAAGCTTCTTCTTCGCGGCCGCGAAGACATGCTTGCTCTTGTTGCTGCCCAGCTTGAGGCGAAAGCCAAGAGTGCTGACGAGAACAAGACCAAGCGTATTTGGGTCGACGTGAGTATTCCCCATTGCCTTGTCTGGATCGCATAGCTAGACTGCGACGAGGATCGAGACAGCCGAAGCTAATCAACAAACCAACAGGTTGGAGGCGGCACTGGCTGGAACATTGAAGCCATGTCCCAATTCGTCGACGTCCCCAATTTCTTCTCCAGCGTTTACCTTGTCGACTTCTCTCCGTCTCTCTGCGAGGTAGCAAAGAAGCGTTTCGAGAGGCTCGGCTGGAAAAACGTTCGCGTCGTCTGCCAAGACGCTCGCAAGTTCCGCCTCGAAGACTACGAGACTGGCATGTCCAAGCAGGTCGCTCCGAGATCTCCTTCTCTCAGCTATCTCACCCAGCAGCGCCAGGATTACGGCGGTGCTGACTTGGTTACCTTTTCATACAGCTTGTCTATGATTGTAAGTCTTGGTCACTGAAAACAAACTTCACTTGGTTGAAGCACCAACTAATTCTCGCGGCAGCCCGACTACTACTCTGTTGTCGACTCTGTGAACTCACTGCTGGCTCCTCATGGTATCATGGGCGTGGTTGATTTCTACGTCCAGAACCAGACTGACTACTCTTTCCGCAACTACACTGGTGGCCTTGTGGATCGTCATGTCAACGTACTGTCTCGAAACTTTTGGCGTGCCTGGTTTGACTTTGACCGCGTTGGCCTCGAGCCTGGCCGCCGCGATTACCTCGAGTACAAGTTTGGCACTGTTCTCAACTTCAACTTCCGCAACCGCACTCTCGGCTATATCCCGTACTACGTCTGGGTTGGATGCCACAAGAAGCCCTTTTCGCCGTCCAGTCTGCCTCATGAAATCATTGAGCGTATTGACGCGCTGGCTACTGAGTCTCCCTACCTGTACCCTGCCAACCAAGGAGATGCTCTGACCCGTGCGATTGAGAGATCCGCACCAGAGATCCGCTCCAAGGCCTTCATCACTGCGGTCCAGAACCTGTCTGCCAACCTGCCTCTCCCCTCATTCTTCTACCAGAACCACCACTGGCGTATCTACTACGACGATAGGCTCCAGAAGCACACCCAGTTCAATGACGAGTACATCTATGCTTTCACCTGGGAAGATGCGCGTGTCGACGAGCGCCTGCTGAAGCTTGGCCCTGATGACAAGGTTCTCGCCATCACCTCTGCTGGAGACAACATCATTTCCTATCTTGCTCAGAGCCCTGCTCGTGTTCACGCCGTTGACCTCAACCCGACTCAAAACCATCTTCTCGAACTCAAGGCTGCCGCGTACACTGCTCTGCCATATGAAGATTTCTGGAAGATCTTTGGCGAAGGAAAGCACGCTGATTTCCGCAAGTTGCTCATTACCAAGCTGTCTCCTCATCTCTCTGGCCGCGCATTCCAATACTGGCTCAAGAACGTCCATGTCTTCCACAACAACAAGGGCTATGGCCTCTACGATACTGGTGGCTCTCGTCATGCCATTCGCGCCTTCCGCTGGATTGCTCGCATCTTTGGACTGCAATCTACCGTCCAGAAGCTCCTCAGTGCTCGAACTCTGAATGAGCAGCGAGATATCTGGCGCAACAAGATCCGACCCGCTCTACTCTCCAAACTCATCTGCAACTTGGTTGTTGCACAGGAGAGCTTCCTTTGGGCTGCTCTCGGTGTCCCCAAGAACCAACTTGCCATGATTGAGAATGACCACGCCAACTCGGATATCGTGAAGCAGGGCAAGGCAAAGAACACCCGCTCTCATGCTATCTGGCACTACATGGTCAACACACTGGACCCTGTTGCTGAGGAGACCCACATTGGCACCGATAACCCTTACTACTACGTCTGCTTGGATGGCAAGTTCTCTAAGAAGTGCCACCTCGAGTATCTGCGCCCCGAGGTCCACGCCAAGCTGTCACGCCCCGGTGCTCTGGATGGCCTTCGTATTCACACTGACGAGCTTGAGGAGGTTATTGCACGCATCACCCCTGGCACCCTCACCGTTGCAGTCATCATGGACAGCATGGACTGGTTCGACACTGGCTCTCAGGCAGCAGCCGCTCAGATCAGCAAGCTCAACAGGGCTCTCCAGATGGGCGGCCGTGTGCTCCTTCGTACATCTGCTTTGAGCCCCTGGTACATCAAGGTTTTCGAGGCTCACGGCTTCACTGCCAAGTGCCACGGCTCTCGCGTCGACGGTGCATGCATCGATCGTGTCAACATGTATGCCAGCTGCTGGATCTGCACCAAGACTGAGAACTTGCCCCCGCCTACTCCTGAGTTTGACCGCATTGGTGGAACTGATATCACCAGCCTGACCATCTAAAGCCTCGACGGAATTGAATGGGATGGGTAGTGATTGAATCATGGGGGTATCGTCCAACACTATACCCAGGGACTCTGATGACATGGGATAAAATGGAGTGTTGATGCATGTAGCATGAAGATTGATAACAAATAAATAAAAACTACCTATCAATTGTATGATTTTTTTTTTTTTTTTTTTGACTGTTAGCAATTGGAGCTTTTGACAAATGTAGTTGTGTAAACTCCATTGCCTTGGCCGTTGTCAATTTTTCGCAGTTGTTTCCTGCCATCCATAGAAACTGTGAAAATGTCCTACGTTTGAGACAGAGAGTGGGACAAAAAGTAAGACACAAAATAATAAAAAAGGAACTCTTAAAAGAAAGAAAAATGGAAATAGGGAAAATTTTTTGACAATGCAAAAAGAAGCCAAAAAAAATGTAACTCTTCTCCGGGGAGAATTGTTCTCCGGGGACGGAATCGAACCGCCGACTTTTCGATGAGATGTTACCCATTACAGTCGAACGCCATGAACCAACTAGACCACCCAGAGGATGTAGAAGAGTTGTTGGGAAGCTTCTGTAATTGGTATATCAGCTTTCGCCTGCGGGGTAAAATTTGGTGGAAATTTTGTGTGGGGCGAACTGGTGGAGATTTAAAGCTCGTCCTTTGTGTGCTCTCTTTTGTACTCCGTATGTAGTTGCGGGAAGTGGTCCAGGTAAGAACTCAGTAATGATTTCGCAGTAGAAATTATTCATTGAGGGTTCTAGGAAACAGGCTCAATTATCGTAGTGGAAACTCTTGAAAGAGCAATAGTCAATGGCTAGCCAATATACGATGCTTGAAGGTTAACAGCGTAGAGAGGAATGCATAGAAGAGAAGTGGGCATGAGCTACGATGCAGCTGCTGTTCATATCAGTATCATTTACAGATACAATGGACATTCAAAAAGCAATTGCACAAGCTCCAAAGTGTCATGGTTTTGCTTCTTTTTTAATCGTACTTCTATACAAGCGCTCACAGCCTTCTTGGCCCAAGTAGCGCATAATATCAGTTACACAGCCTGCCTCCAGACCCAACAATTCCTTCCCAGCAGACAATCACAAGATATCAAGTTTTTCGTCCCTCCTTCTTCTCTTTAAGCAAGCATCATCCTTATGCCTTCCAGATCTTCTTAATAGCCTCGGTAACGCCAATATCGTTGGTCTCAAACTCGTACAATCCCACGCCGACGGTGACGGTCGCCACATTCAGGCCCCACCAGAAGATCTTTCGCAGGCCAGAGTAGCGAGTCTTGGGGATGTAGTCGATGATGACGGACTGGAAGCCAATGTGAGAGTGCAGGAGGATGGCGGAGCACAGGATGGCGTCGGTGGTGGGGTTGAGGGAGCCAGCAGCAAAGGGCGCAATGGAGAGAGGCACGAGACCGGCGGCGAGGAGGCGCTCAAAGGTCCAGTGGTAGGAGCCGTGCGCGGCGCTGGGGTTAGGAATGGGGACAGGGTCGTTGACTGTAGCCTCGTGGTTAGTTATCGTAGAGGTTCGACATGTGAGAGCGCAGCATGTTGCTTGCGCGCCGTACCTGTGCCCTCAATTCGCTCTATACAGACGCCGTATTAGCAAGATTTCAAATCGTTTTATCGAGTGGCTGAGGGGTTCTTACGAGGTCCCGGAGGCAGAATGGCAGAGCGCTGGGTAGAGGTGTGGAAAGCCGAAGCCTTGATGGCGTTGCTTCGGAAGGCAGGCTTGGCGCAACGAGCCGCCAGCGCAGTCTGCCGCAGCAGAGAAGGTCGCACAATCGATGCCATGGTTGACGAAGCGGAGATGGTCGGATTCGCGATTGCAATGTGAAATGGCACCCGGACGCTTCGCGCTGGCAGAATCACAGCTCCAGCAAGATCGGTTTCGGGATGACGGGCAGGATGGACGAAACTGAAGCGGATGAGGTATTGCCGAGGATCTCGAATTAGGAGCTCCGTGATTGGCTGAGCCGGTTCCGAAGCGTGCCCACCGGGGCGCAACAATGTATTTCCGCGCTAGGAGAGGCAGGGTCGGTCTGATTGGCTGGGCCTTTCGATATGGCATGTGAATTTTTGTGCATTGGCAGTTTGGCAGTATCAAGGTGGGATGAGCTTTTGGTGAAGATTGATACTTGATCTTCCACCCGTGCGGCCACAACCCAAGGCTCAAGAATGTGGGCATGGTAATTGAGGGAATTTCTTGCTTTCGGTTTCAGCTCGTCGGTGGCCCTTTGGTGGGCTTGCACCGTTTGTAATGGCTCCTCAAGCCGCGATATCGAAGGCCCTGCTCGCATTGCGATGCGCCGGCTCACGACATGGCATCCGACAATCATCCTGGGCCCTGGGCCAAGCTCACAGGGCGCGCGGCATAGCGACATCATACCTGGAAAAGGTTGCCGAGGGTGAAAAGCGATGGGAAGAAAGGGCAGTCAAGATTCAGAATGGCGAGCTGCCGCATGTGTGGGACGTCCTCGATGAAAGAGGCTACATCAAAGATGTCGCAGGGTATGTTGTCGGCTTCGTCTTGCACCTGCGCAAAGACATGCCTTGTTCAATGTCTAATCAATCTACATAGAACTCCCGACAAGATCAAGGAACTCATGCGAGTCAAACGAATAGGCGCCTACGTCGGTGTTGATCCCACGGCAGACTCGATGCATGTCGGACACTTGCTTCCCATGATGCCCCTCTTCTGGCTGTGGTTCCACGGCTACCCAGCTGTGACTCTTCTCGGAGGCGCGACTGCTCGAATCGGCGACCCATCAGGCCGCTTACAATCTCGCGAAATCTTGTCCAATTCGGATATTTCCAAGAACGTCACCAAGATACACTACCAGCTGTCGAGGCTGTGGCACAACGTATCGGCATTGAGGGACAAGTATGGCTACGAGAAAGATTGGGCCGCGAAGCAGCGCCTGCTCAACAACAGCATGTGGCTGCAGGGCTTGACGATGTACGACTTTACCAAGAGGCTCGCAAGATATACCAGAATTGGACCAATGTTAACGCGCGACACGTGAGTCACTTTCACCCTCTTCCAAGCTCCAGGTTTTCTTTATTTATTTCTCCGATGCTAACTGTTTGATGTCAGTGTCAAGAGGAAAATGACAGAAGGAGATGGCATGTCTCTGGGCGAGTTCATGTATCCCCTCTTCCAGGGCTGGGACTTCTGGCACATGTACCAAAAGTTGGGCGTGCAGATGCAAATCGGCGGCTCCGACCAGTATGGAAATATTGTCGCTGGTATCGATGCCCTGAAGATTATTCGGGAATCGGAAGAAATGCCCGACATGAAGATTCCTTCTACCTGGACGCACGAACCCGTCGGCTTCACTGTGCCACTACTAACAGATTCATCCGGCGTCAAGTTTGGCAAGAGCACGGGGAATGCAGTCTGGCTAGATGAATTCAAGACATCGCCCTTTGAGCTCTACGGCTACTTTATGCGACGACCCGACGAAGATGTCGAGAGCCTTCTCAAGCTTTTCACTTTTATGCCGATGGCCAAGATCCAGGAAGTCATGACTGAGCACCAGGCCGATCCATCAAAGCGCCTTGCCCAGCACACGCTGGCATTCGAGGTCCTGTCCCTCGTACATGGCTCTCAGCGGGCCGTGCAGGAAGCCCAACAGCACCAGTTCCGTTTCGGCGGGCAACTTCCTTACTTTATCAAGGAGCCAAGTCCCGAGACAGGCATCTTGACGCCAAACACGGCGCCGAGGAAGGATATTGAGCTTCCTCAATCTGTGCTGAAATTGTCACCGGCAAAGATCCTTTACGCAGCCGGCCTCGTCAACAGCGCCAGCGAGGGTCAGCGCCTCGTCTCCCAACAGGGTGCTTATGTTGCCGCCCGACCTGGTCAACAACGTGGTCTCGTGCCCGGGAACCTCGATTGGACGCCCATGAAGATGTGGTTCCCCGAGGAAACGGCCAAGTTTGTCATCGACGATAAGCTGTTGATTCTGCGAAAGGGCAAGCACAACATTCGAATCATTGAGCTCGTCAGCGACGACGAGTGGACGGCGAGCAAGAAGATTTACCCCGGCCAGCCGTATACTGGCATGATTCGACAGGTCAAGGAGCAGCTAAGAGCCGAGGCCGAGGAGAAGGGCGAAACCTTGTCCGACAGGAAGATTGTTGTAGAGCTTAACCGGAGGAAGAGGGAAGAGTCTGTCAAGGTCGCAAACAACCCCAATATCGAACTGCCGAAGAAGGTGCCCGCATACCTAAAGCGCGGCAAGGTGAAGAACGATGGCACTTGGAAGCGATAGACGGATGATTTTGAACACTACTGTATGCGATTTCATCGCGCTGTAACACTATTTGGGGAGAAAAAGAAGGAAGGAAAAATAACATGTATGATATGATGTGATGGCGACGTTATAGATTTTATGAGCCTAGAGGTGTATATAATGATACTATATTACTCCCATAACGCCTTGTGGAATGAATCAAACAAACATTACCTGTAGAACACCGTGATGTCACCCCTAGGAACAGGTAACATCTTGAGCTTGTCCATAACTTGATCATTAGTTAAATTCTGCTCCGTCATAATTTGATCCATATGATGGCATCCATCTGTGTATTTCTGCAGAGGATCGCCGCCAGCGAATGGCCTGCTCTGCCCGGTGGCGAGCGAGGCCAAGTATTGCTTTGAAACAACGTACTTGTGCACGCGATAGAGGCAACCTTTGATGATGCCGAACTGTACAAAGCGGCGTATGTCGATATAAGACATGATTTCAAACCCAGCCTCGCGGTGGATCATGATCCACTCCTTGATGCTCTTCCCCGGAGAAAAGGAGGCCATGAAGCGGATGAGGAGGTAGTTGCTGACCCTGGCCCTGCCATGAGACACGTAACCGGCGCACTCATCGACGATGCCGTCGACGTTACGTATGAAGTCGTGTATGCCGGGGCGAGGCGCGTAGCACGAGCTGAAGAAGAAGATGTCGAGGAGGAGGATGGTGTCGTAGTAGAGCAGGTGACGGATGGCGATCTTGGCGAGGTCCAGGGAGACGGAGGCCTCGTGGGCGATGCGGCGGACGTCGGAGACGCCGTCGATTTTGGCGACGACTTTCTGGAGCGTAATGTCCCATGTTGGGTCGACGATTTCGGGGAACTTTGTCCTGGCGACGGGGACGTGCCAGCCTTTTACGGCGGGGGGGTTTGCGTGGTGGGGGAAGAGCTTCATGTTGATGGTGTTTGCTTCGTCTGAGATGACTATTAGCGGTTTGCTTAGGTGATTTAGATGAATGCGTTGCATCCGTGTGAGGCTGATTGATGACAGTGAAGATGAGATGACTTACCAACCGGAATCATGCACTCGCCGTAATTGTTTAGGTCCTCTTTGACAATCTCAAGCAGACTCTCAATGGGCCTCCGCACGCCGTCGCCATCGGGGCCTTTGGCCTCACTGAGACTCAGATACTCGTTCTGCTTCTCCATTTCGGCAAACGTCTCGGCCAGACACCTCACGACGCGCTCATACGGCGTCTGATCGCAATCGGTCTCGACCAGCAGGCCGAAGTTGAAGATGAACTCATTGCGCATATACTTGGTGTGCGGGATGACGACGGGAAAGCCGAGAATAGTGTACTTGCCATCAGGAGAGTTGATGGTTACATATCGGTTGCAAAAGGCCTGGCGAGGGATGATGTACTCTTGTAAGACGTCGAAGTCGACGAGAGGAGGCTCGTTGTCCGAGGCCGTGATGCAGCCTGGGGGAGCCTGGGCAACGATCTTGGGGCCTGAAGGGAACAATGGATTTAGCGTTTACGAAGAATGGGGGTGTGAATTGTGAGATGGAGAGATTTAATGTACCTTCTTGGGGGAAGAATCGAGCGTAGAAGATGCCTTGAATCATGGTGATGTCGGCACGTTCATGGCGCAGCGAGAGACGTCTTTGCTTGTAGCCGCTATATCATGTCGGGCGGGATGCAAGGATGTGGTGGTTTATATAGATTTACAGGGGGTTGCGCAGAAGCAGAAGTATTTAATTGCGCGAGTATGTTGAGACGAGATGAGTTGAGTTGAGTTGAGATGAGTTGTAGAGACGAGGTTTGAATAAGCTTCCAAGCTTTGAGGCAGTCAATCAAGGTGCCCCGCTAAGCCGCTAGAGCTTCAAGGCTGTGGCTTAATTGAGGGCAAGTATAGCTTATAAGTACCTATGGATGCATCTACAGACAGCTGGCAGACTATAAGAATTGGGATTTTTTTTTATTCGAGGAAATACAAATTTCTCTGTCTGTATGTCAACTTGGGTCACAATCTATGGACACCGTTTGGTAGGTAGACAGACAATGCTGGTTGCTTTGGCCCGAGGTTTGGGATCTGGCTATGACAGGACCAACGCCTGGCGGATCCCCGGGTAGCTGAAAGATGGCAGACCAGGTGCAATAACACCGATTGATATTATTGATTACCTAGTCTAGTACAAAGATCAATCCATGTCAATATCATCTGACAGCTGCCAGGTAACCACCGGCCATTACGCGTATGCTTGCGCTGAGTTGAGGTATGTGGCCGTAGAAGCCAACGGACTGTGATAGAAGCCCGCGGTGATTACACGGGTCGCCGGCTGCTATTGGACAGCTGCATCCGTCCCCAAGTCCTTTGCGCTTCAAGCTTCAAATCATACGCGCGCATTGCAATCAGCACATGTTTGTCTCCCTCTGATACCAACATTAGCCCGGAAGCAGCTGCCTTCACCCGCTGCAGGCAAATCTACAGTACGCGACGCCCGCTGAAGACACTGGCCGATCATTCACTGCAGCGCTCCACAGTCCACAGTCCATCGGGTTGATTCTTTGTCCATTCCATTCAGCCTGCCCCACCACGCCGCGGCCTCAGCCTCTCGCTATCGCATTATTAACCACCACAATCTCGCCACAGGCCTCTCCCACTCATCCAATAGCCTGATCATCAGCCAACCTGCCGCGCCGCTTCAACATCCCCGGCACGCTCTCTCCTCCTCCTGTTGCCGAGTCGATCTGACAGATCTGCCGTCTCTCTCGGCACTGCCCGTTTCTCTCTCCCTCTCCCTCGCCTCCCCTCTCTTCTCCCCGCACAACTACCCGCTTCGTTTGCCTCGTCATGGCCGACAACGCAGAGGCGGGCGGCGATGCCCAAATCACCTTCCGGGTCAAGACGGCGCAGGACGGCTCGCACACCATCACCATGGCCGAGTCAGCCACTGTCTTGGACCTCAAGACGAAGCTGTCGACAGCCGAGTTCGAGAATGTTCCGGTTGAGCGACAGCGCCTTATCTACTCGGGCCGCGTGATGAAGAACGACGACACGCTGGCCACGTACAAGATCAAGCCCAACAACACCATCCACATGGTCAAGAGCGCCGCCAGCAACGCCGCCCCGGCTGCTGCTGCTGCTGCCTCGACGCCCTCAGCCGTGCCAACCAACATGGCTTCAGGCACCGCCAACAACCCGCTGGCAGGCCTGACTGGCGCCAGATACGCTGGTCACCAGATCAACCTCCCCGGCATGGACATGTTTGGCCCCGACGGCGGCGTAAGTGCTTCTGTTCTCCTATTCTCTGCAATCTGTTCTCCTTGTTCTCTGGGAGGTGACTTGACTGACGCTGTTGGTGGTGGAAATACAGATGGGTCCTCCCATGGACGAAGAGCGATTGTCGCGCATGATGGCGGATCCCAACGTACAGCAGTCCATGAACGAGGCCCTCAACAACCCCGATTTTGTCAACATGCTCATCGAGGCGAACCCCATGTTGCGCAACATCCCCAACGCTCGCGAGATCATCACATCACCGTTTATGCGACAGATGATGAGCAACCCGCAGATGATGACACAGGCGATGCGGATGCAGCGGAGCATGGGCAGAGGCGAGGCAGCATTCCCTGCCCCTGGCGCTACAGACACAACCCCCGATGGTGCGCCCGCGGCAGAGGGTGCAGCTGGCCAGGCAAACGCCCAGCAGCAGAACCCTTTTGCAAACCCGTTTATGAACCCATTCATGGGGGGCGCTGGCGGTGCCAACAGCCTGAGCATGCTGCAGCAGCTGCTGAATATCCCTCCTCCGCCCGCACCAGCCGGCACCCAGACTGGTACTGAGACAGGAACGACAGAAAACAGAGGAGCGGCGGCAGGAACTGGAGGCAACACGGGCACAGGCCAAGCCCAGGCGGCGGCGAATCCCTTTGCGGCTTTGTTCCCGCCGCCCGCAGCTGGGGGGGCCAATCCCTTTGCCATGAACCCCGAGCAGTTCCAACAGATGATGCAGATGTTCGCACCACAAGCAGCCGCTGCTCCACCGGATAACAGACCACCCGAGGAGCGCTACGCCGAGCAGCTCCGGCAGCTCAACGACATGGGATTCTACGACTTTGACCGAAACGTGGCCGCTTTGAGACGCAGCGGAGGAAGCGTGCAGGGTGCCGTCGAGCACCTGCTCGGCGGAGTCTAGAGACCATTTGATTGAGCTCTATTTTATACTTCGCGGCTTCAGATTTAGGATCAAGCGTGGATAATGGAAATGTCGACATGTTTGGCTCATGATGGCCACAACAAGCGTGAAGCTTCGGCTTTGAGCGCGCCATGCTGAGCGAGGAGGTTATGGACGTGGGCCTCTTTTTTTTTCTTATTACTTTATTTTCAAGGACTAGGCCTCGAGAGTTTGCATGGCAACTGGGCGCGATTCACTCAATGTATTTTTCTGCTTCAGTGATGGTAATGACAAGTATTTGTGTATAAGAGAAGACGCCGCGCGATGATGGCGTCGTTTGACGGTGAAATTTGCCCTTGAATCTGTGCTGTTGTTGGGCTGTGGGTGTATGAGGATGAGGACGAGGATGAGAGCAGCGGTGTAGAGGTATATAATAATGCATAGCATCTGGCAGAAGCAGACATGTGTATATAAAAATGCAAGACAAAATCTCATTGATAAACGTCACATCTAAATGTCTTCGTCAAATCGTATTCCCCCAAATCGAGTATAACAAAACTCGGGGCCTTCCCCCCCATAATAGAATCTCCAAAATAAATTCGGAGCTGGGCGCTTTTCGGCAAACCGCTGCCGGACTTGGAGATGCCTCGGCTTCCCCGCCGGGCGCCAAACAGCGTACCCCGGATTTATTCATTTTTGGGCCGGGATTTGGGCTTACATTAAACGGTTTCCCCAATTCTTGTCTGAGAGGCTTGGACTTTCTTTTGCTTCATCATATATTACGGCTTACTTTTTTGTCTGCACGCATATAAGACTCGAATTTTCCTTGGTTCAATTGTAATCGGCATTTTCTCTTCTCTTCTTTTATTTATTTTTCATCCTTTCGGCTGTGCAATTGTCTTGTCTTTGAAGAACGCCCAACATGCGCGGCATTGAAATCCAGAAATACGTCAAGGTAAAGCAGCCAATTAGCCTTGCGCTCCCTTTTCTATCTATCTATCAGGGGCATCTCAATCCCATTTATCCCCCCCAAGCAAAGAGAGAGAGAAAAAAGAAGGCTAACAATTTCTCACCCATGATTTGCAGAGCCCTGCAGAGCTCAAGGTAACGGATCTGCCCGATCCCGTGCCCAAGGACGACGAGTATGTCATCGAGGTGCACGCCGCCGCGGCCAATTTCTTCGATATCCTGCAGGTTCAGGGAAAATACCAGAACCAGCCGCGTAAGTCAAACATGGAAAATTTCGGATTTCTTTTTTTATCAAAAAACAAAAGACTAATCTTTCCTCTCACAGCCTTCCCGTGGGTCGCTGGCGCCGAGTTCGCCGGCACCGTCGTGGCCACGCCGCGCAAGTCCCGGACGAAGCCGCGCTTCGCCGTCGGGGCGCGCGTGTTCGGCGCTGCGCAGGGGGCCTTTGCGACGAAGCTGTGCACCAAGGAGGTTGCGCTGCTGCCCGTGCCCGAGGGCTGGTCGTTCCGCGATGCCGCGGGCCTGTTTGTGACGGCGCCGACGAGCTACGGCGCGCTGGTGGTGAGGGCGGGCGTCAAGGCTGGTGATGTTGTTCTTGTGCATGCGGCGGCGGGAGGAGTTGGGCTTGCGGCGGTTCAGGGTAAGTTTTGTTCTTTCATTTTTTTTTTTTTTTGAATCGTGATTCCCTTTGATGTGAGTGAGTGAGAGAGAGGGTGAATGAGTTTGAGTGAGTGGGATGAGTGAGGGTTGCCACATAGCTTGTCTCCCCCCTTATTCGACTCAACTCAACTCAACACCCAACTCAACACCATACACACACATCACCACCATCATCACCACCACAAGCTAACACAAACCCCCTCCCAAAAAAAAGTCGCCAAAGCCTTCGGCGCAACCGTCATCGCCACCGCCTCCACCCCACGCAAACTCGACATCGCCAAATCCTTCGGCGCCGACCACGCCGTCTCCTACGCCGACCCGGACTGGCCCGCAAAGGTCAAGGCGCTGACCCCAAAGTCCCGCGGCGTCGACATCGTCTACGACCCCGTCGGCCTCGTCGACAAGTCCACAAAGTGCACCGCCTGGAACGGCCGCATCCTCGTCGTCGGCTTCGCCGCCGGCGCCATCGAAAAGGTCGCCATGAACAAGGTCCTGCTCAAGAACATCTCCCTCGTGGGCATCCACTGGGGCGCGTATTCTATTCATGAGCGCGAGACTATTCCCAAAGTGTGGGAGGGCATTATGCAGCTGGTCAAGGAGGGCAAGATCAGGGGCACTGAGTATACGGATGAGGAGTTTGTTGGGCTGGATAGGGTAAAGGATGCGCTCCTGGCGCTGGGAGGAAGAGGAACCTGGGGCAAGGTCGTCATCAAAGTTCCTCAAGAGGGCAGCAGTCGGTTGTAACGGGACAGTTTCATGATCTAAGCAAAAGGGCAGGCAAGGGAAATGGAACTGACCGCAGGCCATAATGCACTCCCCCCTAATTCAGCATAACTCATGCTTCATGTCTTTATTTCAGCACCCCCCACATAGCACCTGTCAATTCTAATAACATCTCTTTTTGCCTCGCTCACGCAAATCGCGCAGGCTCGTCATCCAAGTCATATTCTCATTACTATGCCCAAGTCGCATGGCCACTCAGTTTCTTCAAAGCGCCCCCCCATTCATCAGCTTCTGGAAAGCGTCCATAACCTCCTTGTCCACGTTGACTGCCCAGTTCTCTTGGAAAACTGCCTCCCCTCCGATTCGTGCAACGACATCGTGCAGCCTAACCTTGACAAAATGCAGTGCATTCACACAATGGATCGGATCCTTGTGCTGGCTCTGCTTCTCCAGAATCATCTTCGGGGTATCATACTCAGAAACTTCAACCTCGTCCCCCCAAATCAAACAATCACTGCCGTTCACTTCGCTTCCGTCTTGGAGATCTATAATAATGTTCGTCCACAAATCCAAGTAGTCTTGTAGTTTGTCCAGGACCAGCTCCTGCATTGGTGAACCAAGTTCCAGCAGCCGCGTCAAGCCGAGGAGATAGAGCTTCTGACGATCTATGTTGTCCATCTTCGCTTGGTATGAAAACCATCCCGCGGAGAGCCAGCTCCACACTTCGTTGACGTTTCCAACACTCCCGAGCATCTGCACAAACAAGTTTGGCTCAGCCAGTATTAGGCGAGCAAGGATCGCAAAGTAGTCGCCCTGCGTGACCGTGTTGAGTTTGCTCTGTCTTCTGTTGGGCCCAGTAGTCTGACTGGCCTCCCACGCATCATGAAGATTAGCCATAATCTTGTTCATGAAACCGGTTTCTACCATGTCTTGAATGATGACTGAGATCCCCTCGGCGCCCCCTAATTCGGCCGCAGACCGGATGAGGAGTTCAATGCACACGGTGCCCACGCGGACATGGTCTCGGCTTTTGGAGTCCAGAGTGTTGCTCAATGCCATGAGCGTCGGTCGTCGAAGTCTGTCCTCCAGCATCGCTGCGGGCGCAATCAGGATGTAGGATTCAATGGCTGAGATTGCCAGGGACACAATGTCAGATTGATACTCTAATAGCGGGAGTAGCAATTCGGCTAGGTTGACGAGCTCTGGGGCAAGAGGGGGGTTGCTTTGCATGAGGATGGAATTCCAGAGCTCCAATGACTCGTCAATGAGGTTCAGGTGCAAGTCTGACCCTGGCCTTGCCGCTTCTGCCAGCAAGGGAAGCATAGAGCCCTGGTAACGCTGCGATTCGGGGCCCATGCTCATCACGAGCGCTGCAAAAATGGCAATCACAGCCTGTTTGATCATGTATTCTTCTGTCCCCGAGGCCTCCCACACCGAAGGCAGGGCAACCATGAGCTGGTCTCCAAACTGTCCTACCTGTTCCTCCATTCTCGTCACCAGGATTCGGATCGACTCAAGGATGGCTAGCTTGGTCTCGTCGCTCTCCACGTTTTGAATGAGCTCTATAAGGTTCTTGAGAACATCCGATGTGTATGGTAGAAAGGCGTCGACGCTGAAGTCGATCTCGTCGGCAACCCACCTAAGCTGTCTTGCCGCGGTGATTCTCACTACAACGTCGTTCGTCTCATCGTTCGAAGAGAGGAAATGCTGGAAAATCTGATATACAACCGGTCTGCTCGCTTCGCCCAGCCTGACTGGCGCCCACAGACTGATCAAGATTGCAATACGTCGCCGCAGCACTTTGTACAGACCACCTTGCTGCTGGGCATCGTTGACAATGGTCGAGGCCAGTACCGTATCAAAGTCAAATGCATTGACCACATGCGCCGCTGAGAGGCCCATGGCGGTATAAACTGCCTCCTTTGTAGCAATGTCTGCTTGAGGAGATTGCGCCGTCTGGAAATACGACAGCAGCGGTGGCACTAGAAGCTGCTTAAAATTTGTGAGAAGATCCAAGAAGAGCTTTTCGGCGCATGGGCGGACTTCCCATTCGTATGCGCTGCCTTCATGCTGCTCTTGTTGCTCCCAGTCTTCCGGATCCTCTTCCCAGGCTTCAAGATCAGATCTACGGAAGACAAATAGGTGTGTAATGATGGTGTTGACGATTTGGATCACCAGGTCGTCTTTGAAAAGTTCCGTCCTGACTATATGCTTGGCCTCTTCTTGTTCAGCCTTTGTCTCTGGCGTTCGGTACTTGAATGTCTGTACTGGCTGGAAGGCAATTCTCACGCAGGCGCGAAGGAGCAACAAGCCTTTCAGGGCAAGCTTTTCCATTAGAGGCCCTTCTGTCTTTGCCTTGGCTCCAGCATCCCCAGAGCCCTGACGAATGCCTCCTGACTGAACAAAGATTTCGGCAAACTTTGAAATGAGATCCCAGTATGCATTAACCAGGGATAGCGAGTTGGGGAGGAAGGCAAAGCTGGCAGCAAAGTGCTCGGCTTGGTCGATATGGAACTTGGCAAACTGGAGAAGATGCTTCCCTACCAAGTCCTGGTACGGCTGTGGCACAGCGGAGTCGTGGTTCACAAACCCAAGGAACTGGCCAAACTGGTTCTGAGACAGGGTCCAAAACTGGCTAACGGAGCTGTCAGCGTGAGGACGCAGGTAACCCACACTAATGAGGCGACGAAGCGTCTTGAGCGCGGAGAGACTGTTCATCATTGCCAAATTCGCCTCGTCACCGTTGCCGTGTCCGGTGCTCAAGAAGTTGATCCATGATGCTGATTTTTCAGAGTATATCTCGGACAGAATGTATACAATCTCGGGCGTGATGGATTGCAGCGCCGTTTGCGACCTCCTAAGCCGAGCGCTTCCCATTTCTTTGATGACCCGAAGCAACACCACCAAGGTGCCGTAAAGATGATGTTGATTGGCGTTTCGAGTGGATCGAAGGAGGTTGATGATGCTAGGGAGGGCCTCTGGCCACTCTTCTGGATAATCGATCCGGACCACCTTGGCAACGACCAGGGCATTGTGCAATGCAAGATGCCTCTCTTCCTCCTCGACAGATCCCAGGAGCAGGCGTGACCGTATCAAGTTCTTCTCCTCGGGGGTGATACCGCTCGCCTTTGTGCTCGCGTACAACCGCCAATTCTTATCAATACCGTTCTTGATCTGTATAATGGCCAGGAATCGAATTTCGAGGGGGAGCGACTTGTCGAGGAACACCGACTTGGAGTGGCACAAGATGTTAGCACGAGGCATGCAGCGTGGACAAACAACAGCCGTACCTGCAACGACGAGTAATACCCAGCCTGTGATTCCCAGGTGACGAGCTGCTGGCCGGCGGCCTGTCGCTGGACATGGTCCGAGGACGAGGTTGCGGCGTGCAACGTGCGGCAAAGCTCTTGCAGGGACAAGGGAGCCGCGTCTCCTGGCACTTCGATTGGGAAACTCATGGCTGCTGCCAACGCCGTTCGAGACGGCGGTCAAGCTGTGGTTCGGCGGCGGCGAGGCTCGGGCGATCAGATGCCGTTATGGGATTGTCATGTATCGTGCTGAGCTCATCAAGGCGGACTGCCGGTTGACGATGCAGGAGGATGTATGTACGAGTAGGTGCTCTGGTGATGGTGGGGCTGAGTTTGTTGCTGTTTGGCGCGGGAGTTGCTTGGAGGGTTGGAGGGGTAGCAGAACAGCACCAGGCAAAAGGATTGAGGCGAGGCGAGGCTGCAACTGGCAATGTTTCTAGGTTCCAATTCGCCGACTTCCGTTTACCAGGAGACAAGAGTTTCTCGTTTCTTGGCAAGGCGAAATAATACCAGTCTTATACTCTTCTTTATTATTAATAACTTAGCCATTGTCTAGGCCGGCAGATCGAATAAGACCTTGCAAGTGCATAGGTACATACATGTACTTGGTTGCAGTAGCCAGCCGAGAGCCATTTACAGGCCGTTTACAGCGAGGACCCTTGAGCTCTTTAGCGCCCAAACTGCCAAACTATGCCCCATACAGCAAAAAGCTCCCGCCACGACAAGGCACAAAATCTCAACCAGCATCGTCTCAAAGCCTTCAATTCCACTCACCGGGACAAGCCAATTGCGTCAATGCGATGATCCGCTCGCGCACATCCAGGCTCGCCGCCGCCGCCCTCTCCAGGCCCAGGAGGCAGTGGACGTGCCCGGCATGCCTCTCCAAGCGCCAATACTCCAAGCAGCCTGAGAAGCGCGAGCCGCCCGATCATCGGAAGCTGGGCCACCAGCAGGAGCTGTTCATGACGTCCGTCTACAGCCCCGGCTCGCCCATTTTCTTGCCAAACGGCGCCCGCATCTTCAATCGGCTGGTGGACTTTCTGCGGAAGCAGTACGTGCGCTATGGGTTCCAGGAGGTCATTACGCCGACGATATATAAGAAGTCGCTGTGGGCAAAGTCGGGCCATCTGGAGAATTATGCCGAGGACATGTATGCCGTGACGGGCAACAAAAGAGCCTCGGACTTGGAGGGGGCCACGGGGTGTTGTGGGACGGATCACGCCAAAGACGAAGCTGCGGCGGAAGAAGAAGACGACTATGGCCTGAAGCCCATGAACTGCCCTGGACACTGTCTCATCTTCGCATCCAAGCTGCACAGTTATAGAGATCTGCCAGTCAGATACGCCGACTTCAGTCCCCTCCACCGAAATGAGATATCGGGTGCCTTGTCGGGACTGACCCGGGTGCGTCGCTTTCACCAGGATGACGGTCACATCTTCTGCAGACCAAGCCAGGTCGAGGGAGAGATTAAGAAGACTCTGGATTTTGTGAAGACGGTATACAGCGTGCTGCGTCTTGGCGTCAGCTACCGCCTGGCATTGTCTACAAGGCCAAAGGATCATTATATTGGCACAGAGGAAGAGTGGGCGCGCGCAGAAGATAGCCTGAAACGAGCCCTGGACGCTTCAGGCATGGAATGGACCGTCAATGAAGGCGACGGCGCCTTTTACGGCCCCAAGATCGACATTGTGCTCAAGGACTCTGAGGGGAAAGAACACCAGACGGCCACCATTCAGCTAGATTTTCAGCTACCCAAGCGATTCGAGTTGGAGTACCAGGCACCAGCACCCGAGTACGAGGCCCGTGGCGAGACAACTGACGATCCGGAGCTTCTGGCCCACTATGGCCCTGTTCGGCCGGTCATGATTCATCGCGCAGTTTTGGGATCTGTAGAACGGCTGTTGGCGCTTTTGATCGAGAACTATGACGGGAAATGGCCCTTTTGGCTGAACCCGAAACAGGCCATCATATTGACAGTCAACACATCAGACCCAGTCATAGAGTGGGCTGACGAGGTGCGCAATATTCTCCTTGGCAACAAGAAGCTGGAGGCCGATGGTCTACCAGCTCTTGAGAGCCTTTCGGGGCAAACGGGCCTGGCGGTGGATATGGACACGACGGCGAGATCCCTGGGGACCAAGATTCGGGAGGCACACGCGAGTGGCTATGGCCTTGTCTTGGTAGTGGGCGAGCAAGATGCCAAGAATCAACAGGTCAGCCTGGGCAAAGAAAGGCTAGGCCCGCTTGAAATGCGCGATAGAATGCTTCGTATGGTAGATACATTTGAATGAACAACTCTCTCATCTATTAATCCCATCCAACCACGCCATATAGTAACCTGTATCCTTCTATTATATCTCTCCTCCCCGCTGGAATCGGTATCGCAAGCTCGTTTTCAATCCTCAAATAAACAATCGATCTGGAAGGTATACATCAATACTTTTATGAATTCGTCGTGACAGCACAAACTGCACATGAAGGCTGCAACTTCAATGGCGCTCCTTGTGGCCCCCATCACGCGCTGTGGCGCCTACTCTTCCTTGCCGTAGAGGTCAAGGGGAGACAGCTCTCGCTTCGTAATATCTCGCTCGTTTCTCGACGCTCACCAAACGCAGGGGCAGCTCAAATCTTGACCAGCCCATTCACCGGCCGAGCCCTTGTCCCGACCGTGAAGACCTTTTATCGTGTCAATACCTTGTCACAGACACTGGTTCACGTCAACGGTACACTTACTTTTTATACTTGGGATCAACGTTGCCGCCTGCCTGCTCGATACGGTCGATCAAGAGCTGTCTCTGCGTAATCTGATCGCGCATGTAGTCCACGGTGCGCTTCAGAACCAGTCCCTCTGAGCGACCCTGTCCTTCCAAGCCAGGCACGAGCTCGGTGAGCCGGTCGAAGCCCTCGCGAATGGCCTGGCGGCGCTTTTGTTCTAGAGATCACGACGTTAGCCAGGACTTTGCACGTGAGGGTGGGCGGCATCGTCTCATGTACCTGATGCTATGTGGTTCTGCTTCTTCTCCTCCTCTGTGAGCCGCGGCTTGTCGTCTGCGTTTACTGCCGCCGCTGAGGGCGTGGCCTTGTTGGCGTCGCCGGACCCGGAAGTTTGACTTGGTGAGGATGACATTTTGCGCTGGTCATGTGTTGATGCGATAAGCACATGTGAATGCCAGTGCGCATAGCGGAGAAGAGAATCAATCAATGCGGATCACGCAGTAGGAAGAGCGCAGCATGAAGAAAAAGAAAGCGAAAGAGATGCAGCACGCGATTCCAAAGAAATGCGCCGCTGGGGACTTTATTCTATCGACGTGGTACGATTTCCTGTCGAGCTGCGTTGAAATGCCATTGTTGAGATGAAGGATCACATGCGCGGCGCGTGCAAATTAAAATTGGCAGTGGGAAGAACAAAGCCACCGGACACCAGGCCTGTTACAGCGCTAGAAGAGCAAGGATCTTGCCCCAGATTCTCGGGGCCGAAGTGCCGGTCCCTGCGTCTAGCTCCCCCAAGAGCGGCGTCTTTTGGGGTTGCTTTCCTTCATGTTCTTTTGTGGTGGCGGCGGAAGGCGTTTGATTCAGCAAATCTGAGTGCTTTTAGCTATTGAAAAGCAGTGGTTTATTTTTACAATGCCTTCTGTACTTCAAAAAGCGTCTAGTCTTTCCCCTCGGGTTCTCTCTTTACCACACCAAGTTACTTCATGCTGCCCCTCAACAAGCCGCGTCTCATGCCAAGCATCCGTATCAGTCGACCCTGAGACTCCCGATTCCGTACCATGGCGCCAATCACATGCTAAACTCTTGTTGCTGAGCTTCCGACAAGGACTATACGTAGACTACCTAGAAAGCCCCCCTCTTCGCAGGCAATTCTCATTGCAATTGGGACACAGTGACTGAGTTGCGGCCAATTTTGCGCACAGAGTTGTTGTCAGGTGCTGGCATAAGCTGCTTCAGCCTCCCAAGGCGGCCATCTCAACCAAACCGCGTCTCACTGTCACACAAATATACGCAGATGCTGTTCATGTTCATCCAACGAGCGCCTGGAGTCATCTCAATCTCATACCAAGCCGCTAACACTCCTCATTCTGAAGCTGATCCTTCATCGTCATAATCATCCTGATCCTGCTGGAAGATGACCTTTTCCGCCAATGTCAACGTCTTCTTTACGGGCAGTCCGATTACATTGTCAACGCTCCCCTCAATCTTTTCCACCAACAGCATTCCAGCAATTCCTTGGATGCCGTATCCACCAGCCTTGTCAACGCCCTCTCTGGTCTTAACATAGGCCTCAATGACATCGTCTGGTAGCCCGTTGCCCTCCTCCCAAAAGTAAACCTTGGTCTCTTCAGTATGGCTTTGGATGTCGTAACCCGGATGTCTTGCGTCCTCTCGAGGGGCTAGCACAGACACCGAAGTCAGCACTCTATGCATGCGTGTGTCGCGCAGGTGCTTGAGCATTCGCAAGTGATCGGCTTCGCTCCGGGGCTTCTCCAGAATACGCCCGTCACGAGTGACAATGATGGTGTCCGCGGCTATAACAAGGGCAGGATCAGGGATAGAAGCAAGATGTGTCTCCAACGTGGTAGTGTAAACGTCAAGACACTTGTTACGAGCGGTAGTTGCGACGTATTCCCAGGGGCCGTACGTCTTCTTGTCAAGATCTTCCGGCTTGTTTGACGGAGTAATCTCCAAATTGGTGAGGCCCATCTAATTGCTGGTGTTACTTTGACGCTGCGCTACCATGCCGCTCTCATAATACCATACCTGCTGCAGAAGCTGTTTCCTCCGCGGAGAGGCAGAGGCTAGAATTACTCTCTTTGAATTGAGGTGCTTAATAATGGGAAGATCCAGGGGCTGCAGTGGCCTGCGCATTGATCCGGCTCTGGGACGTCCGGCTGGAGGCGCTCCTTGGCCGGAGGCAGCATCTGGAGGAGTGTCGCCTGGAGCTTTGGCGGCTGACATTGTGAGAGGAATTGGGAGATGAGGGACTTGAGAGATGAGATGAGATGATCGGATGTACACTGATTGCTGCGGAAGATTGAGGCAGCAAGGCGGTATAGCTTTTAAGGAGCCCAAGTCGTCATTAATGGTGGGGTCTGCGGTTTGACCCCACCGTCCCAAGCCGGCATTGACTTGGTTGATGTTTTTGCCTTTGTTGGGCGGGATGTGGTCGCAAGACAAGGGAAAAGAAGGGAGTAATTCGTTCAATAATTGGAAAAGTACAGGGTGTTGGAGGCCATGGCAATTCAGACCTTGATTGCATTATATAATCTGACGTAGATTGTTGGCGTTTGTCAAGAGGCTTTAGTGCAAGCGCATATACATAGGTACAGGTACAAGTACGCAGCTATGATGAGGTGGAAGCTAGGGGGAGTATTAGAGCCCGAAGCCAATTCATAGCACTCAATCAATGCTTTATTCAACTTCCATGTTTATACACTCTTATGGTATTGATAGTTATGTCACAACCGTTTAAGTTTCCATTCATCATCATCATGGTTGTAATGTGAACAATAGAGAGAGAGAGAGAGAGAGAAACCAAAAATAAATTGCTTTGTTCTATAAGAACAGCTCCCTTATTTTAGCTGCCGCAACACAATGAATGCATCGCCGATTCATTCATTCAATGCCAACTGACAGCCGCAGCTGAACCAACGCCCGAATTCTTTGCCTTAGGCCGCCGCCTCACCGCCGAATCGGGACTAGCCCCAGCCGCGGTACCTGGCAACTTGTACTTTTCAAGGTACCGTTCGTCGCACTCAACTCCCTGTTCCCGCGCCCTGAAGGGAAAAAGCCAAACCCTCTGGACTAACGACTCAACCGTCTGCAAGTCTGCCATCGCCGCTGCGTCTCGTATCCGCAAAGCAACGCAACGCAAACAAGCGTCGATATTGTTAGCAGCCAAGCATCTCCACTGCCGAGGATAAGCACGGGATAAATCCCACAAGCCAACGCCGCTCCGTAGCAAAAGCAACAATAGCGCGCCGCCGCCCACTGAAAAAGCATCCATCAACACGCGTCAATCCACGCTGGCGATAGTCGTCGCCGGGCCGTGGTTTGCGACACGGGACTCAAGAAGCCATTGAGCCCCCACGACTGCGCAGGAGGTCCCCCGCGGCGGACGGTAATGCGCCTGCGGTAACGCTCACCATCCAGACCAAGATGGAGGCCAAGAGAAAGGCAAATGGAGCGAGCGATGCAGAGGACCGCACTGCGAAGCGCCGCAGAGTAGCTGTGAGTAGTGGCCCAACCCGACTCTATGCTCGAGACTCTACAATCCATCCGTCCATCTCGACGGAGTTTTACGCTGTCCAGCAGAAGAGCTTGATGCGCCACCTGCATTGTTCGATTGCGTGCACTTTGCGTGCACTTTGCGCGCACGGCTGAAGCTCTTCTTACACTTGCATATCGCAGATCATCTCCGCGCTAACACCATCCGTCTCCGTATAGCAAGATTTCGATCTTTCCAAGGGCGAGTCCCGCGAATCGACCACTGCGCATGGATTGGTTTTTCTCGAGCAGATCCGTCGGACAGCCGATAAAAGGTATGCTCCTGCTGCTGCCGCTGCCAGAGATTTTTATTTTCTCGTCACAATGAATCCTCTCACTAACCCTGTCCTGAAAGTGGTCGCCTCGTCGCAACATACTTTGAAAAGCTCGTTCCACGAGAGACCAACCCCGACTACTACAAGAAGACGCGATTGCCGATTTCTCTCGAGACCATCGAACAAAAGCTTATCGATGGCGACTTCAAGAGCCTCGCAGAGTTGGAGAGCTACTTTAAGCGGATGATTGCCAATGCCAAAGACTTTTACACTCGCGGATCGCAAGTTTTCGATGACGCTGAGCGGGTTCGCAAAGCGCTGAGCAACTATATGACCAAAACGAACCCTGCATACAGTAACCGCTCTTACCAAGCTGTGCCTACCCCGCTGCCGCCAGAAAACGACGAGGAAGACGAAGGGAACGACGATGAGGAAGAGGAGGAAGATGAAGATGCTGAAGGAGAGGATGCCGAAGGAGATGAAGACGCCGAAGGAGAAGATGAAGACGCCGAAGGCGAGGAAGAACCTGAAGAAGATGAAGAGCCAAGGTCGAGACGGAAAGCCATTATTCTCAAGCGCAGCCGTACGCGCAGGAGTTCAAACAACGAAAGCTCACGGGCACGCTCGCCGCCAAGTCGTCCCGACCACCAGTACGAAAATGTACCGTACAAGGGCCTTACTTTTCAGCAAGCTCAGGAAAAGATTGTCGAAGAACTTTTGCGGCACCAGGAACCAGAGTGCGTCAAGCCAACCTGACCCGCAGAATCATAAAGTTTTTACTGACGCGGCTCATTTCCAGATATGACGATGCCTATTTCGAACCCTTTATCAATCTCCCTCCTCGGGCTTTGAAAGATTACTACAAGGTCATAACTGATCCTTTGTCCATCAAGAAGCTGCAGAAGATTGTCAGAGGCGTGCAAGGACGACACGACGCAACAGGGGTTAGTGAGTTCAAGAGCTGGAGCGCCTTTGAGGAGAAAACAAAGCTCCTCTGGACCAATGCCTATTTCTACAACGAAGAGGGCAGCGATATCTATGTGCTAGCACAAGAGCTTGAGGTGAGTTGTGCAGGATTTCCTAATTCACATGCTTCACAAGTCTTACAATGAAGTTAGAAATTCTTCTATGGCCAGCTCAAAAAGGCTCAAGCTGCCGTCTCGGAGCCATCGCAGCCGAAAATCAAGCTCAAGGTTGGGCAAGGATCCGAAACTCCTGGCTCGTCCAAGAAGATTACCATCCACGTTGGCGGACGTGACAGCTCCGTAGCGTCACCAGCACCTCAAGTAGCCCAATCATCAGAGGCCAACGGCACGGGCAATGTCAACGGCGCCGGGCAGCTTTCGGCCAACCTCGAAGCCCCTCGGAGCGTCTCGGCGTCAGCGCCGTCACCAACGCCTTCATCGCAGGTAGGCTTGAAGGTGGAAGATGGCATTCGGGCATCCCCAGCGGTTGGAAATATGCCACCCGGAGCGCCTGGACAGCCGGCTGTGCGGCCACCTATTCCCGCGATTCAACCCCTGCCATTCCAGACTAACCCTCTCGTGAATGGTTATGCGGATCAGAGAAGATTCCGCCCTGCTGGCAAAGGTATGCTTGTTTATGTCGAGGCCGCCATCTGATGGGAAGTGCTAACTGTGACTCAAGGAATCGACAGTGCGCTGATTGAAAAGTTGCGAATTCAAACACATCCTAGTATTCCAAATGAGCGCCCTACGCTACTCACCATCTTGCCTAACGCAAAGGAGATGCAGCAGTCGGCAACCATCAACCTGCCGCCAACGCAAACTCGCATCTGGATTGTCGCGACGCTGCCAACCTTTCTGCAAGACCGCCAGTACAGCCTCTGGACTCTAGTGGACAGGCAGCCCTGGAAGCAGCTGATGCAGCCCATCCCCAACCAGACGCATCATGAGCGGGCGTTTGATGTTATGTTGCATCCTGGGCTCAATGTCATTGAAACTCATCTCATTGCCGCAATCCCCCGACAGGAGCGAGAGCCGGGCGGGCCTGAGGTGGAGCTGGAAGTCTTTACCGTGCTCATTAACGTATCGCGGCCTTACTAGACGCAATAAAATCTTGATCAGCGGGCGTCGTTCTAGAACAGGCATGGTTGTCCGCTCCCGCCTCAGTCATTTGGGGTATTTCTCGGACATACGGAGTACCCGGTACCCCTATGCAACTAAGAAGCATCAAAACGGGGAGATGGATGCGGGATTCCGTATGTCCCGAACGATTTTGAGTAGAATGGGAAGGACTGATGGTATAGTAGGAGTTATCAGGCAGCGGACTCGACAAAATCGGTACTATGGTGGAGCCCTTGGCTGGGTTTGAATCTATTTCCTTTTACTAGTATTTCTTTTTTTTTTTTTTTCCCTTTCTCTATTTATTTTAATTATTTCGGCCGAGCACGGACGAAGAGCCGGGATTATTTGCTTCCGCAATGCCGCTTGCCGCGTCATGAGCCGTCGGGAGAATATGTGGGATTGTCCAGTTACCGTCCGCTTGGAACGAGTGGGATGGTCGTGCAAATTCCCAGTTGGTGTTAGTTTGGGTAGCACGTTTGGTGTTCCTGGATGGCAAGGCAGACAGAGTTTCGGGCTCTCTCAGCATTTGCAATTCGCAGCAGATAGTGCCGGTAGTGATTCTTAGAAGAGAAGACGAGAACAAGATATTATGCCTTTTCCTTGCTCTACGCCAGAAATGGCAGTATGTTTGCTGACCCTCGGCGTCATCCGCCTTGCGCTTTCAAGCTCCTGCCTTGAGCGCACAAGCTACGGTAAGCATAATATTTGTTATTAATCACATCAACGAAAATTGATTCATTATCAATCACTGTTGGAACGCATTAGCAGTGAAGAAGGCGCCTGGTCGCTAAGGGCAGGCGTGATAACAAGAGATTGTGACGCCAAACTCGAGCTTCTCAAGGTGCAAAATGTGGCAGCCTAGATGCAAGTCCAGCCGCTTACATGCAAGTAGTGAGAACCGCCCTGTTGCTGCGCCCTGCCAGTAGTTGCTTGGTACATGTACTCCATACAAATAACACTCTACCTTTCCTAGTAGGTATATAACTGCTTACGAGTACAAGGTCTCTTTTCGGGCCATCCGTCTCTGGTTTCGGCCATAAGGGATCAGAGCATCGGGTTTACGCGATAAAACAGACGCATAAACGTGACGCGGAAAAATCAACTAGAGAATAGCTAAATTCTTTTTTTTTTTTTTTTTTTTTTTTTTTTTTTTTTTTTTTTTTTTTTTTAAATTTCGATTTAATCGATAAAATCGATAAAATGCACTTTTAATAAAATTTTGATGTTTCATGATTACCTGCTTTTGTTGGTGATAGAGACGTGTAGGCTTATCTGGGTACTTATAAACTGAGTCATACTTGATCCCTGTGGTGTCCTATTCTTGACATGTTTTGCTGGCTGCCTACGGTGAATATACTTGATGGATGTAATAGACTACAGATAGGATAATGTGGCTGATAGAGTGCGTAGTTGGCAGAAGTATCGGAGGACTTGAACAAGCAGTTGCTTGTGATAATGATAATGTGATTAAAGTAAAATATCAAAGAGTACTATGAATATAGGATCTTCATTTACAGATACAAAACACCAGTGTAGTCCAATACAGGTAAAGGGGCGAGATAGGCTTCAGCCTACCTTGGACAAAATCGGTGATCTTGTTACGCCTCAACTGCTGTACATTCACGGACTACATCGACGTAAGATAGACACCGTGATGACGTGGATCTCGCGAGCCATCGCTCTAATATCCTCCCAAGGATCTAAGCCCGCGGCTGACTATTCCACATAGCTTCACGGGACGGAAATGTAACACGTTCTCCTGGAATGGCGAGAGCGGCAGAAGCGGACAGGGTACGGAAACGATGCGGAAACGATGCGGACGGGAAGCGCACGGGAAGCGGAAAGTGGACACTCGTTGGGAATTAGCTACGAATGTACCGTACATGTGGTTTGATGGCCTCATATCACGATATGTAAGGCAGATACTAGTATACGCCACATACACATGTCTAGTCCTTAGAGGGCCAGAACATGTACGAGGGACTTTAGACTCATGGACAAGCCCGGTAGCTTGGACACGTAGTCCTACGAGCTAACGAGGCAAGCTGGATCGACATGGCTTTGAATCTTATGATTGGTAGCTTCTTGTCATTGACCGCCTCCGCCTTTCCATTCATCGGAAAGGTGATATAAGTGTTGACGGAACACGCTGTCTGAGAGCTCGGAAAAAGGACCCGTGTGATTCACTCAGGTTCTTTCCGCAATCTTGAGGCAAGGTGGATCTTCTGCGTAGGTGAGGATAATTCAAGATAATCTCTTCATCCGAAGGGCGTCTGATAAATTCCACAGGAGCTAGTTAGATGGATGGTGTCTGGTAGTGTGTACTAGACTGGCCTCAAGGCATGGACGGCGAGGATTACCCAGTTTATTCATTCGTTCATCATCAATCTTATTTCCTTATTTCTTTTTTCTTATTTCCATTAGTTTTCTTTTTCTTTTTAATTATTCCCTTGTTGCTCTAAAAGTTGACTTTAGGGGATGGTGTAGTATGTAACAATGTAAAACACGTTCATGCGACAGGTCACTTCGTAAACTCATGCAGATTAACTGTACATCATGACTGAAGCATTTTATTGAGCGTAGCTAAGCATTAACGACAAACCTGGTCCTTTTGATCGGCTTAACTGGTCGGGCAGTTTGGTCAGATGCTCACAGCATCTTGACAGGGACAGAAGCGAGTTTCGGGTTTAGGAAATACTGTACAAGTGTGAGTGCTCGCTTACACACTCTGAAACGGTAGTAGTGAGGGTTTAATAACAGGTGACGCTTTTGTTCTCCTATACTTGTGCAAGGGCAACCTCATTCATGCACCTTTCATTAATCGAAGAGAAATATGTCTTTTCGAGAACAGGTAGAAAACGCATATTTAGTCAAGGATCGACATGTTAATCTATACATATTCAAGCGGTGCGTAGCAAATGGTACGTGTAGTTTTTTTTTTTTTTTTTAAAAAAAAATAAGCTTCGTAGCAAGCTTATTCTTGCTACCCTAGCGAATATCCGTTCTGAAAGAATGAGGGCTATCCAAAGAATATTGGACCGCACTGCGAGTATATGAGAGTATCACGAGTGACAATTTTAACTATATATCTACTCATCTATAAATTATCATGTTACTTGACTTCGTACCCAAACATCTTGCATGCGCATTCATCGAGGAGGTCGAATGAGACAGAGAATCTTTGAAACCCTGACACCTAGTAGCCGAGTTGGTAGAGCTCTTGCGATTTGGGGTCACCGTTGAGTTACTCTGAAAAAAAAACTGCATCTACATATGCAGGTACATGCTTATATTATCTTTCAATCGGCTGAGTTACCCAATGGGTTGCATTCGGCTGTCATTCACCAGATTATCGTGATAAAGTACGCGAGCAGATATGGGGACAAAAACAAAAGACAGACATTAGGTAATGTCACCTGGTCAGAAATCTAAGGTCAGACGCAACATTTGTCATTGGTGCCATAGTAAGTAATCGAGGTTCCGCGGAGATTTCCTTGTTGGCAGTACTTTGGCAGCGGGATAAAAGATTCCAAATGATTCATTTCATACACCGCTCCATCAAGAATCTCGGATGCATACTCACGGTTACCTCAGCTTGCGTAAGCCAGCCTGCAAGGCTAATACATGTCTATACCGGGAATATATATTAATAAACCGCGGTTCATATGATTAATCGACGCACAATGCTGAACCATTCATTATATCTACATATGAAGTATCATATTTTGATAGCATCTTCTCGTTCTGGAAGTCAGTTTTCGTCTCTCAAGTACAGCAAGTATGAGATAACGCGACTCGTGCAGTAGTAGTTCAGTTCGATTATGCCTTCATATCTCATTAAGCTATCATTGCCACTGAGTATCATGAATAGGTGGCTTCCTTTTAAAGCCGTCACATGAGAGAAGTGAAAAGCGCTACGAGCTACTACAAAATTATTTATCACCGTGCACAAGTACCATGAAAATGCACCCAATTATGGGCTATAAAATCACTGCGTATATCATTAATAGAACAATAGTGTCTAATCATATATCATGCCTGTTATTTATACAAAAATACTTACCAAATATTTTTTTATTTATAGTACTTGATGATATTTGTGTGTTCTTCTTTGAGGAGCATCTCATTCCAGGGTTAGTGACCTTAAGCTAGTATTAGAGATAAGGTTATAATGCTTCAGTTGTATATGCAGACTTAATATCAAATTGTTTGCATTATCGATTAATCTTATAATGAAGTCGAATGAACCCGGTTTGCAGGTTACCAGTGTAGCTATATCGCACTGTGGTACGATTCAGGTAGGATTGTCAAGCCTCCTGAAGTACCTATATAGGCACAAGTTGCCGTGTCGGAGGGCGCATTATGCTAAGTGGGGGATGCCTTTATGAATGTTCCACCAAGCCTCCTTTGCTAAATATGGACCTTGCGTTGATCATTCAATTCGTTTGTGTGCCGGTAGCCGTAAAACCTCGGAATGTAACGATACTTGTCAAATGGATGTCTTATCTAACCCTGATACTCCCTTTTCGAAGTTTGAACCAAGGTGAAGTTTGCAGGTGATTCATGTCACTAATCAAGAAACTTGTCCAAAAGGTCATGCAGACGTTGTTCTGGATCAACGCACCCGCTCATCGTGTCTGTTTGTTCTCTTAAATGAGCATGTCCTAGTTCCCTATACATAACTTGTAGGGCTGTATCCCAGTTCTGTTCTCTCTGTGTTTGGGACCACCCCTGAGCTATTCGAGAGTAGTTGCCAGCGCATTCCAAAAGCAGCATTTCTTGTCCAGTTCTTTGTAGATGGAATAATGGCACCAAAAGCGTTTCAATTTATTACTAGGCCTAAAGACATCTATTCTACAAAGGAAAAAAAAAAAAAAAAAAGATTTACAAGAGAATCTGCGACACTGCAGAGGTCCAAGCTATGGATTTTTTCTCAGAAGACAAAGACTTCGTCACTCATCTTCGCGCTTGCTCCGGGTTGTTTATAGCCTAAGCTCACGAGTGACTTCTTCGCTGCAGCAACCATTCCAGGTGGTCCGCAGATCATAACTTTGCTTCCCTCCTCACTCGGAGAAGGGAGAATCTCAGCCATCATGTCCTTCGTCACAAAGCCCGATCCAAATTTCCACTCAGAAGAATGGCTCTCAAGTACGTAGTACACTTTAAAGAATTTTGGGTATCGCCTGGCAAAAATATCCAGCTCCTCTCTGAGAAGGATATCCTGCTCCGTTCGATTGGCGTAGATGAGGCTGATCTCTGTCGTATCGCGATCGCTTTCGCAGATGGCCCGGATAACCTGGAACATGGGCGTGATTCCTGTGCCACCAGCTATCATACCCACCTTTTTGCATAACCGTCGTGAATATCGCATCGCTCCTTTGGGGCCTCTAAAGTGAACCTCATCACCGATGTTTAGGTTGGCTAAGTAGCCATTTGTCATTTTTCCGTCTGGGTAAACCTTGATAAGAAGCTCTAGGATGCCCTTGTTGGCGTTATTCGAGGTTGGAGTATAGGATCGTGTTACAGCCTCCCCATCAATGACCGCAGTAATTGCAACATGCTGGCCCGTTGGCAAACCAAGAATAGGATGAGAAGAAGGTAAGGTGAATGTCAGACGATATACGTTTGGCGACACCAATTCTTTCTTGGCTAGTGGAAGAGGAGACGAAGCTGCCTCCGAGTCTAGCCACCCCCTTTGTTGTAGAATATTGAATTCAGCGGGTTTTGGCACCTTGAAGTGGTAGGGATACCGTGGTGACTCTAGAGAAATGACAATCTGCAGCAGCCTACGTGCAATCAGGGTATGCACTGACGCCAGAGCACCGGCTCCAACGAGCAACCCCATTAGAAAGCTGGGTTTTGGGGAAGCAGAAGCAGCAACGGTGTCAGAAGAGACTGCCCACTTCGGGGTAAACGCGATGAGATTCTTGCCAAGTGAAGAGGCTTTAGAAACTATATCACGATCCACGCCGTACGTCGTAAGACCGTAATACAGTGCCGCGGTACTAAGAGAGATTATGGTGTACTTGGCGGTACCCGAAGTAGTTTGCTCTTTAGATGGCGAAGAGTTGCGTTTCGGAGCTGTCGTCGGTTCAACGGGTGCTACTCTTGCCTTCCTTTTCTTGTATCCCTTGAGTTTGCCTATTCGTAGTGGCACCATTAGGTCGAAAGCATCGTCCGAGTGACCGGCATTGTCAAAAACCTCACTGGCATTGGTACCAGCCGCTTCTACAAGCACTTCTACGCCACCAGGATGGCTCTGGATATACTTGGTCACATCGTAGACTATAGAATAATGTTAGCTTGCCTTTTTACAAAGACCAAGATTCTGGGGCCTTCTCACTTTCTCCATGGATAGCCATCCAAGCATCGCCTGTGTTATTGTGCAGCCCTACTTCCTGCAGGGAGTACTCTACAGCTTCTTCCATATTTATGAATAGACTTTGTATGACAAAAGGCAAAGATGGAACAGAGAGGGGGATTGGTAGTTTGCTCAAAAGGGCGGCAGTGATCTTTTGAACTGTGTGATAGAAATGGTGCTTTATATCGATGAATGCCCCTATTGAGAGATGCATAGAAGCGTATGTTTAAGTGAAGTTTAGTAGAGTAAAATGATCATTCTGACCGAAACTTGCATAACCTAGCTCTTTACTACGTGGTCTCTCCTCCTCCTCAGAGCATTGCCACGAAATATCACGCAACATTATCCATTAATTCTCATTTACGCTGTTCCAAGGAGGCAATCCACCAAAAATCTTGGAATCACTCACATCTAATTTGCGTTAAAACCGATCCGACATGCTTGAAGCCGATTCATTTATATGTTCCTCGGAACAATTTCTCGCATCCGCTTCATAGCGTGTGGGGGATCAGTAATCAGGCGTTGTCGAATGCCATTGCTGTTCCTTTGACGTTTTTAGCGGCGGCTCAGGCCGCTCAATATGTCCGAAAATCGACACCAGATTTATTTCCTAAATGGGGCAATACGTGACCCTTGAGTATGCATACTCCTATCTGTCTGGAGGTGGCTAAAACCGAGGTAACTAATTCCGTAATTATAAATTAGGTAACTTGCTATTTTGAGCGTACAAAATGCGGCAGCAAAAGCCGAGGTAAAAAAGAAAAAGGAAATGTGTCAGTATTAACTTGCTTGTTGATCATATCCCGAGGACATGATGCTCTAACTCGGCGGTGGATGCAGAGTCACCCGTACTATGATCATCATTACCACCAAGATGCTCCGCGGAGGGTGTTTCGCGGCCTGTGACGAACGATGTAATTGCTAAATCAATAATGAAGAAACCATTTAAAAGTAAAGCCCTCTCCATTCTATAAAAAAAAGATTCAGCCAGTTTGATAGTTGAGTTCAATAACCTATCATTTTTGAGATATTTCAATAATTTAAACCTGTATTCTTAAAAGAGATCAACGATATTGCCTGCTTTCAACATGCCGACTCTTTTCCACCTTCTGGGAGAGCAGCCCTCCACGGCAGTAGAGTTTGAAGTCTCTACATCATTAGATTTCGAAGACTTGCAAGATCTTGCTGCCTCACATTTTGCTATTGTGGAGCCTCGAGGCGAGTACAAGATTCAAGAATAACATGTATAGCGCGTCTTACTTATATCAACTGGGATTTTAGGGGTTGGATTTATATCTGATGATCAATACCTTACATCAGTAGCAGATGTACTCGCTGCTGATGGACCTATTGCAATCTCCATCGATGGCGGCGCAGTGCGCAAGATCCCGGGACCAAAAGGTCTTCCGTATCTTGGCAACTTTACTCAGATATACCCTGACCACCTTGGTAATCATCAAAGGCTGTTTGAAACATATGGTAAACTTTTCGCGGTCACAACGTTTGGCACCAAGTGGAATTACACAAACGACCCCAATCTGACAAATATCTGCTTGATGGAGAGCGAATTCTTTACCAAGGGTGTAATTGAAGGGCACCCTTTACACCCGTTCAACTTGGGAGATGCCGGAATTTTTTTCGGCAGTACTTATACTGAAAACTGGCGCGCAAACCACAAATTCTTCCCTCCAGCACTGGGTCCCAAGGCTGTGAAACACTACGCACCCAAGCTGCAGGATACTATTGAAGACTCCTTCACAGTCTTCGACCAATTAGACAAAGACGGCGAGGCTTGGAATGTATTCCCATATATGTTGAAACTGACCTCTCAAGCCATAGTCAAGCTTATTCTGGGTATGCAAGTCCGTCACTTTGCGTCAGTGGATACACCACTTGATGAAATTGTGTCCATGGTCATTGAGATCTTGGTGCTGGCTAGGAAAGTGAATCGCTACGGCTCTTGGTACGGCAGCCTTCCATTTGGAGACCCTCAGAAGCTCCGTAATATTACAAAGATGATTCGTGAGCGGCTGGATAAGAAAATGGAAGAAGTTGAGAATGCTAAAATGGGCGCGAAAGAGCTGGAACTCCAAGAAGCCGCTTTAGAAGCTGACCACTTGATTGGTATGTAGTCACATACACGCCTTTTTGAGTAATTAGATGGGTATGCTGACCAGCTGAAACTTCAGATTTTGCCATTCGAGCCCGAGACAACAAAGGAAACAGATTGACCAAGGACCAAGCATCTCTTGGTGTGACCATTATCGCCGGCGCTGGATTCTCAACGACAGCAGCGCTACTTTCCTGGTTGATTTATGGCCTGGTCTTTTATGACGGGATGCAAGATCGCCTCCTCCAAGAGCTCGTCGACAACGACTGGAACGAGGACACCCACGCTACACTGGAGTTAACTAAAAATCTCAAGTTTTTGGATAAATACATCAAGGAAACACAGAGACGACACAATTCATCGTTCCAACCGGCTCGTACTGCCAAGACTGACTTGATCTTGCCTGGAGGATACAAGATGGCAAAGGACTCCCTCATAATCTTGGCCTTGCACCACCTCCATACGAACGCTGAGCATTGGAACAGCCCTCTACGATTTGATCCTGACCGCTGGGACACTGAAGAGGTCAAAAACAGACCAGCAGGTTCGTTTCAGCCTTTTGCCTCTGGACCTCGCGGCTGCATAGGCTTCAACTTGGCATTGGAAGAAGTCAAAATATTTCTACCTAAATTGGTATATCGCTACAAGTTCACGTTGGCCAAGATGGATGAAGCCGTTCAGTACGATCCAAATCAGGTGGTCATCAAGCCAGACAATTTGTACGTGCGCGCGGAGAGAAGGGTCCGATGGCCAGCGAAGTCCGAATAAGCTACACGCTTATCGCTGGCACCGTCTTTCAGACCGCCAGCATAGTGTGGGCCGTGATTCTCTGTTCTTTATTATAAAGCAGCTTAGAAGGTCAGTATGCAATAAATGAGAGTTAACTAGATGAGGAAATTTTCGTCATCACAATGAGTAAGCTTAGACCCATGGCGCTATACGTCTTCTTCGCTTGTGTCTCAACTCTGTCAAGGTTACGGGGGTTTCAGGTAGTCTCTTGCAGCGCCACCTGAGCTAAAGACAACTTGTCGCATGTTTTGCTGACGCTACTATCCCTGTTGCAGGAGAATATCGCCGATGTTGGTCTTCACTGAAGAAGAGCATATCAGCACTAATGCGCAAACTCAGGACCTGATAGCGCGATAGTGCAAGGGGGGTTTCCAATCGCATAAACTACTGTAAATGTCGGATTCCAGTAATTCATCTTCTAACCTATATTGAACAACGTCGTATTACTTCGTATTCTCTTTTCGGCATCACTGAAGACTCGGATGAATGTTCGGGCAGATTCTTTCCGCCTACGGAGTAGGGCTGCATCTGGGAATATCAGCCGTGGTGTCATGCGGTAGTTGTGAATGCAGACTTTTTGGTCCCACTCGTTTCCCACGTAAGTGTCTCCGTATCTTGACTCTTGGCAAAGCTCATGACCAAGGGCGCAGAAGACGGACTTTCTCAAAATCTGGCAGTAAATAGCGGACGATTATCAGTGAACATGCCGGAACTAGATATGACAATACATTTAAAAATCTTGTGGGCAGTTATCAATAAGTGTCTTAGTGGTTTGCTAAACAACATGGGAGTTTGGTAACGTAAGAGCGTCTCTCAACTAAGACTAGAAGAACTCATTTCAAAGAATTATCGAAGCTCCACTCGTAGTTAGCTTATATCCGACGGATCAACTTGCCGTATTTCATATATTGGGGCAGAGTAATAGGACCTATCAACTCTCAAAAAATTTCCGATGCTCGTCGGGTGATACTGTTTTCTTTTTTTATATTTTATATTTTATCTTATTTTCTCATTTATTTTCAACCTATTTACTTTTCTTTCATTTTTTTTTTTTTGATCTCACTCGCCGATCTATTCAAGGAGACTGCAACCAACCACCCAGAATTGATTCAATCTTACTTCCGGATCAAGTTACCGCGGACACAGATCAACTCAATTGAACATCCAGGCCACAAGCTTGGACAAGCTGCCGACTCAATCTAGGCTCCAGCGTTCCAGTCATGACTCGACCTGTCGTTAGTGTCTCGTGTAGTATAGGCCTTGTGGCAAACATGGCTGCTAGGCTTCATGGATAATTTGTCTGAATCGTAGTCGCCGCTGCTAGTTGCCGAGGCACTTTTAATCTAGCCTTTGGAAAAGCGCGGATTTGCACCCGAGAGAATAGGAATTTTGCGAGAAAAATAGCTAGAATAGCTAAGCTAGAATAATGCTCAATATGCAGTGAGGTATCGGATGGCGACTTCCGCAACTCTATTTGTTCGGCTGATAGATAGATAATACTGTATACTCTTTCCTATTTCGTTCCGCTATTTTTAGGGATCCATTAATTTATTTGATAAATGATAAATTCGTTTATTCGTTCATTCGTTTATTTATTCATTATTTTCAGTCTTGTTCGGAATCCCCGGTGACTTAATCTCCAGGGCTGATGCTTATTGTGGGATCTAATTCCTCGTGCTTATTATTATTAATAATAAATTGCAACATGAAGTATTTACTGCACCTGTACATCGAACCTCGGTTGTCGGCAGAGTTGCGAGGAAAAGAGCTATTAAAAGATAGGGACCATGCACCTGTCATTGTTACATGCAACGTCCCACGTTGGTGGGGGGTACTTCTCTCTAGGATCTGATCTAGGGGGTGGTATCGTTGAAAAAAAAAGGAGAGAATGGAAAAGAGAGAAAGAACCAAAAACGAGGCAAAAACTTCAGCGCCGATCCATGCCATGCCATACCATACCATACCGTAATGCTGCTGAGTGGTCCATATTGTACATCCATATCAAACCGTACAAAAAGAAAAGCCAAATTCGTACTTGTATAAAGATCCAGTAAATTAGCCCCCACCGGCTGGTCTTTGCTTTAGTTGTATAAGGTGCTTCAAGCCGGTTTGGACACCCATGTATTTTCGTTGTTTAGGATCATACCATCCCAGGACGTATACAGCCATGACTGCAGATTTTCCTTGCAATTCTACAAGTCCGTCGACCCTGATGCAACCCCTGCTGGGTGGCTGCTTTGCAGGCTGCCAGTTCTTCGTAAATGTGACGGTAGCTGCCTGAAGTGCGGCCTGAATCCGAGGATCGACTTGGCTTACACCACTAAATGGGGTGCCAGGGATTTCGCTGATCCCGGTGTGGACCGGAAAGTTGGACTTGTCCGGCTGCCCTGGAACTCTGACTGTCTGTTTGCCAGTTGTCCCGAGTTCTCCCTGTTCTTTGATGCGATTCAGAATGGCGGCCTGCCATGTTGCCTCAGGTGGGGGTGGAGTGTTAAATCCCAAGACTTTAGCAATATCTTGGGCAGTCTGCCTGGCTAATGAATTAAGAAAAGCCCACACTGATAATGCTACGGCTTTCGGGTATATGGCAGTGTTGAGATGGTTGGCTGCTAGGGAGTCCATTGGTCGATCGCCCCAGAATATGCCGTCATCATCAATGATGATACTGTCAAAACAAGTTTTAGCCCACAGATGTCTAAACAAAGGCCAGCCACTTTCATGTCTTACCCAGAAACATAGTGTTTTGGGGGCGGCGCAGGTGGATAAATGATATCCAGCCACAGTTTTTTGAGTTTAATATCTCGACCGCCGAGCAACTGGACGTAGGCAGGGTTCCGTTCAACGCCCCGCCGTATCAGTTCCGCCAGTCCCACTATGAAGAAAGCCAATTAGTGACTATGCAATTTTGAAAGCCTCTGTCTTGCTTCAACTTACTTTTGATGTCCTTCTGCAACTGCTGATCTTTGTTAACGGCAATGAATGTTGCCCACTCGGGATCAGAGCCCTTGTATGGCGGCTGTCTGACCTCCTTCGTCGTAAATGGGAATGGGAGGAATAGAATGGGCTCATCCTCATCCGCCATATCTTCCATCTCTTTCTTTTCTCTCTCCGACAAAGCCTCCCATTCATGATCTGCCCAGTCTAATAGCGGGTCGAAGACAACGGTCGCAAATATCTGCCAACAAGCGTATACGGCTATGGTTGTAAAAACAGCTCGGCTGCGAGATTTGATATTAGTTCTACGGAAGATCACGCCGACCCAGCCGTGGCGACAGCTTACTTTAAGCGGCGCCGGAAAGCACCTGGCTTGGGAGGAACAACGGGCTTGGCAAAGTAAACCGGAAGCCCCTCTGCCGCTGGTCTATTTCTCCATGGTAAAAACGATATCTGTCGGCTAGCAGAAGGGATGCGATGGGCGGGGAGATGTGGCGAGGCTTTCGATATCAGGGTTGCGTGTCGCGAAACGACCGCTGCGCGCCGCAGCATCCCGGCTTTTATGCGGATCCTGTGCGTTTCCAAGCAGCCAAAGATAAAAAAAAATACAATCAAAGAAGAGGAGTAACCTTTTATCAAAAGAATAAGCGCATGGTGTATTTCGAGCTATTGCGGTGGATGATGATGAAGTTCTACGGCAACGATAAGGCAAATCGGATTACACATTTGTCGCATGTGGTTACGCAGGGGTCTGACCGGAACATTGTACCCCCACCGCCGATACGCCAACCACATTCGGCTAGCATGCACCTGAGGCGTCACCTACATACTTCCTACTTCTCGGTGCAACTTGTTGACGCCGAGCCCTTTTTGCGCGCCTTCACCATCCACGACAGCTTCTACAGAGACGAAAATCATCATGAAGCTCACGTTTGGGATTGCCGCAGCGCTTGTGAGCTGTGCTGCAGCATCGCAGCCCGCCGCTGACGTTTACATCCTGCCGAATCGCGAATCAGCGTCGCCACCGTCCATCCCCAGCAGCATCGCCCGACTGATTATGCTGCAGCGATCGTCTTCCGGCTACGACGCCTCGGTGCATGAAATTCCTGACGATGCCAATGTTGAGGAAGTGGTTTCGTTAATGAACCAGTACGGAGGTGACTCTGCCTCATTGTTCGATGAGCTCGCCGTTGAGCCTAAGCAGCTGTTCATTATGCTGGAGGGCTTGACAGAAGAGCAGATCAAGGATACCAGAGCAAAGTTGGGCGTGCAGCCTTCGTTCACCATCCCCGATGCACCTTCTACCGACCGTCAGCATTGGGCCGCGGGCATCCAAGTGCCTCTGGAACAGCTTCGGAAGAGTAAAACGAAGATGAGCTGCTCTTATGATGAAATGACCAATCCATTTGAGTCGCGGTGCTGGACGGGAAGAACTTTGATTGCCGATTTTGATATCCAAAAGGTATGCATCGAGAGTGTCGAATGAATCAATGGATGTCGTGGTTGGGACAGAATGCCGAACTAACGCCGCACTCTCCGTTTATAGAAGCCGGAACAACTGGGCAATGTGATCGATAGCTTCCCCCGGCTGACTTCGCTTGCTGAGATTGGCGAAGTGCAGACAACTTTGCTGCTCCTCCCCGGTGTTGGCAAGTCCTCGGACCAACAGCAATCTTTGCATCGGCGCCAGGCAGAGCGGGTGATCTCCCACTTTCATAAGACTGCTGCCCCGGTGGAACCCACCACGCCGGCCCAAAATACCCTCCGAGCCCCTGCAGGCCCTATTCCCGCCTGCTTTGACTCCTTGGACAGCTGCATCTCCAAGACCGGCAATTGCTCACACCAGGGGCAATGTTTGGATAAGTACGCATCCAAAGATGCCAGTGCCCTTGCTGACGCCCCTGTCTGCTTTGCATGCCACTGCCTAAGCACCAGGGCCGAGAAAAACGGACCTCTTACCCATTGGGCGGGTCCTACGTGTGCCAAGAAGGACATTAGCGTCCCGTTCTGGCTCTTTGCCGGCTTCACATTGCTTATGCTGGGAACTATTTCCTTGGCCGTCACCTTGCTCTATAATGTTGGAGATGAAAAGCTTCCGGGTGTCATCGGGGCTGGAGTTTCCAAGTCCAAATAAGCGGTGAATGGGACCTTGGAACGCGCGTTTTCTTTCGAATGGCCAACATTGATTTGTTTCCTTTTGTGACAAGTGGATAGGTAATGGGCATGGATGCCATGAGTTAATGACTGAGTTCAGCATGTAGGAAGAACAGTCGAGGAGCACCTATCGATAAGCAGCTCCATCATGTAATCATTGGAGCTACAGCCTGATGTACCATACAGATGTATTCAATAGCGTTTGTTTTCTTTCCCGTACTTTTAGTTAGGTTCTTAGAAGAGCAGGTCCGGCCACAGGGCTGAGTCTCTGATTCTGAAACAAAGGGCTTATCCGTCTTCCGTGCCGATCTTTGTCATGGTGGTAAGAAGTTGTGGTACAAGTTGCGGCGCCAGTTGCGGCAGTTGGAAGTGACGGGTTGCCGATTGGCGAGAGTACGAGTACAAAGAGCAGCACCTGGTACTACCTGGTAACTCATGCGTCGATGCTATATACGTTTGGGTTGACTCATGTTTGACTAAGCTGTTGCTGCTTGATTCCGCAGGAGTTGAGCTCGAGCAAGCGGAATAAGCATACCTTAGCATTTCTTATTAAGACGTTAAGTCCGTAATAATAAGGTTAATTGGAGACACTTCAGAACGGAACTGACAAGCGGTGCAATAATAATCGGCCGGGAGAGATTCTGCTTGTATTTCTTGTTTAGGACTAGACGGATTACTGCGCGCCAAGCATGTCGCAAGTGGGCGATGTATTGCTCGATAAGGACTAGGCTTCTACTCCCAGCTGAACGGTCCAGACTAATACACGTAAGGTCGATGCGTCCATGCGTCATGTGGGGCAGCAACAGCAGAACAGGCATCAAACAGCAAGGAGCGATCCAGGAGCTTCAAGCGGCAAGACCAACAGCTACTCGTACCTGCTCCCAGTCAACTGGCGGCCTCAGGCTATTTGATGGCGTCCACTGCCCACTCTGGCTCTGCATCTCCCATCTCATGCTTCTCGCATCGGGATTGTCCGCGTCTCGACCAGGATACCATAGTATTCTCCGGAGCTGAGAAGCGTGGCAGATTAGCCAATCACCCACTTAGGATCTGACCCGCGCCCCGCCTTGTTCAAGTCCGGACTTTTGCAAAAACGCCGCCCCAAGTTGAAGTGGTTTGAGCCATTGAATCTTCAAGGGCTAATCTAAGGATGGCCTCTGGCTGCCTTTAAAGTCCAAAGCCCGCCGGACTTCATTTTACTTCCGCCTCGCAAGATCTGGCCGACCATGTACCCTCTTTTGATTGCTTGCATAACTTAGGGCCGGCAACAAGACGAGAGACTATCGTCGATGACAAACAATGGATGCTGAGCCCTCATTGTCAACCACTAACAGCTGGAGAGCCGAGCGGCCAAAGCTGCCCACAGCAAAATGGGGAGCTGCCTGCGCTCCCTGTGCCACCGCAAAGGCGAAGTGTATACGATCAAACGAAGCTTCGGGAGCTAAGTGTGACAGGTGAGCTAGAGGGACAAGAGCTAAAATCCTGTCACCCTTTTTTATTTTTTATTTTTTTTCATTTTATTTTATTTCTACACTCTCATTGGGTTTAATACCGGCAAAGTGATGCCGAAAACGAGAATCAGAAAGGAGAATAAGCAGCATCGGCTGTTTCTCTCTTGGCTCTACTTTTGTTCTTTCGTTGTGCCATGTTGGACGGCAAAATCGCGCTTTCTGTCCTTCTGTTGAGAACGCCAACTAACAAGCCAATTGCTGTTTGCCCCAACTTATAGATGTGAGAGACTCTTGAAAGAGTGTACGAATCAAATCCATCGCCCTCGAAAGAAGAGACAATCCAAACCCTCGTAAGTCCGCAGGTTCCGTTTCCTCGTTTCTTTCTTCATAAGCAGGCTCCGGGCCGCTACTCTGTTTATCCCGTTGCGGAGATATATTAGCTTAGCTCTCCGGACCCCCTGATTCTTTCTTCAAGTCCGTTTGAACGGAGAATTCAATGCTTCGAGGGCGCTAGCATCTTTCGTCATTGTCAACTCTCAGGTTCTTCTTGAATCTCCGATCTAACAGTCCCTGAGTAGCCGAACGGCGCAGATCGAAGAGCGGCTGAACGGCCTTGTTAGCCTTCTCAAGGCCTCCGGAGAGCTCTCTGGAGCTCAGCATGACCCACATTCGCAAGACGACAACGAAGACCCGAGAACAGAAGGCTCTTCTGACCACCTATCTCCATTTTCAAGCCCGTCCAGTGCTATTCCCAGCATCTCTAACCAAGCCAATACTTGGATCATCGACCCATCGTACAATTCCTTCACACCGAAATCATGCATCTGCCATCCAGACACCATGGAGGCGCCCCCGCCTCCAGATTCAGACGAAGGGCTTCTTGAATTTTATCGGAAAAATCTTCAGCCCGTTCACCCTTTTGTCATAATTCCACCCAATATCTCAGCAGCTGTCTTAGCAGCAAGAAGGCCGTTTCTGATGGCAGCTATTCGGATGGTCAGCTCGTTTCGAAGTATCAGGTCGATGAGGGCGCAGATGTATCATCTGATGAAGCACCTGGCAGACCATATGCTCATCCGCTCAGAAAAATCTCTGGACCTGTTATTGGGAATTATAGTCATGTTAGGTTATCAGCAGTACCACTGCTGTCTCCACGGACAGCTCAGCAACTTGATAACCCTGGCCGGCAGTTTAATTGGCGACATGGGCTTGAGCAAGCCCCCAGGCGTACACGAACGAACGCGATTAATGGTCGTCCGCCCACCAGTGCAACATGGTCGAAGTAACGAAGAGAGAAGAGCTTTTGCAGGGGCATGGTACTGGGCATCAGTGTTGGTCATTTCCTTGCTACCTTTACCAGTCGTTGTGACTCGTTTTTGCTCACATTCAATACTACAGAATATCCATGAATTTTCAAAGGGTTGAACCCATGAGGTATACTGGCTATCTCCAAGACTGCATACGGCACCTCGAAGAACACCCAGAATATGAAACCGATATTTCTCTCGTCTATCTTGTCAGGATACAAAGGTTGACGGAGCGGATTTCTGAACTCAACTCTAGAGGCGGGACCTCGGGGGAAATTTCTCCAGTTCCTTCAGCCCCTATTTCGGCTTATATCTTGGCATTTCAAAACGAACTCAACCACATTCGGGATTCTATGCCTAAACATTTGAAAGATGACAGTCAGTAATTTTTGCGCACTCTGCGCTATAGTTTCGATCTCACTAACAAGTGCCATAGAAACCTTTCAGCTATTTCTGGAAAGTGCACGGCTTCGGCTATACGAACCTCCCGTGGTCGATAAAAACTTGATCCGCTCCCTGTCCAAATCACTCTCTTCCGTATCCATGGCTACAGATTCACCGCTTGATAAGATATATCAGTCAAGTGCCGCTCTCACAGGGTGGTTCAACTCGTGGCTTTCTCTTCCCATCTCTACCTACTACTTTCAAACTACAGCAGTAGGCTCTCATCTTGTCTACGCCCTCGTCATGTTAGCCCGATGGGCAAGGTTGGCGACCCCTAGAGCAATGTACGAGGGCAAAACAGCAATGCCAGACGACCCGAGTGCGAATAACCCTAATGTAGCCCTGTACAATTCCGATATCGCAAACTCGCAGTGTGACCCGGCTATGACGACGGAAAAATGTGATATGCCGGGGGGACGGTTGCCGGGACGCCCCGATCTAGGTGACGCTGACTTGGCAGCAGCTGTGGCTGTACTGCGGACTCAACTGCAGACACAGCCAGGACTCATGATTAATATCCCTGAAATCCTCTCTGCGATATCCGGCCGCTTTGAGCATGCGAATGCAACCTTCCAGCTATGTGCCGCAGATCCTGAAAGAGTGAACAAGAACGTCTGGATGATGACGGCGCTAAAAGTCCGCATTACAAGAGCGAAACTGGAGAAATGGGCAGAATTGGTATCTGAAGGGGCGGAAAACATGAATCCCGAAAATGGATCGGAACCAGACCAGAGAATGGCTGATTGGCAAGCAGCAATGCACATACCACAAACCGAATGCGCTGGATTGGATGACATGGGACTTTTCGCAGATGATGGCTTACAGGAGCCGCAAATAGAGAATACTTGGGGGCAGACAGCGCACATACCGTGGAGTATTGATCCACTATCTGGTTTCGATCCCAGCGGATGGTTTGATGGATATGTGGATTGGAATTCAGTCACGATGAATGCTGTACCTCCTGTAGAGAGATGAACTGTTCTCTACTCATCATTTCCCCACGACTACAGAGAAGCTTAGGGGAAATTCCTTCAACCTTCCAAATCTGACATGCCTGGAGAGAATGTCAGACAAAATCAACATATAATGAAAGCGCGAACCTTAGCAATAGCAGGGCGACGATAACACCAGAAAGGTACGCCTGCACAAATAGTTGCTGAACCTTTCAACAACGCCGATCTTGTATACGCAACAGTCTCGGTTATCATGCAAGTTATGTGTGGACGATATAAGGTGGTGTTTGAACACGACAAATACAAATGAGCGATTGTTCAGATATTTCTAGAACTTGATCTATTGGAGGGCGTTATATACCTAGATAAATTGATTGATTACTTGATACGTCTCTCCCTGTTATAGGTAGCAGTTCTCTCACGCTTATACCATGACTCTGTGGGTGTGGCTTTGAATCAAAATTCAGCGATGATCGTTGACATGCTACGCTAACAATTGTGCAAAGAAGCAAAAATAAAGCAAACTGCGCGTAATCATTCTCTTGTCAGTGGATATGGCAATGACATAGAGGCATCGTAGGAATGTCAGTGGCATGATTAGTAATATGACCGTGGTAAAAATATATCTTTGAGAATTAAAAAAAGGGAATATTGGCATTATTGCTTTTCCAGATTGAATACAGTATGTCTTTTTTAATGCCCCTCGATGAAGCTTGACTGCGATTGACCAGCCATGGCCGCATATAATATGAATAGAGACACTGAGGATTAAACGATGCGTAGTATGCCATAGAATTCTTACTCTCAAGGCATAAAATGAAATAGTGGTTGGAGAATTATCAAAATCTCGGAGGCATAGGACTGTCAATTGGCAATTCGGCTTGGAGTCAACATGGAACAAATCTGGTGTTGGGGAATGCGGGGTCTCGTGCTCGTCAAAGCGAATCTCTAAGCACACCTCACGACTCTCTAAAATCTGAGCTCCTCATTCATCAGCAACTACTTGTTGCTCGGATATCAATTCTCCCATACCGCTTTTTGCGAAGATTGGAAATGGCGTCCTCTGAACAACAAGGCAGCTCCGCCCTTGCCTTTGAAGAAATACCACCATCTGACGTCTCCTGTGCTGTCATGGAGCCTTCAGAAGTCTATGAGTGGATTGAGCGCACTAAGGCGGCAGGAGATCACGCGCAGAAGGACTTTTTACTGGTCGATGTGCGCCGCAATGATTGGGAGGGTGGCACAATTGCTACGTCTGTGAACCTGCCGGCTCAGTCATTCTATCATACTCGTTCGGGGGTATATCAGCTTTGCAAGCAGGCTGGGATCAAGAAAGTGATATTCTACTGCGGTAGGTACCCCATCCGATGCTATGGTAAAATATCTGGATTCCTCGACGAAGCGAAGATTAACGGCGGTCACGTTTAGGGAGCTGTGGAAGTCGAGGGCCGAAATGCGCGGGGTGGTTCCAGGAATATCTCAATTCGGTTGGTGAGGTGGAAATGACTGCTGCAATCCTCAAAGGAGGAGTCAAGGGATGGCAGAAAACGTACAATGGCCAGAACATGGACCATTATGATGCGAATGCCTGGGGTTCACAGAGCAAGTAGCAGTGAGGTCCCAGACTGGTGTGCATTTCGTTTTCTTGAGCTCGGATAAAAACCAAAAATCTAGCAACAATAGACGTTCGTATCAAGTCCCATAATCGCCTCTTCGTATCGTTTCCGTAAACGCCAAACAAGGATATTCAGGTATCCATTCGCCATCTTTGTTGTCGCCCCAATTATCGGTTCTGCCTGTCGTCGCCGCCGATTCTCTCCAGAGCCTCCAGCATGACCACGGAATTGCCACGGATGACCTGCCGTATTCAAGTAAGCGTATGTTCTAGGGGCAAAGGGTTTCTGGGTTGGATTGGAAATCTGGTGTTACGCACCACCATGCCGAGCCTAATCTTCTCGCCGCCGTCTTTCTCCTCGACCGCCTCGTCCAATACAATGTTCAAGAAGACCTGTGCCCGTTAGTTCTCCACGCCTTGGTTCTCCGCTTCGTATCGGGCCATTCTCACATCGTATCCACGGAGCACACCGATGACCTTTCGGCTCCCGTTAAGCTGGACAAACAGCCGCTTGTCGAGATACTAGCACCCAATGTCAGCTGGGATGATCGATTGGAATAGCATATGATTCGTATTGCCAAGTACATTTGGTGGAGAATCGGGAAGGTATCTGAATCACGGTGATGATTTGATTTCAGACTGGGCAACTCACCTTCTTCAGCTCAGGTTGGGCGGGCGCCATCGTGAGCAATCAATTAATTAATAGAGGCTTTGGTGACGGTCGATTTGCGACGCGACCTGGAGCACTAACGTAGGTCGAGGAAGCTTTGCCCACCTTAAAATTCCAGTCACGTGCGATAAGATAACGAATCTCGGGTTATCGCCATTGAGACGAGGATGCGCTCGCGCAACTTGTCTCCAAGCTCGCAAACCAGGATCATTTACGGAGAATGAGCTCGTTTGGCGCGAAACGAAAGGCGAGGGTCATCAAGGTCGATTATGATGACGACGAGAGCAGCGGAGACGCGCCGCCCGTGGCCGAAGGCGGCAGCGCCAAAAATGGTACGTAACCGCAGAAACTATTTGGCGATGTCTTTGCTGATGGAGGACAAGGCTGACTTTGGCTGGAGATGTAGATGTCGTGAAGCCAGCGTTTGGATCTAAAGTAGGCCGGAAACCGTTTCGTCAATCTGGGCTACGGAATACGTTCAATCCACGAGATGAAGATGCATCGGGCGACAGAGACGAGACCTCACAGGGCAACGACGAAGACGACGATGGTCCAGTGGTCGTACGGCCGAATGCCAATCGAGCAGGTTTATCAAAGTCGAAGAAGAAGATTCCAAAAGCAAAAATTTCATTCGGAGACGACGCAGGCGAACAGGATGACGAGCCAAGCAGCGATGTCAATTCGCCAAGAAAATCTGCAATGGGACAGAAAGTCCTTGAAAAGAATACCATAAAACGAGGCATGGCTGCCCGAGGGCTACCGTTACCGGTTCGATCATACCAAGATGACGATGACCGGCCAAGATACAGCAAAGAATATCTTGACGAGCTTCAATCATCAACACCAAACACCCCGAGCGACCTCTCATCTCTCAAGGCGACTCTCGATGACGAAATGGATCTAGACCCATCCGAACTTGAAGGAGCTTTGATAGTAGAATCACCCATACCATCTTCCACTAGCCAACCTCAGACCACTCAGATCCTCACCGAAGCGGAGATTCGCGAAAGGAAGGAGCGCAGAGCTCGATTAGCAAAAGAAAAAGACTACATTTCTATGGAAGATGAAGATGACAGCCTGTCAGCTCGAAAGAAGAAGGACGATAGCCGATTAGTTGCCGAAGACGAGGATTTGGGAGAAGGCTTCGATGATTATGTTGAAGACGGTGGATTGTCATTAGGCAAACGCGCGGAGAAGGAGAGGCGAAAACAAGACCGTCAAAAAATGGCTGAGCTCATCAATGCAGCCGAAGGGCACACCTCGGACTCTTCATCAGACAGCGATGCCGAGCGACGAATCGCCTATGAAACAGCGCAGACGCGCGCAGGATTGGATGGTCTAAAGAAACCTCGGAAGGATCCTACCGAGCAGCTGTTGCAAGTTCCTCCAAAGATAACGCCGTTACCAAGTCTTGCCGAATGTTTAGTGCAACTACAGGCCACTCTGAAATCGATGGAGAATAACATTAATACCAAGGCGGCCACAGTGGGGCAGCTCACGCGTGAGCGAGATGACATTATCAAGAGGGAAGCTGAAGTACAGGCATTTTTGAACGAGACAGGCAAGCAGTACGAAGAGGCGCTGGGACGAAAACCAAACTCTGGTGGCGGAATTGCCGGCACTGAATTGGCAGGCGAGAGAGGGTTGGAGAGCTTGGGAGCGACGCCAGTGAATGAAGTAAATATGGAGGATAGGGAATGATGGAATCTCAATTTTTCTTTTAGTCACGAGGTTATAATTACAATGTACAACTATAGCGGGATACTAGGCAAGCTGTCGATTGGACGATAAATTTAATGACGGGCCGTTGGGTCAAAATTTCATGAGTATGGTTGTTCTCTTGCCTTGAATGCAATCATTCTAACCTTTTGTTTCAGATTCCGCATCTACATTCAGATGTTAGACGAGAGAGTCCAGCTGCTCAGTGCCATTGTGTGAGAAGCTGGAAACATACCTGAATAAGCTAAGCTAACTCGATGAGCTGGGGTATCATGCTATAAGAGAATACATGGAAGTAAAAGACATTCAAGTAATAACCATACCTCTTCTATCAATCCCCAGCGCGAGGTTCAAAGATTGCGCTTGGTAAGCGTCACCCAAAAGTCTGACGCAAAGAGAAATATGGAAGCAGTCGTCTTAATCGGGGTTTCAGGGTTCACGACGCAAAAGTCGAAGCGTCGTACAAGCTGTCACGGAGAAATGAAAGAAAATTGCCGTATTAGCTGTCATGAACCACTTGAAGATCGCGCTCGAAATGGTCCAGCATGTTTGTGCAGGTGTAACATACCTCAAAAACGGCCTTGTGCAACTCCATCAGGGCAATCGGCTTCCCGAGACACGAATACTTCCCGTACCCAAAGTGGGTGTCGACGGCGTTTGTCATGTCCCTCAATGCATCCCCCTGAGCGGCGAGCCACCTCTCAGGCCGAAAGACGTCAGCATCCGGGCCCCAAACCGCCTTGGAGCGCCCAAGTCCGTGGAAACCCTGGCCAATCTCCGTGCCGCCGGGGACGAAATAGCCGTTGAGATAGTCACCTTCGGGGGGCACGGTCTTGAAGCCGAGGCCGCCGACTGGAGGCCACATGCGGAGGCCTTCGCGGATAACGGCCTGGAGGTAGGGCAGGGACTGGGTTTGCGCCCAGGTGATGGGAGAACTGACAGAGGGGGAGGCGCGGCGGATTTCGTCGATGAGGGCGCTGTATGCTGGTGGGGAGGTGATGAGGGACAGGAGAGTCATGCGGAGGGCGTGGGCAGAGGAGTTGGAGCCCGCGATGCTGCCAGATGGTTAGCGGCAGTGTTTCCAGAACGTGGTAAGAGGACGTACATGGAAAGAAAGACTTGTTGGATGAGGTCGTTTTTGGTCATGCCGTTGTCGATGTGAGCTTGCATCATGTCATGAGCGCGTGGTGTCTTGGGGTCCAGTCGAGTCTCAACGTAACTCCGCGCAAAGCTTTATTGTGTTAGATAACTCTCACTTATCTCTCGTCTCATTTGCTGCGTATATATGCATGTTTTCTCTTGACTTACTGCATTAATCGACCAAAGCCAACCTGGTCCCCTTCCTTTGGCAGTAGTAACCGCAGGGGCCACGTATGGACAAGATTTGCTAGGGATGGCATCACAGAAACAACATTCATCACGGGCAGCGATGTCGTATTGATCTCATTGTACTGGTACAGATCTTGGTCTTTTTCAAGATAGCCAAACGGCTGTCCAAGGGAGATATCACCTATGGCGTCGAGTGCGAAGAATTGCGTCTTCTCAGCCATGTCAAATGGCCGGACATCTGAGCCGGACGAAACGTATTTGCGCTCAAGAAGGCTAATGAAACTGAGCAACTGGCGATCCATGGCAGCTTCGAAGCTAAAGCCTTCGTTTGCCTTGCCGGCGAACTGTGGGAGGGTTGAGTCTGGGGGTTCGGAGGGGGTTTGGAGGGCGCGAGATTGGATAAGAGGATGGACTTACACCAGGAGCCATTAGGGCGCGCATCTCTTTATGCTTTGTTGGATCCCGCAGAGAGACGACATTGTCTACGCCGGGGACGATTTTACCGCTTGCATAAAATTTCCCCTTGGTGTAGCCGCTGCGGACTGCAGACATGCGACGGAGCACCTCGGGATCGATGGAGAGCAGCTGATTGGGGCCGATGCGTACGAGAGGGCCTAATATTTTACAATGAGAGACAATGAGACGGGGATACTTGTATATCATGTTACATTTGTGAAAATGGATGTACATACCATAGGTGTCGGCAGCTTCTTTTAACCGCTCATGATACCTCCCTGACAATGCGCTTGAGAGCTGCCACCATATTGTCCATGCAGCACTGGTTGGTCCGGGTATGTGTCGAAGGCGCTGCCAGCGGTAAATTCGATGGGCTACAAAAGCAACTAAGAATATGAGGCAGAAGTTGGATAAATAATTGGACTTAAGCGGCATTGTGGCTGCTTCCATTCTGGAGAAGAGCGATTTGCGACAGCAGTTGAGAATGGTTGGACATGTATAGATGTCGATACTACATGGAACCGGGTGCGCAATCGTTTGCTTGAACTCGCCAAACAAGAGACGACAGGGTTGAGAACTGAGAGGATGGATGAATGGAGAGGAAGAAGTGGCTGCTCGAAGCACCACATATTTTTCAATCATCTCACGCCTTAGCATTTAGCTTCAGACCCCGGTTGCGGTGAATCCGGAGGCCCATGAAATATCGAACTGACTAGTAATGGCATTGCAAGTGAATCAGACCAGAGAGCAAAACGGGATTCGCGGCTGAAAAAATAAATAGCCCTGGAGCATGTTAATGAGCAGGGGCATGAAGGGGATTGAAGGATCTCTCTCTGCTGATAGCCGTGGCATCGAGTCTGGCCGTAATTTCGGACGCCGAGCTTCAGCAACTCCGAGGTTGTTGTTGTTGGTCCACGTCCATGTGCGATGTTTGTAGTGGACATGTAACTAATGTAGGTATAGCATTCATCAGCAGCAGCTCTGCAGTAAAATCACCAACCCGGCGCTCGGATCCAGCTTCCAGGAGGGGCAGCTCCAGTTATCTGGGTCGCCAGCGGAACGGGGAGGGCCGGGCCAGGGATCAAGGAGCCACTGAGATGGCGCTAATGGCGCTATAAGTTCCATGTTCTAGTGCTAATGGCGGCCATGCTTGTGCTGTCCTGCATGGCATGGGCATGGAGTTGAATGGATGGGTGATCAGTCAATGAAACGAAGCCTTTACATTTTGCACTTGATGCAGGTCAGCTACAGGAAGTACGGGTCATGGGGGTAGAAGTGCCCAATCAATTCGTTTTCTGTGTTGATACGAGGTTGGTTCCGAGGTTGGTTCCTATTACATGTACCCAATCATCCCTTTTCCCTCCGATAATACGGAGTACTGATTGCAAAACACCATGATCCATGCCCCTAATCTCCGCCACGCAACCCCGTGCAGTGTCAAACATACAAAGCCTCGTCCATTTATTTCCCACGTGTGTGGATTGAGGTCAAAATAAATAGGCGTCACATGTTTGTTGTATCTAATGTTTTCATTCATGAAACCATGGACAGTTCGGGCCTGTCTTGGTACAGATAGGTACATACAGGTTAGCCTCGAGCATCCACCTCATTATAGACTCTCTGTGTGAGCTGTAGTGTATTTGGAGATGGCCGGTAGCCTACTTACATGCACCTGTATCCAAATGGGATGGCGTATAGGCACCTCTTTGGCAAGATTTGATGCGAAGCAACATCAAGGCTTAAAAACAAGGGAGAGTGGCTGCAACCCAGTAAGCTGCTTGACACGTCCCAAAGGCGGAGTTGCAAGCTAGGACCGTTACAGGAGCTGAAGCAGCAGCCGTTGCTCCCCATGTGGCGCCGGCAGCTGCATAGCACGCCATGACGACGCCAGCACATCCAGCCTGGCATATGCGGTACGCGATTGGACCGGCAGCCGAGGTTGTGACCAGGGTAGAGATGGCGAGGACTTTGAGAATCCGCATCTTGTTGTTTTGATGACTAACTGGGAGAGGGAGAATTGTTTCGATATTTTAGTATTTCGATGGCAGTATGGTGAGATGTGTCAAATTCGGGGATAGAGAGATGATGCTAGCTATATGTTATGGCTATATGATATACACCTCTATGTAGAAGTCACCCTATGGCGAAATTGAAGGTATCTCCGTCTGGCATGTGACTGAAGCAATGGCAAAACACCACGGTTAAACATGCTGCATGTGCGTGGTTACATGCACTGTGGGGATGCATTGAATGAAAGACCGTCAAAGAGGCTACTCACGACTAGACGGCAGCTTACATGCCAGACAGCCCGTACTTGTGCTTGTAATGAAATATTAGTGCCTGAATAAATCGAGAGCCAAAACTGGGCGGAAATGCTTCAATAACCTCGGAAACGCCAGGATCAATGGTCAAATTAAACAATCCTAAATAAACCAGGATCCCTGCTCCGTCCCGGCCAGCTGGATACAGTACATGCAATAACTCCGATGACGCGCGAGTCAGCACTCTATAGAAGGCTACTTGGCTTCCTGTAACGCAGACTGGGGATTCTCGCAAAAGGATCATAGCATCTAGGGTTGAGACATTGCAGCATGTTCAATCCTAAGGCGAGACAGTTGACAGGTCTCAGGCAGACCACGAGCCCGGATTTCTATGCTCTGTAATATTTTGCCGCCTCAAATGTGTCGTGTCTCTCGCCAGTGTTGCTGCCATCCTGCCAACGCTCTCCTGATCCATTATCGGGCACTTGGTTTGAGACTTTTGAAGGATCATTTGTGACATGGCAGGCATCATTACCCCGAGTATTTGCATGTGTTGCTTATCCGATCATTTGTGACATGGCAGGCATCATTACCCCGAGTATTTGCATGTGTTGCTTATCCGATGAACGATTCAGACATCGGGAAATATGTGCTGACTTCGCCCCCTGATGAGCTGTTAAATCCTGGCAGTCCATTCTTACTCTATCTCTGTAGCTATTTAGCGCAGTCTACATGCAGTAACATCATCAATTACTTGGTCTTCTTGGCTTCCCTCTTTGTATACACCAGTCCGTCTCGCATGCTGCCAAACCACAGCGCCCATAAATCGACAACCAAATTCAGACGTCCATAAAAGGGGCCTTTGCCAGTCACTTTCGGGATCCGGTCTGCCGCCTTGACGAAATAAGAGCTCTTTGCGTTCGTACTTAAAAATCGCGGCATTCCCTCTGTCCTCTCAATGAATGGGACGACGCTGGATGCGTCATCTGCCTCCATCTGCTTCAGTACTCGGATGCCCAGCTTGGTCATAGAATCGGCACCAGGCGTCCACGTCGTAGTCACATAGCCGAAAACAGTTGCCAAGTTGGGGATACCTTCGATCAAGCAGCCTCTCCACGCGTACTGCTGCCCAACATCGATATCCTTGCCGTCGACGCGAGGCCTGATTCCACTGAGGATCTGTACGTGTAACCCCGTGGCGGTCACAATCATGTCTGCCGGCAGCTTGCGTCCCGATTTGAGCAGTATTCCATCCTTCTCAGTGGTGTCAATCACATCCGTTACAATCTCGACGTTATCACGATGCAAGGCGTTGAAGAACTCGTCATCTGGAGTTAGGCACAGCCGCTGCTGAAACGGGCCATAAGTCGGATTAAAGTGAATTGCAGCATCAACTTTCTTTGGCAATTTCTTGTCCAGATCCTGCGTGATCAAAAAGCGTCCTAGGCGGGGAGATAGCAGGCAAAGTTCAGAGATGAAGACCTCAAACCACATGTCGATGCATCGGCCAATCCAGTGCACCCAAGTCAAGGGCAGCCACGCCGACAAGAATTTTTCCATTTTCGAGCTTCTATCCATGGAAACAACATAGGACGGCGTCCGTTGCAGCATCGTGAGAGACTTTGCCTTGTCCGCCATCTCGGGCAAGAGCGTAATGGCGGTTGCTCCGCTGCCAATAATCACGACGCGTTTGTCGCTGTAATCGAGGTCCTCTGGCCACCACTGTGGGTGGACGACTTCTCCTTCAAAATTCTCAATGCCGGGAACTGGACTCTGCATTGCCTTTTCGTACGAGTAGTAGCCGTTGCAGGTGAAGAGAAAGTTGGCCTTGAAGAGCTTCTTGGAGCCATTGTTATCAATCTCTAGGGTCCATTTCTGCTCTTCGCTGCTCCAATCGCTTTGAACAACTCGGTGTTGGAACTGAATCTTATCGTACGATCCATCTGTCCTGGCAGCATCTTCTATGTATTCGCAAAGCTCAGCGGCTGTGGCGATCTTGTGAGAATGCTTCCAGGGGTACCAGGGAAAGCCAAAAGACCGGAGAGAAGAGTCGCTGCGCATGCCTGGATACTTGAAAAAGCTCCATGTTCCACCGATAACGTCGCGGGCCTCGAGGATGACGAAGGATCGGTGAGGAAGCTCGGTTCGCAGCCGGTGAGCAGCGTTTACGCCGCTGAGACCTGCGCCAATGATGACGATGTCATGCTCCTCAATAGGCAACTCGGTGCCAGCCATCTGGTGTTGCGCTGAGGTGCTCCGGCCAGGATGACGGAAGCGCTAAGGTGAAACGTGTGAGGAATTCGAACCGCGAACAGGAGGAAAATACTAAAAGATGGTCTTTTTTGACTACTCGCGCTCGTGCTGCCGCTACCTTTATCTTTCTTTTTCTCATCTACACGAGTAAGCTTGCTCCAATAGCGCCACCAAGCTGGGTCTACTAGCAGCTGTCGTCGTGTCGTCTTGTAACTGCATGTGCGTTAGCGATAGCGGGGTGGTATGTCGTAAATAAATAGTTCATTCGTCGGCCCCTTAGCCGATGAACAATTAGGCCGTGCCGACGGGAGCGGAGCTTGATGATGGTTCCACCAGTTGATGGACAATGGATGGATGGAGATTCTATCTTTAGCAAGGAAATGGCTGGCGATGGCTTCCCAGGCGAGATTGGGGGACTGGAAAGTTCGTATAGCAGGTGAGCTGTAGATACAGGTACTCACAAGGTCGAGCTTGAAGTTTAATACGGCCCGAGTAATTCCACATTGGATACAAAGGTACGACACCTATTGAGTACAATTAAGCCTTTATCCCACTCCCCTGATGTTCTATAGGTAAGCACTGATGTCTATAAGTGACGAATAATACCTGCATGATTGCTTCTTGGTTCCCGTCATGCTTGCCAAGGGACTAAGAGGTAGTGCCACTGGATGTCATCAGCCCGGCTAGTATTGGCAGTAATTATCCAACCCTGATCTTTTTCGGCTCGAGAGTTTGGCACTTTTGACTTGACTGACAAAGTGCATTCAATGAGTAATTCCTTTCAGCCAGGCCGATGCTTGTTCACTCACATGCCTAATCTGCTGGTTGATCGGCCGCTAAGAGAGTGTGTATGGATGTACTAATCTTTGACAGCTGATCCACCGATATAGACTTGTGTGCTACGGCTGTGATGGATGTATAAATGTATAAATCATACATCTGGCTTCTGCTTTCAATATTTCTTTTCCCTCGTATTTTCCATTCTCCCAGAGGCACTTGTGTGGTACTCATGCGTTGACAATGCACTCCAATTACAGCGTACAGTAGCTGCGGCAGCTGATTAGCAAGCTTTCTTCTTCTTTGTCCAGCCTTCAGTACAGAAGTACATCGATTATGAGACTCATTCAGTCATTACCTAAGTGAATTACGGCACTCTACCTTCACCCTCTACCCAATGATATTGACCCAGTTACAGCAGCAATTCTGCCTCAAACAACATCGATTGAGCCTCGCAACTCCCATCACGAGCCCCACACCAGCTTTGGCCTATGGAAAGCACAAGTGTGGGGCGCGATCCCGCATCGAAGCAGCTAGAAGGTACCTGGTCGTGTATTTTACAGACCCCACACCGGGTTTCGTTTCTTTTCATCCAGAGCTGATCATCTCCAAGTCTTTGGCGCAAACTCTCTCGCTCTCTTCCTCTCTTTGTTCCTCTTCCCAGACATCGATCAACTTTGCATCCACCGTTTCGACAAGGCTCTTCACCATGGCTTCCGCAGACGAGCTCAAAGCTCTGGGCAACAAGGCCATCGCCGACAAGAACTTTGACGAGGCTATGTAAGTTTGCGCTGCCAATCACCCCACCTGACCCCTCGTCGTCACACTCCAGAGATCCCAGAGATCCGGTAGCTGACGTTTTGGCTTGCCTGCAAACAGCGACAAGTTCACTCAGGCCATTGCTCTTCAGCCCGAAAACCACATCCTCTACTCCAACCGATCTGCTGCCTATGCCTCCAAGAAGGACTGGGACAATGCCTTGAAGGACGCTGAAAAGACGACCGAAATCAAGCCAGACTGGGCCAAGGGCTGGGGTCGCAAAGGTGCTGCTCTTCACGGCAAGGGAGACCTCCTCGGAGCAAACGATGCCTACGAGGCGGGTCTTAAGCATGACCCGAGCAACGCACAGCTCAAGAGTGGCCTGGCCTCTGTCGAGAAAGCCATGCAGGCCGAAGCAGGTACGTTCTACCGCAGAAACCAGCGTCCACAGCATACGTTGCATCATCTCTGACACAGATTTCCTACAGGTGGCGGTCCCGATCCTACCGGCGGAATTGGAAATATGTTCAAGGACCCGAACCTCATCCAGAAGCTTGCCTCCAACCCCAAGACGAGCAGCTTCCTCGCCGACCCCGCATTCATGGCAAAGCTGGCGCAAATTCAGCAGAACCCTCTCAACTCTCAGGATCTTTTCAGCGACCCCAGAATGATCCAGGTGCTGGGTGTCTTGATGGGCGTTGATATGGAAATGCGGGACAGCGCTCCCGAGGGCAGCGAGTCTTACGTTGTGTCTGAGGATAAGGACACTCCTATGCCAGATGCCCCCAAGAAGCCCGAGCCAAAGAAGGAGCCCGAGCCCGAGCCCGAGCCCGAGCTTGACGAGGAGGCTCTGGAGAAGCAGAAGAAGAAGGAGGAGGCTGACAAGGAGAAGGCTCTTGGCACGGAAAACTACAAGAAGCGAAAGTTTGATGAGGCTATCGAGCACTACAGCAAGGCATGGGAGATCTACCAAGATATCACCTACCTGAACAACCTTGGCGCGGCTTACTTCGAAAAGGGAGACTATGACAAGTGTATCGAGTCCTGCCAAAAGGCCATCGACGAGGGCCGACTTATCTACGCCGACTTCAAGCTGATTGCCAAGAGTTATGCCCGCATCGGTACCGCCTACGAGAAGAAGGGAGACCTTGCTCAAGCAGTCGAAAACTACAACAGATCTTTGACTGAGCACCGAACTCCCGATGTTTTGAACAAGCTCCGCGCTGCCGAGAGAGCCAAGGCTGAGGCATCCAAGCAGGCATACATTGACCCTGCCAAGGCTGAGGAGGCCCGTGAAGAGGGTAACAAGAAGTTCAAGGATATGGACTTCCCTGGTGCCGTGGCCGCATACTCGGAGATGGTCAAGCGAGCACCCGAGGACCCCAGAGGATACAGCAACCGCGCTGCTGCCTTTGTTAAGCTCTTTGAGTTCCCTAGCGCGCTGGATGACTGCAACTTGGCCATCAAGAAGGACCCAACCTTCATCCGAGCTTATATCCGAAAGGCGCAGGCGTACTTTGGCATGCGCAAATACTCCGACTGTGTGGATGCCTGCGATGAGGCAATGCAGGTTGATGCGGAGCATCACAAGGGTGCCAACGCTCGCGAAATTGAACAGCAGCAGCAAAAGGCTTTCTCAGCCATGTACTCAGCCCGAGAGAACGAGTCGGAGGAGCAGACAAGGCAGAGACTGGCTCAAGACCCAGAGGTGAGATTTTCCTTCCTTTTACAATGAGTTAATATTTTGGATGAGCATTCACTAACAGGAAACTCGGTAGATTATGGGCATAATGCAAGATCCAGTCATGCAGTCCATCCTGCAGCAGTCGCAATCCGACCCAATGGCTCTTCAAGAGCACATGAAGAACCCAAGCGTGCGGTCCAAGATCCAGAAGCTGATAGCCGCTGGCGTTATTAGAGTTGGAGGTCGGCCATGAGGATAAGAAACAAAAAGGAGTGGAGTAATGAGCCAATGAATTAAGTCATGTTTAATGTAACTCTATAGCTTTCGCAAAATATCTCTTTTTTACTATGATTTATCTGCTTTCTCGACTGCTCTCGACGTCTAAGATCATGAGCCTCATTGACTCACGGCGCGTCGAAATGAAACTGCACAGCCGCTCTAGACATTGGGGGCCGAACACACAAGCGGCGCTCGTCTTACCAGAAATGTACATCTAGCCGGTCGCTTATTGGGCCAACATACATGTACTTACGTATACAAAGTGGGAATTGGCAGCTTTCAGCCTCGTTCGCGCAAATAAGGCACCGGGGTATTACTGGGTATTTACCCCTCTCTCTCATCCTTTATTTTAGGCAACCCTGCAGAAAGAACCAGCTCAAGATAATCCCTAGAGGAAGCCCCCAGATGTATGAAGAAACGGAAAAGCTGACCGCAAAATGGCTAGTCGTGACTCTGGAAGAGAATTTGTCAACGATGATTATACGGTTGGCTGGGTTTGTGCCATAACGCCGGAGCATGTTGCTGCACGAGTTTTCCTCGACGAAGAACACGAATTGCCGGATTATGTATCTCCAAATGACAACAACAGTTACATTCTGGGAAGGATTGGAAAACATAATGTCGTCATCGCTGTCTTACCTCACGGAGAATACGGGATATCTTCTGCAGCAAGCGTGGCTAGAGATATGCTACACACCTTTCCGAACATTAGAATTGGTCTTATGGTTGGTATTGGAGGGGGGGCTCCCAGTGAAAAGCATGACATTCGCCTAGGAGATGTGGTGGTTAGCGTTCCTCGCGATGGAGAGGGTTGTGTGTTTCAGTATGACTTTGGCAAAACTATCCAAAGTCAAACCTTTCATTCGACAGGATTCTTAAATCAAACGCCAACAATTCTAAGGACGGCGGTAAGCGGCCTGGAAAGTCAATATGAAATAAACGGACACCAGATTCAAGAAACAATTGAGGCTATTCTCACTAAAATCCCAAGGTTAAGTAGCAAATACAAGCGGCCGAGCCTAGACACGGATAGGCTCTACCGAAGCAACGTCCTTCACTCTTCTGCCGACGATACAAGCTGTTGCTCCCACTGTGGTGACAGTCCGCCGAATTTAGTAGTACGTCCCAGACGGGACAGCAGCGAAGATGACCCAGCAATCCACTACGGCCTGATTGCCTCTGCGAATCAACTGATGAGAAATGCCGAGGTTAGGGATAAGTTGGCTGCCGAAAAGGATATCTTGTGCTTCGAGACGGAAGCGGCTGGTTTAATGAACCATTTCCCCTGCCTAGTTATTCGTGGTATATGCGATTACGCCGATACGCATACAAACACGGAATGGAGGGGTTACGCAGCGATGGTGGCAGCTGCGTATGCAAAAGATCTTCTCTGCCGGATTCCTCCAAATCGAGTTGAAGCCCTGAAAAGAATGGATGTTTTTTCTGGTAAGCTTGGAAAATGTTCCGATACATTGAAATGCTAGAAATTACTAACAGCGATTAGATATCTCAGAGGGCATTTCCGGTATTCTCCAGAAGCAAAAAAGCGAACATCGTGAAGAAGTTCTTAATTGGCTTACCCCAACCAATTATGCCTCTCAGCAGCATGACTACTTCAGAATTTGGCAGCCAGGAACAGGAAATTGGTTCATAGATTCTACCCAGTATCAGGCGTGGTGCAATACACCGGGAGAATTACTATTCTGCCAAGGAATTCCAGGAGCCGGGAAGACTATCTTAGCATCCCTGGCGATCGACCAGCTTACTACAAAATTCCATGACAACATGGATACTGGGATTGCATACATCTACTTTGATTACCGCCAGAGAGAAGAAAGAGCTGAAAAGTTGCTGCTCAGCCTCTTAAAACAATTGGTGCAGAAAAGAGCTTCTCTACCCGCATATATAAGTGCCCTGTACGAACAGCACAAGGACCAAAGAATCCCACCGTCATTGGAGGCAATATCACTGGCCCTGCAAGAAGTGGCAAAAGACTATTCGCAAGCTTATATCATCGTTGATGCACTTGATGAGTGTTCCAACGACTGTAGGATGAGATTTTTGACGGAGATTCTCAGTCTTCGGAATAAATCAGCAGTGAATATATTCGCAACTTCAAGGCCTAATGCAAACATTGCCAGCAAATTTAAAGATGGCACGCTCATTGAAGTCAGTGCTAGAGACGAAGATATACGTGAATATCTGAATGGAAACATGCACCGGCTACCGGATTTCGTTTTCAACGATGTTCAACTGAGAAGTGAGGTTGAGACAATGATTATCAATTCGGCACAGGGAATGTAAGGCGCTTCCCGCCCATTTATCACTCAAAATACTGACTTTTGGCAGGTTTCTTCTTGCCAAGCTACATCTGAACTCATTAGTCGGTAAAGTCACGATTAAGGACGTTCGGAATGCCCTTGAAAAGCTATCTGTTGGATCGGAAGCATGCGACCACGCTTACGAAGAGATGATGAAGCGAATAGACAATCAGCACCCCGATCAAAAAGCATTCGCTATGCGGGCTTTATCATGGATCTTTTACGCAAAAAGGCGACTTTCCGCGACAGAACTCCAGCACGCCCTCGCGGTGGAAAATGGTTCACATGAAATCGATAGCCGAAATTTCACCAGCATCGAGGATATTGTACTCATGTGCGCAGGCTTACTTACTGTTGATGAAGAGACTGATATCATCCGATTGGTTCACTACACAGCGCAAGACTATTTCGACCGGACACAGGCAACGTGGTTCACAAATGCTGAGAGAGACATTACAAGGTCTTGTGTTACATATCTCTCTTTCAGCATCTTTGACTCTGGATTCTGTGCTACTGATGTCGACTTCGAGCAGCGACTGTCTTCCAATCCATTTTACAGTTACGCTGCACAACATTGGGGGCATCATGCTCAGAGTGCTTCACCATTGCCCCAAGAAGTTACGGCCTTCCTTAAATGCGATGTCAACGTGCAAGCGTCAAGTCAAGCATTGATGGCTCTTAAGCCGACCTGGAAAGACTCAAATTATAGTCAATTAGTTCCTAGGAAGATAACCGGACTACACCTGGCGGCACATTTCGGAATTATCGAAATAATAGGAATCCCATTCAACGATCAGGAGCCAGACGCAGGGGATGATTTCGGTCGGACACCACTTTCGTATGCTGCTGGTAGCGGGCATGATGCGGTAGTCAAGCTTCTGCTTCGTCAACACAACGTCAATCCCAACTCTCAAGATAAGAATGGCCAAACGCCGCTAATGTGGGCGGCAAAGAGAGGGCATCTTGCAGTTGCCGAGTTATTGCTTATGGCTGATGGAGTTGACACCAATACTAAGGATCACTTCGACCAAACGGCGCTGCTGCTTGCAGTTAAAAATGGGCATGAATTGGTCGTCAAGTTACTTCTTACTGTGAGCAGCGCTTGTATCAATGGAGGAGATGATCGGTATCAGACACCGCTGTGGTGGTCGGTTCGAAATGGAGACGTCGCCATCACGAAATTGCTTCTTGATACACAAAATGTCGACATTAACATAAAGAATAATTATGATCAAGCGCCTCTTTGGTTGGCAGCTCGGAATGGAGATGACGAAATAGTCAAACTTCTCCTTGCAATGGAAGAACTCAACGTCAATCTTAAAGATAAGGAAGGCCACTCACCGTTGGGAAGAGCCGCCCAAAAGGGACACGATACAGTAGTCAAGCTTCTACTTACCAAAGAGAACATCGAGATCAACTCTGCAGACCATTATGGCTATACATCACTACTGTTAGCTGCAAGGAATGGGCACACGGCAGTAGTCAAACTGCTTCTTGATGTCAATAGCGTTGATGTTAATGCTATGGATAAGAGCGGTAGAAATCCGCTTCTATGGGCCGTCAAAAACGGACATCAAGATGTCATTACACTTTTGCTTTCTAATACTAAGGTCGACATTAATGTCAAAGACCATAATGACCAGTCGCCGCTACTATATGCGACAACTTATGGTCATGAGGCTATTGTTCAAGAATTGCTTGCAATCGAGAGTGTCGATGTTAATGCTAAGGATAGCTATCATCAAACCGCACTTTTATGCGCAGCTGAACGGGGTAAAGAGGAAATAGTCAAGATGCTACTTGCTCATAAAGACATCGACGTCGATGCGACAGATCGTTATGATCAAACGCCACTATGGTGGGCTGCTGCGAATGGAAACATATCAATCAGCTCTATTCTTCTACAACAAGAAGGGGTGAATATTAATGCTGAGAACACGTTCAAACAATCGCCATTATTATGGGCAGCCCGCAACGGAAACGAGGCAATAGTCGAGCTATTACTTACTATGCCTGGCATTGATGTTAACACCAAGGATAAAGATGGTTTTACGCCAATATGGTGGGCGGTCAAGAAGGTCTACAAGGCAGTAGTCCAACTGCTCCTCGCCAATGATAATGTTGACGTCAATGCAAGGAATGAAGCGGACCAAACGCTACTTCTATATGCGACCAAGGAGGGATACAATGCAATAGTGGAACTTTTACTCTCCAGAAGCGATATAGATGTGAATGCTACGGATGCAAATGGGCATACATCATTAGCACTAGCAATGTATTATTCGATGGGAAGCAGGTCTTCCCTTGACGAAGACGAGACATATACTAGAAGAGCGAGAGGACGGAGAGGTGGCATTCGATTACCCCTATCTCATGAGAAGGTAGCTGTAATAACGGAAGCGTATCCTCTGTCACTACCGTGGGAGGCTAGAACACGCTATGAGGCAGTTTATAAACTGCTTCTGGCCGTAGACGGCATAAATATCAACACCAAAGATAATTATGGTCAAACGCCCTTGTTGTGGGCAGCCAGAAAGGGCTATGAAGCATTGGTCAAGGTATTGTTGGAAGTGGATGGTATCGATGTCAATCAGAAAGACGACTCTGATAAATCGCCACTGCTGTTGGCAACTGCGGGAAAACATACATCAATCGTCAAACTATTGCTGAGCAGGGAAGATCTTCACCCCTATGCCGAAGATGAGTTTGGTCATAGTCCATTATGGTGGGCAATCGAGACGGACAACGAAATGGTAGTTGAGCTGCTACTACTTCAGGACGATAGCATTGTTCGGGATATCGTCACCCAGTCGATACTGAGGAAAGCTGCAGTCAAGGAAGACCATAAAATCCTCAGCATGCTTATATCCAGGAAAGGCATTGATATCAACACTGGAGACGATAGAGGCTCGAACTTTCTATTATGGGCTACTAAGCAAGGGGACATTGCCACAGTTGAAATGCTCCTTGCTCTTAATCAAGATGTGGATATCAATGCTCGAGATTATCATCGGCAAACACCACTATGGTGGGCTGTGAACTACGGGAATGAAGCTCTGGTCAGGCTACTTCTCGCAAAGAATGGCATTGATATCAATGCTAAAAATACGATTGACCAAACGCCATTATGGTGCGCCGTTAACAGCGGGAACTTGCCAATCATAAATCTTTTACTGAAAGAAGATGCAACGGATGTCAACGGAAGAGACAGTTTTGGCCGGACACCGCTTCTGGTAGCCGAATATTGCCGACAACAGAGCAGAATTTTGCGCCAGAGAGAAAATGAATACGGTTCCATGAGTGTTCCAAAGCCTCCAATTTATCCAAAATACCTAGATGATGCGGATGATACGGATGATACAGATGATTTAAAGGTCCCCAATGGTGCACATCAAAATATGCTATTAGCCAAGGAAGATAGCTATATGGATATTATTCAGTTACTGTTGGCCAGAACCGATATCGACGCGAACGCTGTAGGACCAGATGACTTGGACCTGTTGTGGCATGCAACTATTCACAGAGATGCGGCCTTGGTCAGGTTGCTTGTAACTCACGAACATGTCCACGCCAACAGTCGAAATAATCTTGACCAGACACCCCTACTCTGGGCAGTTTCAAAGGGAGACGTCATGATGGTTAAGACACTTCTTGTCAACGGAAGCCGTATCGATATTAATGCAGAAGGGAAAACATATCGTACTTCTGAGACGGCTCTATTACTTGCGGCTCGCAAAGACTACGCTACAATTGTTAAATTACTGCTATCTGAGGATGGAATCGATCCAAACATCAAAGACCACAAAGGACGCACACCGCTATCAAATGCAGTACTCAACGAAAGTATACCCTGTGTCACGGTATTGCTCAGCAAAAAAGGTGTTGACGTCAATACACAGGATTTTGACACTCGAACACCATTGGTGCATGCAATAATCAGGAACAACGTACCAATTGTGAAGCTACTGCTTGGCACTAATGAAGTTGATGTCAACTTAAAGGATGCGCTTGGTCGAACGCCTATATGGCATGCAAGAAACGCCAGTAAAGAGCTAGTCCAGCTTCTCATCACGTCTGGCGCTAAAGTCAACTGCAAAAACAAGTCTGGGGAATCTCTTTTATCGTGGTTTGCTCACGCTGTGAATAAGGAGATAATCAGTGTACTACTTGCTGTGAACGATATTGATGTAAATATCAAGAACAATAGGGGGCAGACACCCCTTTACACCGCCGCTGAAGAAGGATATGAAGGCGTTGTTAAGCAACTACTTGAACGAAACTGTGATGACATCAACAGCATGGACGACGATCGATGCACACCACTTTTAGCTGCGATTATACGGCGCCATACAGCAGTGGTGGAAGTATTGCTTAATGAAGAAGGTATCGACGTCAATTTGGAAGATTTACCTGGCCAAACGCCCCTAATACGGGCGACTCAGGCAATGGATGAGAAGATTGTTGAGCTACTGTTATCCAAAAACGTTAATGTTAATATGGCAAACGCATTTGGCGCAACTTCTTTGTCCATAGCGGCTGGGAAGGGAAACAAAAGGATAGTTGAACTTCTCCTAGCTACGGAAAGCATCAAAGTCAATTACCAAGATAAAAAAGGTAAAACACCTCTATTGTATGCAGCTGGAGGCAGTTCCGCGTCAATAGTTCCGCTACTACTCGCCCATGATGATATCAGGGTCAATTTACCAGATGAATCTGGTCAGACACCACTGTTACACGCAGTTACTCAGGGGTTTGAAGAAGTTGTCCGACTTCTTCTTGACGCAGATGGAATTGACGTTAATGCAAGAGATAAGGATGGACTATCTCCGCTACTATGGGCAGTCAATGAGGGGGATGAAAGGATGGTCAGGCTACTTCTTACGAAAGGCGTCAAGCATATCAACTCTGAGAATAAGGACGGCGAGTCGTCATTGTTTCTTGCCTCTCGGCATGGCCATCAAGAAATAGTCGATATCCTCCTTGCTCAAACCGGTATTGATGTTAACAGTTTGAGTCATAGGGCCTCAACGCCACTAATGATTGCATCAACTTATGGACACTTGCAAATAGTTCAACGGCTCCTTGTGCAAAAGGATATTCATATCAATTTGAAAAATCAAAAGGGTCGGTCAGCGTTACATTCAGCTGTAGCATACGGATACACACAGATTGTTCAATTGCTGCTCAGTCAAAAAGACATCAACATCAATACAAGGGATGAAGACGGTTGGACACCACTACATCCAGCTTCAGAATATTCATATTTACAAATTGTTCGATTATTAGTCGATCAAAAAGGTATCAACGTTAACGCCAAAGGGAATGATGGCTGGACACCATTACATTTTGCTGCATGTCATGGGCATCTCAAAGTCATTCAGCTCCTCCTTAGTCAGAACAACATCGAAATCAATTCCGAGGATCAAGAACTTCTAACACCACTGCATGTAGCTTCAAGGAGTGGAAAACATGAAGCTGTTCAACTGCTGCTTAACCACAACAGCATTGATACCGATGTTAAAGACATCGATGGTCAAACTCCACTTCATTGGGCTTCAGAAAATGGACATTTTGAAGTCATGAAACTGCTACTAAGCAAAACCACTGTCAATATTGATTCCAAAACCATCCATGGTTGGACACCAATCCATCATGCCTCGAGGAATGGGTTCTTTAGAGTCGTGAAGTTGCTTCTTGAACATGGAGCCGCCGTAAATGCCAGAACCAATCATCATACAACACCATTGCATATGGCCTCATGTCATGGACATTACGGATTAGTTAGACTTCTCATTGAACATGGCGCTGAGATGAATAGTGTTGAGATTAATGGCTTCACACCAAAACAGATGGCTTTGATGAATAGACATGTGTCAGTAGCTGATTTACTTTCTTGATAGGCAGGATTACGTAGGAATACACACATCTCTCATAAGGAATAATATTCATTTACCTATCTAATCGCTGGTTGATACGTCCATCAATGATCTATAGATTCTATAGTACATCCAGATGCATTCATATGAGGGATGTCGGCTGCAGTAAATGGAGCGTCCAACAAATGGAGCATAGTAATCGAATATCCACGACATTCACAAGACTTCTGGTGGGAGCGGTCACCTTACAGTTAAAGCGTTAATTTTACTGAGCTCTACTAAATATATAGTAGTAGCCCTTTTTTAGGGTTTTGTGATGGCCTATCCCGTGTCCCGTCATATGTGCCTAACCAGCCTCCATCCCATTCATCACCGACCAAGCCTACCAACGCCGCGCAATTGCCTCTGATTTAGCATGTCGTTGCATCTCCAAGACCAGCGTCAGTAGCTGCCAACAAAAACTCCATGAAACCAGCGCTTGTTGCCCTGAGATTGGAGTTGAACGACGCAACTGTGGGGTAGAATGGGCACGACGCAGCGTTATTGGCGAAACCAAATTCGACGGTGTAAGAGTGGATGAGATTCTTGGTGGGGTCAGCAAAGTGTCGTGAATATGCGTAGTCGTCGCTGGCTCCTGATGTGGGATACAGATTGGCCGACTGGAAAGCAGTGTAGGATTTGCCACCACCCGAGGTCATGGCCGAGGCAACTCGTTTGGCCACAGAGATCTTGGTGTCAGAGTCTGCCTGTGGGAGGTACTCGCCATAGCCCTTGCCGGGAGAGGGAGTGTCGGTGAGGATACCGCGGACTTTGCTATAAGTGCCGTTGAGGAAGTTCATGGTGGGATACGAAGATTGGTTCTCGTCGCTGCCCCAGTTCCACAGGACGTCGCCGGCATACGAGTGAAGGTCGATGAACCAGCGAATCTTGGAGTATGTGTCCATGACCCACTTGATGTTCTTGGTCTCAGGCTCAGAGAAGGCACTGGTTCCGTGGTAAGTCTCAGAGCTAGGAGAAGTTGAGCCCACGCTTGACTGCGCCGAAGAGGCAAACAGATTTTTGAAGTCCCAGAGGAAGTCGAAGTTGCGGTTCAGATCAACTCCGGGAGATTGGCCCGAGTTGGAGTTGCGGTTCTTGCGCCAGCAGCTGTTTGTTGACTGGTCATAGGCCACTCCATCGGGGTTGCTCAGTGGGATGAAGACAATCCCCGCAGCCAAAGCCGTCTTTACCTGAGCGTTGGTGTATGTCTTGGATCCATATGTGAGTCCGACATTGTTCTTGTTGGCGTACAGCAAATCAGAGATGAAGTACAGAACGCTGTCGGCAGCACCGCGCTCTCGAGCGTGGATGTTGCCATTGAGGAAGACGCGGTAGGCATCAGTGCAGCTGCCTCCAGTGCCGCCGACCTTGGCGCCGACGACAGTTGCGCCCTGGGCCGTCTTGTACGGAGTGTTGAATGTCTCGATTCCGTACGTGTTAACGAGGCCCTGCAGACCGCTTAAAACCTCCTTGGCGCTGAGAATCGTGCCGATTGAAGTGGACGACGACTGAGTTCCCAACCCTCGTGGTGCAGTTGCGCCACCACTGAATCTATCGCCTGTGCCGATAGGGGCTCCGTTGCTGCCCTGACGGCGGACAAGAGGCTTCAATCCACTAGCCTCGTCTCGCTCGTGGGGGAGAAGACATCCTGAGCCCACATTAGAGAGCGCGAGGAGCGCAACGGGAATAAACGTCTTCATCTTGATCTGTTGCTGTCTTCGCAGAGAGAAGTGAAGGAAGAGGTGGATGGGTTGCTTGGCGGTTGTCTAGAGCTGCGTGATCCTATTTATATACGGTTCGAGGGCATAATATGATTTCAGATTGATGTACGTTATGTTAAATGTTGATAGCAGTGTCACATCGAAAAGAAACGGCAATCCGCCTTCATCTGGAAGCTGGAAATATCGAGGCCCGCAACTGCCAAAAGCAGGTAGTCCACTGACCTGAATATGAAGGCAAAATAGCACTTGGAACTTTCCTTGTGTCGACTGCCGGCCACGCGCACGTATTATAGAAACAAAAGTGCCGAATGCCCCGCCCATAAAGATCTCGTTCTAGTACCTCCTTGCACATCAATTCGTGGGGGGGGGCTGGTAATGACGGGGGCTGGCGATCGAAACGGCTTTGCGCCGTCCGATCAGTGTCAACCCCCTGCTTTTATGCATCTCCAGTTACTAGGGAGTTCCCATGACGAATGTCAAAATGGTATATCGCCGTGTACGACCAAGAATCCCAACCATTGGGGCGGAGCAAAACACAGCCCCTACATCGTTGCGTCAAACGCATACCGACAACCGTAGTATGCATAAAGTAATTGACTCACAGTTGGGTGAATCGACTGCAAGGAATCTTTGTAAATGAATACACTGCAAGGAATCTTTGTAAATGAATACACTGCAAGGAATTTTTGTGCATTGACATAGATATAGATACCGGGCAGTGAACACCAGGATAGGAAGGTCACGGAACTGAGCGCTCACGACAGCGGGTTCTCAACTATAGTAGAGCTGGAGATTGCCAGGTAAATCGGCGCCCTCCGATGTGTAAATCGATGCTATGCAGTCACGACATCGTTGCTGCGGCACGCGTTCTCTCTCTTCTCGTTGGGTAGAAGCTCCGAGTCACTCTCATAAATGGGTGAAGGCAAACGATACATCGGTATCCTGATGGGAAACCAACGTGTGGCGCTGGTGTTGAAACGACTCGCGTTGCCGAGCGCTTCCTGCTGTCGTCATTTATTTTGCCTGTTTGGTGCTAGTTGTTCGGCCATTAACAAAGTGGCAGCTCCTTTTTTAGCTTAAGTTAGTTATGAATATAAGCCTAAAACTATAAGTTTATCTCGCAAGCAATTGTAGCTGGATCTCTTGCAGGTTTAAGCACATGGCTAAATTAGGAAGGAGAGCATTCAGGTAAGCCGCCCATCGATTGCATGTGGCCAGAGGGGCAGCCGCAGGACCGAGGTCTTAGCTTGTTATTGCCCGTTATCCATTCATAATATCAGGCTGATATCCTGTAGTATTCCATACTTTCGCGCATAAACAAAAAATTTGTGATAGTAGCGTTTTGGAACGAAATGATGAGGCTGAAGTTGTCCAAAACGCGAAAACAGCCAAGTAACCCTAATTTTGTTATTCACAGCTTTTGGTTACCTATCTTAGTAAGACTCACGATATTTCATCCGCATTTCATCTACCAAGCGGAGAACAATCGATTTGCTTGTAGTCGCCTAGTTAATAGTGCATGCAATTAAATCGTTAGTTTGTGCTCGGCACAGCTTTTCTCCCTCTGGGAGCACAAAGATGTCGGAGTTCGTGCTATGCCTAACAACCCGTCATTGGCTATATCCGTAGATCTGTCTCTGATGAGTCTTGAATTAATATGTGCCTTTAATTTATTACATCGAACTGATTCGGTCGTCCGATTAGAAACGTAACGTCGCAATCTCCTAACTCAACTGCCAGTCACTGAGACAGTGAACTTCACAAAGCATGCATTTTATACCCCGCCTAACTGTGCCCGCCGAGAAATCAGTTTCATTCAAACTTGAATTTTAAGAGCCATTTCTCTTCAAGATAACCCTACTTTTGCAGCCCCCTCATAACACTAGGGTGATCCATCAAAAGAGTTCCTATCCAAATACATGGCGAAATTGTCAAGATATCACAAAATCTGTTCAGCTTGTTCAAGGCCTTGGACGAGCAGTTTCAATTTGACGAAGACAATGACAAAGAACTGCGGGCCGATTTCGTTGGCATAGACCAAATTAATGCACATGAAAGAGGTCATCAAGTGTCACTAATGAGGCCTATATACTCTGTCGCGTTAGTAGTCTATGCCTGGCTTGGTGGCGATCCGTTGACCACGCTGGTAATACCTGTAATCAAGATACTTCACCTCACAGTAGGGACAAACCAATGAAACTAGCACGGCATCGAATGGCTGAAGAAATCACAACTGCTCGCTAAGGATACACCTGGGAATCAAGGCCATGCTGAGGTTACGAATCTAGTAACCGTCTATAATATGCTGCTTTTCTTTGCCTATTTGAATTTTGCCCGTCTGGCCTACTGGAAACGAGTCTAAATTGTTCGGAATGAAGTTTAGCAAAAGACTCAGTCTTTTGCACTCCGATAAAGTTCTTACCCGATCTGAAGTCTTTGTGGCTAACCGTTAGTTAACTGAGACAGCATGGACTAAAAGAGAGATGATATGTGCGCATTAATGGACGATGGTGGCATCCACCTCCTGCGACAAGGAAGCACAGGGTAGACGAATATAACTATATTGTATGACATCTTACAAAAGTACAATTTGGGGACTAAGAGTGCACTGGAGGGCATCTTTAACTGCGCATACCATTATTAGAACGCTAAATCACAGGATTATATCTATGAATTTTGGGGATCACTAGGCTTGACATCGTACCTGATTACGAGAAACCGGACATTATTAGATGAAGGACAAGTGCAGCCTGAGAAGTTTGGAATCAAATAAACTAAGATACAGTTGTGTAATGTGAATGCAGGTACTTTTTTCTTTTTCGTACCGTCAAGCGTCCTTAAAGTCGTTGTCAAGCTGCTCCTGGAACTTGGCCCATTGCCCCTTCACCTTATATGAAGAACTCCAGTAGTTTCCTTTGTCATCCTTTCCAAAGATAAACCAGCCATCTGCAGGCTTGATAGGGCCATGGTTTTCCTGGACATACGATGGTCTGCAAGGAACATCGCCCTTGGAAACTTTTCGAGCTGGTGCAAAATCAAGGTTGAACAGACCCGCCTTCGACCAGTTGGAGAAGCCAATCTGAGCCATTGTGCCATCGCCAAAGATGATAACAGGGAGGCCGGAGTAGGACGTACGCACCATGTTGTGATATGCTTCATGTTGTGCTTTTGTTCCCTGTTCGTTGATAGCCCTTCGAACCTGGCATGCAAGCCAACTCAATGGCCTAGAGAAGATATCGCCTGCTTTGATCAACACATTGGCCCATCCGTAAGCGTTACCGACATAGGGATGTTCTGCTGAAGGTGGAATCAGATCGCCTTCAAAAGCTTTCCGCAGAGACATGGCTATAGACGCAGCAACCTTCAGAAATGGAGTCAGAACTGTTTTATTCCCAGAGCGAGGGACAAGGGACCTGATTGCAAGAACCTACCGTCCTATCTGAGCTCATATCCATGGATGCAACGATACAGCGAATGATCCAAGCCGTTAATATGTCATTTTCAGTCAAGAAAACTTTTGCGATATCTTCTCCTTTTTCGATTGCCTCCGCGCGGAGCTCTTCCAAAGCCTTATCAAACTGCATTCGCCAATATGTTTCGGGGACGCAAACCATGCGATTCTCCTTGGCACGAACCAGCATATCGACGCCATAACCAAGACCCCATTGGAGCATGCCGCCTAAGCCAACTCTTTTATCAGCCAGGACATGTTGTTCCGTGACTGGGCGAGATCCTTGAGCTAGAGCATCAAAGGGGTCTGTATCGAATCCGCATGGTGTTGGAATCGCATCCGCCTTGCCCCATAGCATAGAGCTCCAGCCTTCTACGACGTACTGCATGCCTAGGGCATCAAATGCTACATGCTGCCATTGCAAGACCACCACAGTCTTATCAGTAAAAGAGTTGACGCGCAGACCCAAGACTGGACGATCGGAAGTGAGATAGTCGCTAATTCCCCCAGGTCTGTAACCCGTTTCCCACGCCAAATCTGCGAGGTCGTCTGGATCACCTAACACGGCAGGCTTACTACTGGGCCGTGGTATCTTGGAGGCTGCTGGATGGGAAGCGGCTGGCATGCCGTGATCAACATGGGCAAATGCGATTGCAGGCCGCTCGGCCGTGAACTCGGCGGGGATATGCCATTCAATCTTCCCAACAGCCTAACAAATGACATGAGTGTCAGCATGAGTTGCTGCGTTTAAGCGAGCACAAAGTTCAGCTACAAGAAACTGGTCCGGTGCAGCAGTCCTCACATTCTTCCTTAGCCGGCCCCCAAGGCGTTGCCAACCCTCCCGCTTAACAAGGCCCTCGAGAGATCCGCGAAGCTTCTCCGGGTCAAGAACATCATCGAAAACGAGAGAGACGGCCATATTGTTCCCTTGTACGAGTGGGCTGTTCTCAAAGAAATGAAGCGGTATTATTTGATCGCCCAAAACGGGCGCCGGGCTAGGCTTTCCTCCAAAAAACAGATTCATTTCGCTCCGTGACACAGTTCAGGTTTACAAAAAGAAAAGAGCAAAGATTCCTTGCTTATCTCGTGATATAGAAGTATGAGAGAGGCATCCGAGAGAGTCCTTGGTTCTAAGTATGAAAGCATGTATTAAGCCAGACGACACAAAGCAGAAACTCAGACAGCGGTGTAATGCCGATTATTGCTATTTAAGGATGTAGAAGTATTTCATTAGGAGTTTTACCTGGTGGATAATCGGCTAATAAAATGAGTTACGGATCGCAAGAACCTTGAAGCTGTTGGTTCCTCTCTCGAGCCCCCCGTCCGGTCCCACTCACAAAGGATCTTTTGCGGCCGCAATCATGTTACAGGTACGGGATGCACATGCCGAACCCCCTTTTCTTTACTCTGGATCTCTGCAATGGTCAGATATGAGCTCTGTATTTCGTAAAATTGTAGTACTACAGAGATGTTAATCAAGCGTTTAACAGTGCCAAACTAATATGTGGTCAAACAATTCTGTTTCTTCAAAACGTTGACAATACCAAACGCAATGCTTAGTAACATATTATCCAGGAAGACATTTAGGTCAGGCCACTTTGTGTGTGCAGCCGTCATGCCGCGTTTGTAGAAGACAACGGTCGAGTTGAAGAACTGGGACATACAGGGGTAGGTTCAACTCTCAGCACCCAACAAGCAAATCAGAAGAGCGTGCGAATGAGGAGGTCACGCTATTACTGTTATACAGCACAAAGACCGGGGCAGCAAGGCATTATGCGAACCCCTGCCACTAGTTGCTAAATAGCCGAGAGTTTGGCATGCGCCACATATTTCTGAAAGAGGAGAAACACTGCCCATTACCACACAATAACCACGGACCTTGTCAGTACGTTGGCTTGTGAACTGATTACTACAGGATCAGAGTATTCTATATCTCGTATATATAAGAGGCTCTCATGAAGATTGGAATCAATCTGTACGGGCTGCTTACAACACCCCGATGCTCTCGGACTTTCTTGCAAGCTAGATTTTCTCCAATCCGTTAATTGAACGGAGCCGGCCCTGTTTATAATGGATCTTTCTACGACGCCAGCGATGGCGCCGCCGGATGGCCAAACACCGCAATTTGACGCTCCCTATAATTCTCTACAGATACGGACAGTGGCCGCATTCGGAATCACTTATTTCTTTGCTTCCTTTTTCCTCTCTTTACGCTATTTTCAGGCTATCAAATTAGTCAAACATGTTGAGGTAGACCTAAGTATGTAAGTCCCGCCTCACCTCGGATAACTGATACCCAAGACACCAACATTGAAGTTCAGGCCCTCATGTTGACCCTTTTATTCTTCCTTTGTAGTTACACTTACGCTTGCATATTGCCTCTCCATGTACTACTTTATAACATTGGTTGATTGTACGTTTGCTTGGTGCCATTTGCGAGACTCCTCACTAAATCCAAAAACAGTAATGCGACATGGCTGGGGGAAACATCTATGGGATGTGTCATTGGCACAAATCATGGAGTTTAATAAAGTAAGCGTGCAACATTACATGCCAATACTGACACTGAACAGTATTAAGGCTTTTTAGGAGTTACTCCCTAACACCCTGACATACTTAATTACCCCATCCGTCACCAAAATGGCCATGCTGTCTGTCTTGTACCGCATCAATCCCTCTTTAATCTACCGCTGCGTTGTCGTGAGCGCTGCTGTCGCTATTCTCGCTTATACATTGGCATTGACTAGTATCACTGGCGGCCCATGTAATCCTCTCAAATCAGGGACCACTACTTGCTTAGAGAATGTGGCCCTGGCACAGGCCGTGATGAATATTGTCTCCGACTTCGCGGTTATAGCTATACCGATTCCAACCATCCACGGACTCCATTTCACATTGAAGCAGAAAATTTCGGTAGGCTGTATTCTGGCCATAGGATCTGGGTCAGTCTCTCTCTCTCCATTTTCCACTTCTAGTTACTTTGCTTTTTCACTAACTGTTCCGTAGTGTCGTCGTCTGCTCCATAGCCCGTCTACCATATGTTCTCATTCTTGACAGCACCACCGATGTTACATATACAGAGGCCATTCTGGGTGTGTGGTCCATCGTTGAGATCAACCTCGGCATCATCTGCGGCTGTGCAATGCGGTTGAAGTCGCTGGTCGTAAGGTACTTGCCCCAGCTTGGATTCTTCTCTTCCAGTCCACACGAGAGCGAGACACACGGGTCATTGGGTAAGAACCTCCAAAAAGGCAGTAACAATGCTCAACGGTCATACCAGCTCCACAGCATCCAGAAGGAGAACGTCAGCCAAGGGCTTGACAATGGAAGCGGTGGTGATTTTCACTCATATGGGCCCAGCCCTAGAAGCAGAGGCTCGGATAACGGGAGCACAGACAAGATATTAAATTAATGCGTAACCGGGCATTTATTTATTACTTTTGAGAATTTAACAGCCATTTGAAGTTCTTAGGCGTTTATTTCCTACCAAAAGAATGATTGAAGGGGTTAAAGTATGCACAATTGTACTAGATATGGCTCCAAAGTTCGCACAATTGTGTATGACAAAATGCAATACGCAAGGCATTAGGATAGCCAGTAATAGGACCTCGGTGCATTCATTACCCTTCCACTCGGAGATATACAAGCGTGTGCGAGAATACACCATCTGACTGACTACATAATTAGCATAGGGCAGAAGGGAGCTGTGTGAAGCCCTTATTAGGAAGAGAGGTCGTAGAGCTAGATCTTAGAAAGAACAAACCTATTGAAATTTTCTCATATGCATGCAGGCGACCTATTATAGTAGCAATCAACCGTCAAACTTCCCGAATTTCTTACGTCCCCGGGCTTTCGCCTTCGGTTATTTAATATGTCTGACTATAGCTACTTAGATTCCATATTTACCCCTAATGCTTTTCTACGGGATCTTGTAGGCATCAGTGGCTCTTAACCACGGCGAGGATGAAGCCAGTAAACACCGGTGTAGGTATCATTGAATGGCAAGCCACTGTCGGCATCAGTGTGGCCTGGACTCGCTCATCTCTGCCAATCTTTGTCAAGATAGTCTCGCCCCCTTCCTCTAGCCCATTCTTAATCATTGATGGAATCACATCGTCTAGAAAGATGCATCCCTTTGGACGCGTTAACTTGACCGCCCAGTCGAAGTGCTCCCATTGATCTTCGAAGTCCGCGTCGATAAATACCATGTCAAACTGCCTCCCTTCCTCCGCAAGTTTCGGCAATACATCCAGCGCTGATCCAAGCAGAATCTCTACATCGAGGCCATTGACATTCTCCAATGCCGTGTCCCGATGTTTTGGGTCGATTTCGATACTGGTTACCTTGGCTCCTGCTTCCGCAAAACAGATAGTCGAGTAGCCCCCCAGCGTACCAATTTCGAGAACTGATTTGACTCCCATGAGCTGAGCGAGAATGGATAGATGTTGACCGGACATGGGGAGGACACTGATGGGTGGAAGGCCTTTGGCTGTCGAGTTGACCAAGCATTGTTCAAGCTTGGGATTGGGACGGAGCAAAGCAGATTGAGCTTGTGCGTCGAAGCTTGGGGCTAAGCGAAAATTATCATAGCTGAGAACGGCCTCCATTGCTGGCGTTGTGAAAGCCATATCGAAGTGGTGTATTGGTAAGAGCTGAAAACTTGCAAAGTGTCCGGTGAGGATAATAAACTTTGAACAAGATCAAGTAATGCATCTAGCATATATATACTTACTTCGGAGTTCTTGAAATGCCGATAGGCCGCGCAGAGTATATACGACATCCCTCACATCTCGGAAGGAGTCGCATATTTTAAGTAGCGAAATATAGTAGGAGCTATTCCTATGGGCTAGCAGCCATTCGATGGATATGGGGTCCCTCTAAGAGGAACGAAAAAGTCCCACTGTGCAGATGTAGCTTGTTTCATATGAGTCTGACATATCTAGGAGATGTGTTTATCGGCTTCTAAGACGGATTGGACTAAACGAGGTGGGGGGCTCGTTCAACTCTAATGAATCAGCGAACCCACTAAAGCGAGAAAATCACTAATGCTATACAAGTATGCAATATTTCATATTTGACAAATCAAGAATTGACTGCTTCAATGTCCGAGTCCCCTCTTCGGAGTATTACAATAAGGAGTATCAAGATTGCCCCCGCATTTGCCGAAATCTCGGGGCTAATGCATCACCCACCTGTTTTCGCATAGCCAGATCCGGCTCGTTTAGTCTTGTATGGTTTAGTGTCCGAGATATCTAATGTAGCCTTGTATAGTCCGATGTCCAGACAAACCCGACCACCGATTTCGCAACCACACGACAACTCCGTATCCCACAATAATACCCTACATCACGCAATGGTCGTGTACCCTCCCGCTATAATGGAACCGGCACCAACGTCTGGCTCATCCTCCCATGAGGCAAAGAAGAGAACCGCTCCGTCGCTACTCGACTGCACTAATGTCTTCATTATCACCTCCAGTTCAGAACAGGCGTTATGCAAGATCCCAACCAACTTGGTAGTAGATCCATTCAGGCAGAAAAGGCTGCATCACAAATCCAAGCGCGGATGTGACCAGTGCAGGAAACGACGAGTAAAGGTAGGTCATCGTCTAATGGACGCTACATTGCGTTGACCCCGGTCTCCGAATGCTGCTAACCTGCGTCATTCATATACACAAGTGCGACGAGAGAGTTCCCAGATGCTCGGCATGCACCCGTCGGCAAGAGCCTTGTAGCTGTTGGGTTTCTGGCAGCTCCAGGCGAGAGGTTGAAAGATCGCAAGAGATCCTTGCTGTTGACCAAGTACCCCGGAGCGTCTCACAACAACACAAATTGGTATCGGATGAAGTAGTCAACTTGCTACACATGAAGCTCTTTCACAATTTTCAACATCAAACGATCCCTACCCTCCTCTTTGGCTCGGATGTCTGGGAAAATGCCATACAGCTATCCTTTAGCTTCCCCTCTCTAATGCATGCCATACTTTGTGCGTCGGCGAGGCAACTGTCGTTTCTATTTCCCGACGAGCGGAAGTATGCTGCAGCAGCAACCACTCATTTGATAAAGACACTCTGCCTCTTCCGTGACGACCTTTCTAGTAAACTCACTCCGTCCAACGTCGATGCATTCATGGTCACGACTGCGCTGCTACACATGGAGATGTGGTCCAATGTCGAATTTGTGGTGTTTGGGCCTGACGGGACTATGTCATATGATCCTCTTCAAGACCGTCTTTTCCAACACAGCCTGGGTGTCTTGCATGTATTCTTGAGCTGTATTCCCCTTTCTTTGCAGGGGCCGTCACCATTGATGCCGCACATCAGGCATAGCTCTCGGAATGTCCTGGTCAATGCTGCAAGGCTGAGTAGAAAGACACTGGAGAACTTTAGGTGGTTTTTCTCATATGAACGGCCTCTCAGTCCATCCCTACTTTCCGTGCCTCTCCCCTTTGTTCGCGATTCCGATCTTGCCCCAGAAAATCTCTGGACCGTTCAGATACCAAAGCTAGCGGAAATAAGCCCTTCTAAGTCTAAAGAAGCAGGCTACTGTTTGAACGGGTATTATGGCATTGTGGATCGCCTTTGCCTCATATTATCCTTCCTTCCAGAGGCACAAGATAAGGAATTTGAGGGCCTGAGCCCCGAGTTGACAACAAACCTTTCTCGATATCTTATTATCGTCCCTGTTCTGTGCGACCAACAGTTCGTCTCGATGGTGAGACATGGGGACCCCCACGCAATGGTCTTGTTGTATCACTTTTATCGCGCCGTAAGGATCCTTGTTCCTTCAACAGAGCATTGGTGGGCACAAAGAAGGGCTAGCTTGGCAGAGACGGTGATACAGCAATGGCTATTCCGAGAGTGCGCTAGAAATGGGGTATCAGCTGGAGACAAGATTCCCTAGTTTTCACATCGAAATTAGCTTTGCAAGCTCTTCTGTTCCCAAAATGTTGTTCTATCATCTACCTGAAGCTGCAATCTACATGTATATTAGAGAATTCTCTACATTAGCATTTCTGAAAACTGTACAAAGTGCAGTTACAGCTGCAATTAAGTCGTGTCCTTTCATTGTACACCATAATCCAAATTGCGAGTGAGAATATTAGCTAGCCCAGTCAGATCTACGTTTTCAGAAACTTTCATGGGCTCTACAATTCACCCCAGCTTTATAACTGCCTTTAAAGCCGTATGCGGCAGAAGTGTCTCGACTGCTAGTTCGTGCTGCGATCCGCTGCCATCATCCCAGGGCCTAGATGATACACATAGACTCATGAATCATATTGCATTATTCTCTGAGTACATGTACAGAGGCCCATTTCGGTTCACTTTGTTGCTCATGGCTTCACACGTGGCGCTCCTGGCTCACTGCCCTCCGGCACAGGCACCAAAGCCGACCTTGTATAAATATGCCTGGCACCCTCCAGATTAAAACCTTCGACGCAGCCACCTTTGACCGCAAGTGAGGGCCTAGGCGTACCATCTTTGAAGATTACCCGATGCAGGATACGAACGCCACACACTTTGCAGAAATAGCACTCTACTGTGTTGCCGGAATCTGCTTGCCTGGCCCACATGCCAATATGTTGTTGTAAATGTTTCGGGAATGGCCACATGCCCTCAGATGGGAAGATGGCAGAGGTACCAAACGCGGAAGCCGATTGTTTCTGGCATTCCGTGCAGTGGCATACATATTTGCTGAGAGGTTCAGCGCGCGAGGCTATGAGGGAAATGGTGCCGCATTGGCAAGTTATCTTTGGATTTTCGCTTAATTTTGGGAGCATATTAGAGTGGTAGCGATTAGATGTTGATGAGGTCGGATGTGTTAAACCCTCGAAGTGACTCATGAGATATGGGCGTAGTAAGCTGGTTGATGGCCGCAATGCAGTCCGCTGCCGAAAGGCAATTAGTAAATATGCTTTTGAGGAGTTCATTGAGAGCAAAAGAGTCAAGACTGGTTGGATTCAAGATGCATGATTCAAATCGTGAATGAATTCTTTGATTAGAGGCCTAGAGACATCAGTTTGGGGATGTAACAACTAAATGCTGACGGACTATCCAATGGAAGTAAGCACCTTGGAATAACGTTATTCCTTTGAAACCAAGAGAGAAAGTTACGAAAAGAGCCACATCCTTCATTGGTGGTAATAAAATGGTAGCGAGCATCTTAGCGTCGGGTTGGGTAACCACTAAAAATGGAATCATGTAACTCCAGATTTGAAGTCTTGGGATGCAAAAAAAAAAAAAAAAAAAAAAAAAAAAAAAAAAGGAAGTCATAACACTGAAGAGAGGAGCTTGATGGGACCCCGAATTTTCCACTACCTGTGGTCGTATGTGCTAGTATACTCTCAACGGAGGCTTAAATACTGACAGCCACACGGAACGATCCGAGCCTTTTTCATTCATGAAAAGGTGTAAGGTTATATTACAGGAGGGATTTGCTGGTGATAACTAATCTAACTACTGATATACTATATTAAGCGGATAGTTTATTTATAGAGAAGGAGATAGATAGGGCCTTAAATATTCTCTTACTGATGTTCATTTATGCAGCTTGGGGCTACTTGAAGCGAATAAATTGTCTGATTTCCCATACCTTTTCAAGGGAAATATTCCACTTTTTATACCAGGAAGTCGGATTGACCTCTACTTCGTCACTACTGCTACTTATCTATCAATTGATTGTGCAGCTAGCCCAAAAGTCTCATCAAACCGATCATAAGTTGTCAAGGAGCAAATGTACTCCCCATGCACTTTGAAGGCGAGGTTAGCCGACGTAGCACGATAGTTGTTATTGAAGGAGCCATCCGATTGTTCAACCACAGTGGGCCACCGCAGCCCTGTAGTGAATACCTGAACTCATTGCCCGAGAGCTGGGTAGAGAGCACGACGTTCTCGCCGACGTTGAGCCTGGTCCAGCGGCAGGGGTCGGTACCTTCCACCCACATCACCACTGGGGAGTAGGGAGCGTCAGTGTTGAAGGCGGTTGTAAACTGCATATAGATACAAGATAGTTCAAAAAGTATCGTTGCAACCCACGGCAGTATCGTTGTAACCCACGGCAGTCCCGATGGCATTAACAGCCTCAATACATATTGTAGATAATGCCAAAGTGATGATAATAGGAAGAACGTCTCGTACCAAAAGCATTGTAAAGTGCAAATTTTCTGAATAGCTGAAGGAGAACTTATTTAATATATTCAATCGATCAATGCTCAGATTTGGCAGTATTGTTGTGAATAGAAATTGGGAGCTCTGGGTGGTCTTGTAGTTCCCAAGTTGGAACTATCCTTTTGTATATTCTCACAGTGACATTTATTGCCAGAGACAGTTTGAACAATCGCCTGATATCCTTGAATAATCGGACATGGATTCAGTAGTATCTTAGCTTTGCTTGGCATAAGCATGTGCCATTCTTTCCCCGGCACCATCTTGCCAAACAGCATAGAATCTCCAAGATCGAGGAGAGTAGCAAGGGCTGGTTGGTAACATTCTACGATGGCAAAGTAAAATATTATATCGAGATACTGGAGAATGTAGGAGGCGTAAAGTATTAGAAATAGTAAAAAACGAGAATTTCAATGCATAAACGTAACTTCGCCTGCCCACGAAGGTGTAGGTAACACTTGTCGGCACCTCTGGGGTGATCACTTGCCACTTTCGAACAGCCATTGCCTAGGTGTTTTTAATCTACCAGCTATGAAAAGAAATTCATGGTTTCCAAGAAAACAATTCAGTGTAAAGTCCGCTCTCCGCAGGCGTATAGTTTCCGCATTCCGCATCCGCCAATGTGGGAGCGGCCGCTTCTCTCGGACTTTACTTACCCAAGCCGCACTTTTTAAAAACGTATATTACTTAAGCACACTCATTTACCTATTGACAGTTTAGTCTTAATGCTACATGCCAAACTTATCTTAGTGTACTTTATTGATCGTAAAAGCAAGACATTCAGTGGTGAGGGAAGAAAGAGAGGGAGCGGCCGCTTCAAATCATACTCACCCGAATAAGCGGGTATATAAAGATAGTCATTATGCTCGCCTGCAAACAACGCACCATACTATGTCATGCAAAAAGTTTCCCCATAGCTTGTGGCCTGCTATTATATTTATCGAAGCTCGTAGCATCTCGGCGAACATTTCGCTTACATTACAATGCTTCCCAAATTTCTCCATGGTCCCTCATTCATCAGCGGAGCTGCACGGGGTAATTACTTATACCATGGCCGTGCTGATATCCTATATCAACTGCTTATATATGCCTCTTAGGAATCGGAAAGGCTACTGCGTTTGCGTTTGCAAAATACGGAAGCCCCCAAATTGCTATTGCTGACGTTAATGCGGCCCTGTTAAAGCAAACAGCCCAAGAATTGAAGGATGCCTATCCGGATGTTGATGTTTTGCCAATCGAGTTCGACGCCGCCAATGCAGACTCCACTGCCAAGGCTGTTAAAACTGCCTCCTCAAAGTTTGGGCGGATTGACCATGCGGTAAACAATGTTGGCATTCCTGGACCCCTGGCGCCCAGCGCATCCATCCCGACGAAGGATTTCAAGAATCTTCTTGATATCAATTTGACGAGTATGTGGATCGCGCAGAGGGAACAAATTAAAACTATGCTTCAACAGGAACCTATTCAGCAAGAGTTCGTGACTTTTGTAGTGAGATGAACGATGCAGCAGATTAATTAGCGCCTAGGTTCGGGAAGATTCGAGGCACAATTGTAAATTTATCGTCTATTTGGGGCGGATTTGGCTCCCGAGATTTCCCTACGATGACAGCCTATGTTACAAGTACGGAATTTGTTTTGAGTATTCTATAACAGAAGGGGTCACATATGCTAATATCAATGGCCAGGTAAGCACGGCATTATAGGTCTAACAAAAAGTGTACGCTTTCTCATTCGAACTCTTTTATGCGTGTATATGGACTGTTAATCACATATAATAACAGGATGCGAACCAATACGCCTCGGAAAACATACGGATCAATGCTATTTGCCCAGGTTTTACGATGACCCCCATCATAGGAACCATTGGTCCAGAAATGCAATATATTCTTGACCAGGGAATGCACCGCACAGCAATGAAAAGATTTGCTCAGCCTGAAGAGCTCGCTAATAGCATCACGTACTTGAGTTCTTGGATGAGCTCGTTCATGAGCGGCGAGGCCATGCTGGTAGATGGGTAAGTATACTGTAGCGCTGTAAACTTCTGATCTCCAGGATAGCTGACATGTTGGTTATTAGTGGATTCTCTTCTTAAGGATTGATTGAAGCTAGATGTAGCAACCCTAGGCATAGTTTAAGTAGCCTAAATGAATCTGCCTAACAGATTTCTTCAGACATTGAAGGGGGCTGCCTACATATTGAGCACACTATCCAGCACCCCAGCGACTAAGGAGAGTTTCGAGTGTCGTAACATAGAATACAGATCTTTTATTAACATTACTTTAATACATATGTGATTCCTGGATACTCTCGCTATATTCTGCTATCTGTGAGTCCGAGGCTAAGTCTCAGATCTGCGCCATAAGAGGCGGATAGGGAAGCTGATAACATTTATGGCAAAACGTCTTTCACTTTCTTTTGCTTTCTTTTACTCTTAGGCGTAAATACCTACCGTCTCACGAAGCATCAATTTCCATCACGGGACGAGACGCCGGGATGCAGCGAGTTGTCTCACGCTACCTCAAGAGCGACCTAGTGATGTGGCGAATATTGTGTCCAGTCGGAGAATATACCGAGCCTCGAAGGCGATGAGCTGATATATTGATTCCATCAATCTTCAGAAGTTTTGAACGGGATTGTAGGTTATTGATGATTTAAATGGTGGTCAAGTAAAGAGATTCAAGTTCTTCATAAGCGATAAAGAAAAGCATAACCACACTAACAACCCAGCGGCGAATCGGCAGGAATAAATGCATCACTTAGTCATGAGCATTATGCAAGCAGCCACTTGCCGTAACAGATGGGCGGGTCACTAATCAGGAATGTCATCACGCAGTACGAGTATTCAATTTGGTCATCCACCCGATCGTAGTCATGTCTCTCCGAGAGTCATCGGAAACTTTACACTTTATCCGAGAGGGATCGGAAACTCATATATGTATACAGGATGCAATTATGATTACCCATCAATACATAATAAATGAGTAACGAGCAGCTGGATGATGCGAAACAATGAGCCAAGGTCTAGTGCAAGACAAGAATCAAGAGCCACTGCCAAAACAATCATAAAAGATAGCTAGGTTTGTAATTCCTTCTTAAAATGGTGGCTATTCATAGTGATTCTTTCCCATCGCATAACATTTCTACATGCACGTACTCGTATCCCTTCTCTACTATTGCATGGCGTGACATTATTTAAACTCCGAGCTTCATCGGAAGAGATGAATCAGTCAAGCTAACTCTATTTTTCTCCCCAGCTGTCAGAAAAGAAGGCTTTTAGTCTAAAGCGTCCACAGCACCATGATTAGCCAGTCCAATGCTCCCCTATCTCAGTCTTCCCCAAACCTTCTACAAACCTTGGGGGGGAAGTTCAAGCTTTCTGTTACTAATCAACAATGTATGCACAAGCTTTCGATGCATCTCATACTTTACAGCACGGAGCAATTACATGCTCTAAGTTGTCCATTAATTATTCAGCTCGAACCACTCGACGTTTAATTTTCTTATATAGGCCACATCATTTTCCAAAACAAACAAAGCAAAAAGAAACAAAACAAAAACGATCAAATAATACACTGATAAGGAAGCAAACAATCACGCAAATAAGCGATTACTCAATTTTCCAAGCTACAATCACAGACAGTAGCATCTCTCTGTGATCGACATCAACAACCATGGCTTTGTCAACTACCAACCCTTTCCCTTCCTTCCCTTTGACCGGAATCGAGTTTCCTACTACTCCCCTCGTGTTAGCTTCTTACTATCACGCAAAAAAATATTCGAGCCAAGGGGTCTTGAACCACGTTCTACGAAGTGCAGCCTTTTGCCTTCTTCTCCAGAAGAAGATGCCCGAATTTGCCAAGCTGGGCGATGAGCTTGATGCTGAGCTTGTTGTCGTGAGCTGTCTACTCCATGATCTCGCCTGGTCCAAGACAAAGGAGATTTTGACGCACTCCAGACGTTTTGAGGTCGATGGTGCCAACCTCGCTCGTGACTTCATCGACGCACACCCTGAGAAAGATAGTAACTGGGACAGGAAAGGTCGCCGCATGCAGTTGGCCTGGGATGCCATTGCATTGCATACGATGGAGGTTTTTGCGCCCTGGAAAGAGCCTGAAGTCGCACTTGTCCACTATGGCATTCATGGCGACCTCCTTGGACCGAGCCTGCACCTCCTTGGGCTGCCGGAGGACCTGCCGAACTTGAACGGAGTCATGGCGGATGAAGAGTTCAAGGAAATTTGCAACGCGTTTCCTCGCAACCACTTTGCCGATGAGTTTAAGGAGATCTTCTGCGGTTTGTGCAGGGACAGGGGCCGCTACACATTCGACAGCACCGTTGTGCACTACGGAATGGAATGGGGCTATGATGGTAATGGCATTGGAAAGGAGGAGTTCAACAAGATGGTGGAGGGTACTCAACGCGCCAAGAATTTGTACAAGGTGATGACTTCCATTGATAAGCTTGCTGATGAGGCTTAAAAAAACCTGTTCTGTATTTCACATGGATTGGATTATTAAATAGAGGACTCACTGCGCTCTGTGATATATGCCGATGGTCTTATCTTGAATAACTCGCTCGTTTAGCTGTCTAACATAGAACCTCATGTTAATCGCCTCATATAAGTATAAAATAGAATATACTATTCTATTATCATTTTCTCTGAACACTATACCTATACAGAGAGGTTGCCTTCAACCGCTGTCTAGATTATGCTTAGTAAGTGAAGCTGCGCAGTTCATTTGTAGTCCGCTATTGAACTAGGCATGACGAAGCTCCTTCAGTAAGAAGGGCGCTGGTTCTAAATTGAGCTGCAAAGGGGCAAAGAGCTCGAGATAGATAGACAGTACTATATTAGCAGCAATGCGATAAGACCAACTCGGGAGCAGTGCACAGCTAGAGAAGCTAGATGCAACTGAAGTAGCGAAGTAAAAGTCGAATAAAGTGGATACAATGGAGTAGCTGTTGGGGGCAGACAAAGAGCGGCGTGGACGACATGCAGCTGCCAGTGTATCTCAGTTGCCATTACAATGTTGTCGAAAGTATTAATATTAAAGAGGGAAAAAAATACATGGTTGAGGAATGTGTAAAAGCATATCGCAAGCTGTTTATAGAACCGCTATCTTCGCAAGTTATTCGCTTTGTCAGAGTCACCACATCTGCTATCTGAAATCCTATGCGAAGATCTTGATTTGTCAGGTCCTGCGTATATACCATTTACAAATACAATAGCAGCGGAAATACACGCGTATATTCCTCCTTGACAAATCAACATAGCTTCACGTAACCAATTACCCCTGCCGCGTGAAGTCCCCTAATTTGTCACTTTGGGCATATATGCTTGTATTTCCTTTTCTCTCATTATTCATTGAAGGGTTAGTAAACTGTAGGATCTATGATGTGATTTGTCGAAATAGTAACTAACGAGAAACGCCTTTTTTGGATAGACACAATTCGGCTATTTGTCAGCTGCTCCAGTGGGAGAGGAGTCATGAGATAACGGAATTAATTGTGTCTTTATATGGATTACATTAAGGCAAAGTCACAACGGTATCTTGATATAATAGCTTCCTGATTCTTTCACAACATCGTCTCGGTGGCAACAGAGCTTTAACATCATATCAATAGAAATATTGAAGAATTTAAAAATATTTGAAAGCTCTGGGAACAATTTCAGACAGTATGAGGCCCTCTGAGTACTCTATCCCCGTTGGAAGTTTGGTGCTAGTCACCGGAGCTAATGGATATATTGGGTCGCATGTTGTCGATGTATTGTTGGAGTTGGGATTCAATGTTCGTGGAACTGTTAGGGAAAATAAACCGTGGTTAGATCGCTTCTTCGAAGATAGATATGGAAAAGGTAGATTTGATAGTACTGTGGTGCCAGCAATGGAAGAAGATGGGGTCTTTGCCTCTGCTGCAGAAAGGGTGGATGGAATCGTTCATGTGGTAAGAGATACGGTGATATACCAATCTCCGTACAATATTTGCTAACCTAGCGCACAGGCAACAGACGTTACTCTTGTCAATGAGCCACATAGAATCATACCAGCTGTCCGAAATGGCACGATTAATGTCCTCAAGGCGGCTTCGAGTCAAGAAACAGTGAAGCGTTTCGTTTTAACGTCATCTTCTGTTGCGGCAATCATTCCTGAGGCCAACAAAAAGGGTGTCATAGTCGATGAGAGTAAGTATAACTTAATAGCTACGCATACGCAAACTGGTCTAAAAATCTCTTAGATACGTGGAACGACGACGTTGTAGGTCTCGCATGGAGTGGCACAGCGCCTGACTCTGCCAAAAGCTACATTACATACTCGGCTTCGAAGACCGAAGGAGAAAGGGCCGCATGGAAGTGGATGGAGGAGAATAACTCCAACTTCATTCTGAACACTGTATTGCCAAATTGCAATGTAGGCAAACTCCTTGGCTCACTCGCCAGCTCCTTGCTTCTTCTAGTGGAGTGGCTAATAAATTTCAAGTTCGGCCGACTTTTAATACCAGAACACATGCACGGTTCTACAATGGGATTCGTTCGCAAATTCTTCAAGCGTGACTATGTACTCAGCTATGGAAATGCTGCCACCACGTAAGTGAACAACAGATATTTAGGAGGGCCCTATTGCTGAATATAATTATCTAGAATATTTTATCGATGTACGCGATACCGCTCGTTTACACGTGGCCGCCCTTCTCGATCCAAATGTCAAGGGAGAGCGCATATTTGCCATTGCAAGAGAGTACAACTGGACAGATGTGCTGACCATTTTGCGCAAACTACGCCCAGGCCAAGAATTTCTTAACAATCCTGAAAATGAAGGCCGTGATTACACTGAAGTTATCCCCATGGCTAGGGCCCAGGGGTTGCTCCAAGGCTTTTTTGGCCAGGCGAGCTGGACATCTCTAGAAGACAGTTTGGCAGCCGGTATTGAGGACATCTAGCGCCTGATTTCGTCATGGCCAGCACCTACATCATACTGAAGAATAATGGAGAATATAACCTAGGTTAGGAAGTCCACCCAGAGCGGCGATATTTTGTCGAGGCGGAAATGCTCAAATAAGGCTGGAGAGAATGGGATGCCAGTGAGGTACAGTGATGAAATTTCATGATTATAACAAGTTATACATGTAGGAGCAACAAGCTGGCTATTTGTCATTTAACTGATTCTTATGTAACTAATGCGAGGTCCGTGAAACAGATAAAGGCTGATGTGGTATTTTTGTTGAGTTATGCAGGATTGCACCCCTCTTAGTGTGATATGATAGGCTAAACTATTGTATATATACGATCATGGGTGGTGGAAAATTTGAGGTCCCGTCAAGCTCTCTTCTTCCAGATTAAATTGGTTTATGTTTCACCTTGTCTCTTTCATAGTCTTGCTTTTTGCACCGAGTAGTAGGACAAATTGGCAGCACATCATGAACGTTGGTTGCGAGCTTGGCGATGCTAATCATTGATCAAGGATTAAGCTTCAATAGCATGCAGAGAGTAACACAAAGCACCGTAATAGGTTCCAAAGCTTTATTTGTATATACAGAGCTTGCGGAATGCCTCATGTGCCAAATAGCTGGCTTTTGTACAATCATGTTCCAATACACGACTCGCTCAAACCCGCATGGTATAATCCTTACAACCCTCATGTCCATCATATTACAAGTGGAGAAAATTCCAGTCATTAGTGTGCAAATGAAAATAGTGCTAGAACAAAACAAATTACGCTGTCGCCCGCTTGTCTGCTTGCATACTGAGAGCGAGGAGCTCGTCTACAAAGGCAGATTCTTCTTGCTTCCCTTGGCTAGCGAAGCCGTTCTCGCCCGTCGCAGTAGCAGTGTAGAAACTTTCCATCTTGCCTTGGTTATCGGGTCGGAGCCGAATAGGCTTAAGCTCTGAGCCCTGTTGCTCTGGAGGATTTGAGTCTTCTTCGTTCTGTGTTTAGAAAGTGGCTGTTAGATACTTGATTCCAGGGAAGGAAGAGGTTGGCCGTGCTGTCACTTACATCTTGGACGTTGATTGATACCTCTTGTGACACCATGATGCCTCCGAAGACGTGAAATTTCTTATCCTGATCCTGTTGGGAGTCCTTGACGGAGTGGAATTGGCTTGTTGATGAGAGCTTGCGGGTGTCATCGAAGCTGCCTTCGTCACCATTATATAGCGAGTTAGGATGCGACGCTACTTTGGACAACCGTTCTTGGCTCCTTGTAGGTGGCAATAAAATGGCCGCCGCAAGCCTTCTGTTGCCCGGCAGATTATCCCTGACTTTACTAACAGCTCGGGAAAAGTACTTGTTATTCACTTGGGTTCCGGCGCTGTACCGCCGTGAAGACAGTTCATACGCCGTTGAGGATATGTCGCGATGAACCATGTGGGAAAACTCAATGTTGTGAGGTGAGCCATCGTATGTAAGTTGGCGCATTTTGAAGAAGTTGAGAGGCGTAAACTCACAATCAGGTGAGAGCACAGTGGCATGAATAGGGAGGAGTAGTTGGAAAGCAATGAGGGTGCATTTGGAAAGGGATTTGCCCGGTGAGGAGGGAGCACATGGGAGCTTCACTTCCTTGGACAAGAGTGTAGCTTCATCGAATGTTTCGTCTCCTAGAGAGTCTCGCAGCGAGGAAACGGCATCTCGAAGAAGCGAAGCAAACATGCGACCCTGAGCAGAAGCAGACTGGTGGCTCTGAAGTCTGAGCAGAACAGTCGAGAGCGGCAAGCCACGGAGGCCGTTGAGAAAGGCAGCATTGCTAGAATCAATAGTGTCCACGGGCAATGGGACAGAGGGAAGCAGATTTCGGGCTGTCTTTTGCGCGAGCACGTCGAAACCGCCCTTGTCGACTCGGGCACGGACGGCAAACATGCCCACGTGGAAGCCGGAAGATAGCATGTTGGTCTTGTCTTTCTGGTTAGACATGTTGCGTAGATGAGTCTCCAGGTCGGGCGTCTTGATGTGCATGCTAGATCGAATAAGGCCCACTACTTGGTGAATCTCTGCAAAGCGGAACCCTGAAGCCTCAAGCCTCGGTACGTCCTTTTTGCTGTCAACCCTGCGAACGAGGAACATGAGCGAACCGCGGCCGTACTCCTGGCCATTCTGCTGGAGACCTTTTTCTGCGACACTTTGTTGGCCGGGGCTGTCGTTATTAAGTAATCTTTGAGCTAGGCCAGGTGCCCTTGATGACTCTCCCGTTACGAAAATTTCGTCCCATAATGTTCCGACGCCAGTGAGAGCCGCCTTGGTCTTGGAAGCCAGAGCGTCCGCAGTGACGCAGAACAACTCGCGCAGAATGGTATCATATTCATCTACGAGCTCACCATCATCGCTGATGAGCCGGACGCCTGCCCTGCCATTGTTATACTCCTGCGCGAGAAGCGAAATGTGGCTGGTCATCTTGGTCATGACTTTTGTTATAGTGTCCCAGTTGCGAGAAGCACGGAACATCCAGTGAAAGAGGGGGTGGCTGGTGTTGAAGAAGTCATCGTTGGACTGGCGAAGCATGGCGTGTCAGGTTTCTGCGGGCAGGCCGGTTTTCGGGGAGAAGCAACTGACCTTTGTTAAGTACGTGTCTGTCACGACTTCACTGGGCAAATATCCGTCTTGAGCGACCATGATGCGGCCCTTGTCATCAAAGACACCGGCAGCCAAGACGACCTTTTGCGACTTGCTGGCGTAGTCTCGTCTTACCCAGCTCGAATAGATGGCCATGCCGGTCATGACAACACCGGCAGCGATAGACTACATGTACCATTAGGCTCGGTTAGCTTCAGCACCTTCAGACAGCGTTCATTTGACGCCCGCCAGATTTGCAAAATGATTTACCAGGCAAATAACGACCACCATTGCATCCTTACGTGAGACCCCCTTGCCAGGCGTGTTGTGCAACAGGGTGTAACTCGTTCCAACAGCGGCGCACCAGTGCATGCCAGACACTGCTCCAGCTAGGACCATGGCACAACCCAGTCTCTTCCACCAGGCGCTACTCCAGGTATTCTCAAAGACGAAGAAGAGAGCGAGGGCCGTGGTGCTGGCAAGTACGGCAATAACGACAGAGCCAATAAGATAGGAGAGCTGATATGAGCTCCGGTAGTTGCTGATGGACGAGTTGGCGAGGTAGTGCATGCCGCAAATGGCGCCGCCAGAGAGCAATCCTGCGAACACAATTCGCCACCATCGAATTCGACTATTGCCGCTGACGCCGAGGAAGGCGAGCACGAGCACGAGTATGGGCATCAGGAGAGACAAGACAGTAAGGGCGGTCGAATAGGCGATTTGGAAGGCTCCCTCGCCGTGGAGCATGTAGATGGCTCGATTGCCAATGAAGTGCTAGCTCATTCACCATGTTAGCAAGATCAGCATGCATTGAAAAGACATGTGGCTACAATCATGTTTCCCACGCGGTGATCGTACCATGGACCAGATGGCAATACCACCCATTGCGATGGCAGCGCCGACTAGTAATAAACTGCGTTTCTCGCTGTTAGCTCTATAGCGGCCGGCATCAAAAGGTACAAGACTCGTACAAGTTGTGTTTTCCTCTGTGTGAAGTTCTCCGTCTAATCAACTCCAGTGTGGTGAAGGTTCCGACCAGGCTAATAGCGTAACTTAGACACACGAACCCTCCATTAAACGTGTACGGCACCTCCTTGCCGGTATACTCCTCCAGGAGCTGCTGCGTCGTCGGTGTGGACATTGTTGTATTCTGATCCCACGCGTTTTCTCCGTCCGTTTCACTGTGGGATCCCGGCGACGTCGCCTACAACAAAAAAGAAAGAAAGAAAACCTTGGATCAAACGAAAGGCATATTCCCAGGCATCGAGGATTCAGACACTGGCCGAGGGGAATTTTTGGAGGCGAAATACCAAAATGGAAACGCAGACGATTATCATTTGCAGAAGAGGGAGAAAATGGGGAAACCCCATCGTTTGTTACGGTATATTTATTATGTGACGCATCGGTTAAGCACAGGCAAGAGAAAAGGCTGGACTATGGGTCTGGGACCAAACTCGGCCATGAATGCAAGATGGACCGTGAAAGAGCACGGTACCAGGGCAAATCCATGGAAAAGTCTAAGTGCATACTAAGCTACAAGAGCAGAAACGCGTATGCATGTAATAAATTCCGGACAAGGATGTGTGTATCGTGGCCTCGAACCAATAGTTCAACGACGGCACAGAGCCCGCTATGATGCACGGGGCCATCTAACCCATTTCAGGACAACAGCCGGTGGTCATTGAGCAAGAGGCCAAAGAGAAAGAGAAAGAAGCCTTAGTGCTGCTTACAGCCCAGCTGAATCCGTCCTTCGGAGTCGATGCCCACATCTGCCACGATCTGGACTCGATACGATCGGGGCTGGCTTGCACCAAGGCTCCACTCACACGCTGCACAAGCTGAACTGGGATGGAAATCAGCAATTGAGCCAACCAGGAGGCCACGGCGTTATTGGCAGACCCGCAGCTAACATCGATCAACGTGGCGCATCTGCGCCAGCTGAGATGTAGGGGTTACCCGGCGTGAATCCTCGCAACTCACCGTACTCGTATGTATGTACTTCGTACTAGGTAGTATATAATACGCCGTGCAAGCACAGCATGTCACCGGTAGCCCTGCGAGTTTCCCGTTACCCCCATTCGTCTCTGACAAGCAGGGTCGTTATCACAGGTTCACACGGCTCGAAGTCGCCGACCCCGTGGTGCCCGGCCGAGGCTACCTATCTTGCGGGCCAGTTCAGCCGCCATAAGAACTTCGACTAGGCCCATTTGGAGATTACCTACATGTACGAAGTCGTGAGCCACGCATAAGCCCTTACTTGTACTCGCGCAAAGCCCGCAAGAAGGCACAAACCCTTACTGATCAACCACGGCTGATTCAATCCCAAAAGTGAAAGACGAGGAAGAGGCAAGAAGAGATAGCATACAAGTACATGTATACGAGAACAGAGCAACCCGTTTGGTGCAAAGAGGGCCTGGCTATTAAGCCAAGACTTGATAAAAGCCTCACCCCCACTGGACTGTTCGGCGGCACTGGGCGCAAAGAGAGGCAAAAAAAAAAAAAAAACGACAAGCTTGTACGTACATATAGTACATGTGTTTCTCTTATAATCTGACCACACGGTGCCTGCATTTCCTATTTTTGATATACGAGTTCATCAGTTTGTGGACGAAAAAAGGGCGGCTAGCTCAGGCACGGGTGTTTCTGCAGCGGGGAGATCTCATGGATCGCAACAACGCCCAGGCACGCCGGCGATTTAGTGTTCATTTGGAACTGGCACCGCGTGCCATCTTTCCCCAAGTGACGGCAAGTCTATCGAAATGTCGCTTGCAGATAAAACACAATTAGCCTCACTAGCTTATCGGCGGCGCCAGCAGAATCACCATCGCCAGCACAGCGGACAAAGCAAAGCCTTTTTCAGACAAATCCCTTCGCTCACTACATGTATTATTGCCCCGGCCTTTTTGTCCTCTTCTTGGTCCTCTTCTTGGTATTATAGCACGGGCTGTGCTCGGAATCCGCCGGAATTTATGTATCTGGGGCGGAACGGCCTGTCCATGTGCTTCGGCCCTTCGACATCTTGCTTCCAAACGCAGATTGCTAAAATACCCGTTGCTTGCCCTGAACGGGAATCTCATAGGGCTAGTGTTTCATAGTGATTGTCGCCCCATACGACGAATTCAGCTATGGACTGCGTCCAGTTGTCATCACTCTAATCGGGACACGGCTCGCCGTGAGCCAACCACCTGTCTAGGCGCCGGCCCACCAGATAGCATCCATGGCTTGTTTCTGCACCGAAGCTCGCTATGCTGTCTTGGGGATGCCGTCCGAGGACCCAATTGCTTTGTGAATCGTCCCTCTTTTCCACCTTTGCCGAGGACGGGTACTTGGCCAAGCTACTCGTACATATAGTAAGCGGAGGTTGAGTCCTTTCGCCGAAGTGTAAGCCGTTGTGTTCAGCCAGGTCTCGTTTAAAGCTAACAAGAAGGATTGCGCTACTCGCCCGAGCTACTCGCGTTGGTTTCCGCCTACGTCGTTACACTGATAGGCACGCGCACTGAACAAGATCTTTGTTGTTACGCTGACGAGATCGTCCTTTTACACTACAGAGTAGTACTCCGTCTCTTATTGGATCTTTATTTACTGGGCCCAGATCGGGTTATGACATATCGTGACCTAGCAAAGTACATTATGATAGATATTGATAGTAGCAAGCAAGCCTATCAACCTTAGGCTTTAGTCAGCAGCTGTGGCTAGGTTCTTTAAATCAGCGCTCGCAGAGCCCAAGAGCTTAGAATACAACAACCACCTTCAACCACATGCATTCAATAGCCCGCCTTTTCCTTCCTGTCAAAATGTCTTGGTAAATTTATGCATTTAAAGTAGTAATTATCTAGCCAAGCTACTATTTATTTCAATATCTTCCTTGACTCAATCCGCTATCTTAGCTTTTGGCATTACCTTCCAGCCCGCATTGAAGGTGCATGCACCACTACAGCCGCTAAGGGACACACAACCACAAGTGTCGCTTATGAGGTGTGAATAGCTTCAATCAACCACATACGACCATAGGTAGTGGAGAATTCGGGGTCCCGTCTGCTCCCCCATAGACAAGCCACTAACCGGCAGATTAGTAGTTGAGTGGGTGACCATCAGCGAACACCGGCTGTTGTATGTTCTTTTTTTTTTGCTTTTTGTTATATCATCTTCTTAATATTCGACTGCTTATCCAGGACGACTTGTGTCGAACTGGTGTTGACGTGTTCGATAGAGCAGCTTTGGTGCTTGTGTTGGGTGAACGTTTTCGGTATTTTGACAACTGTGAGTAGCCGCCAAGGCACAAGATCTCTGGCAAATTGCAAAATGTCAAACAGATATCTCACCAAGCCTCTGCACGACTTTCTCAATATACCTAACCCCTTCTGCGACTCCGTCCATGTCCTGAAACTCTTTCTCATCTCCAAAATCTTCATTGTTTGGATCCAAGCAAGTCAGGCATGTCTCCACCACTTTGCTATACTTGATACCCATCTTGCGTCTCAATACGCCTCTCGCCAGTTGCAATAACCTGTCTTTCACTCGTTCAGGAGACTTTAGCAGTTCAGATCCACTCATAGCATCACCTCCTGCCCCTAACTTAGAACCTAGGCTAGATAGCCGAAGGTTCGTTGTTTCTAAGGAGATTTGTTTAAGTGCCTCTTGTTCTTTCGCGTTGACGTTGTCATATTCGATGAAACTCTCCCACAGTCCAACTTCAAGCAGACAAACACCAACACTGTAAATGTCGTGTCGCATATTATAATCTGTCTCCGGGGTTTTGCCTTGCCGATGTGGGTGGCGGTACAGATTCTTCTCCCAGTCGTCGTCGCCAAGACGGTGTGTTTTACCCTCAGCATCGCGGAGAACATCGAAACCGACCAACACAGCTGTTTCGGAATATGCTCCAGCCTTCTCGTCTCCTCCGGCATCAATAGACACATGACTTCCATTGCTGAGGATAAGTATTGTCTCGGGCCGGATGTTCTTATGCACGAACTCGTACAGATGCACGTAGCTAACTGCTTTGACCAATTGTCTTGCAAGGTCGAAGCGTGCCGTTAAAGAGCTGTGTTCGCCACTTGGTCCACTTAGCAACCGATGTCGCAGACTCTGTACGTACGAATGCGTTGGAGGCATACGGAAAACGAAGGAGAGGCTTGCTGGAGCCACATTCCTAATCTTCACGTCCGTGTCATTCGAGTCCTCCTCACTCAGAATACCCTTGCATTGCAAAAGACCAAAGGTGAAAGGGTCGGTTTGCTGCAGTCGTCTTGCGAAATTTCGAATGTCGCGCAGTGCAGAATTGATGCTTGCCCTGGAGGTGCAAGTGATGGGGTCGAGCACAACAAGCTGGCCGGTGGTAGCTCGACGAGCTATGCGGACTGGGCTGTAAGGTAGAGGCTGGACACTTTCAGTGATGAGTCCATCTGGAAGTAGGTAGACGGTCTTTTTTGTGCTATCGTCGTCGACAGGTTTAAGTGCGAGGCGCAAGTGTTGCGCAGCAGGGATAGCCGCTTTTGTTCCCTTGTGCGTTGAGACAGACTGTTGCTGTGACATGAAGTAGAGCTGCTGGTCAACCTCAGGCCCAGCAATTTTCATCATCAAAAACCAGCTGGGATCAAAGATGCCCTGCCAAACCTCCAGATCGGTAATTGCCTCCATGAGGCTCTCTTTCACAAACGCATATTTCGGCCGCTTGACCTCAACGATGATGATCTCTTCACCAGCATCATTCGGCAAGGCATTAGATTTCTTTACTAAGCCTGAGAGTTTGGTGTTAGCAGCCTGTAGCTTGTGTAGTAGGACCTCTAGTGTCTGTTGCTGAATGTTCTTGTGCCATTCACTTAGTTGAGGCTCCAGTCTGCGCACAAACTCAAGCTGAATTTGGATCTTCAGCCAACAAGCCTCGACGCGCACGACGCTCTCATGTAGCCGAGCTTCGGCATTTGCAGATGCTTTGCACAGTGCGACGAGCTCTTTTCCCCAGTGATAGGTAGTGTCTATAGTGCCAATTAGACCGAGGACGCCAAATGGGTCGACCATTTTGAACGATTTTCAAGGCAGTTCAATCAACAAAACTACCCCGCTGGAGATGTTTTAGATACATCTTGCGTACACCTGCATACCTACATGTAACTACATATAGGAATTGCGATCGGCGGGTAGTGTGAGGCTGAATTGCAATAGCCGCCGCGTCACATGTACCAACCCCGCCCCTGGATCCTGAAAGCCTTGTTGCGGCGGCAAAGGATTCACGTTTTGCAGCACGCCGTTTATCAATAGCATACTTACTCGTGAGTTCTGTTCCTCCTCTTCGGGGCTCTTTCTTTCTGTACTGTCCGAACCGTCGATCCATGAAGCCGACGTCTGTGATATCACTTTCTGCTTGGCCATAACTCATTACCCTTGCTGTCTGTTAGTTGCCCCTTACAATCTTACTCTCGGGCGCCGCCGACGGATCCTCCCGTCGGGCCGGCACCACGATGTCACGATTATCGGACCTCGTTCAGGACACCCGCCTCAGCACTTCATTTGAGAATAATTTTACAATCCACCACCACAACGATTCAGACGATGAGAATCACGCTCGATCGACATGGCGACTAGAATACTGGAAGGATACGGATCATCTGGGCCGCGGCGGCTGTGGCGAAGTCTGGTTGCAAGAGTGCGTCCGGGGTGGGAAACGAGGAAACGACAGGCGTGCTGTCAAGGTCATCCCTTGGCGAAATCTCAAAGACAAGAGGGAAAAATACATGACTGAGCTCGAAGCCATTGCTAAGTTCTCGCAAAAACGCGTAGGCTAGTGTGTTCTTTTTTTTTTTTTTTTTGCGGAAGGGAATCACTGATTGTCGTGTTCACAGTATTCAAAGTGCTTTGTCAAACTCCTTGGGTGGTACGACACCGATTCCAGTCTTTATATCGCCATGGAATACTTTCCTCTTGGTGATTTACAGAAGTATATGGCCAACGCTGGCCCCATAAATGAGGCAGATGCACGAGAAATATCGCTCCAGGTGCTTGAAGGGTTGTCTTATATGCACCGACAAGGGTTCGCTCATCGGGACATTAAGCCCGGTGTAAGTTCTCCACCACCTACTTTCTAAGAAGCATATCCCTGATTGTTACATGTACCCTTAAGAACGTTCTTATTAGGTCCCAACCACCAAAGAGTAAGTGGTGGGTCAAGATCAGTGACTTCGGCATCAGTAAGCGCGTTGAAGGGTCGATGAATGCAGTATCAAGCGTCAGGGGCACAATACCGTACATGGCTCCGGAGCTCCTCTGGCATGAACCAAACACTTCGGCCCCTATTAACCACCAGGCGGCCGACATGTGGGCGCTTGGCGAGATGGCCTACCGCATACTGACCCAGACGGCCGTTTTTCCTACCCAGAATTCCCTCGTGAATTATCTAGTGAATACAAGCTTGTTTCCCATAGAAAAGCTCTGCCAGCAAGATGCAAGCCCAGACGCCACTTCCTTTATTCGCTCGCTCATGGAACCTCATCCTGATAAGCGCCTCACGGCGGAAAAGGCAATGGAGCATGCCTGGCTTACATCTATGAAGGACCATCGGCCGCATGTCTCTAAATCGCCAGCACTTGCATCATTGTATGCTTTGTGAATCCAATATGTATAAACCGCATATTAACTTCTCTTAGTAGTCCATCTCCATCAAGCCGACAGCCTGACTCGACCCCTAATCCGGACCCTTGGGCCACAGGGTCTACCAACGGTTCCGTTGGTTTGTTACTCGTCAACTCCCAAGCCGCTGCAGGAATTCCAGAGACAAGCAAATATTCATCTCCAAAAATATTCTCCCCTTTTCAACGCAAAGCAATTGAGATGAAAGGTCGATCAGACACAAATAACACTTCCAGCGATAGTGCCCTTGGGTACACGTCTAGCATATCAGAAGTTGGGCAAGTGGCGCACAAATCCGACATTTTATCCGCGACAAACGATTCCAATTCTCATTTAAAGGCTAGGTCTGACACCCAAAAGTTCGAGTGTTCATTCGGATTGGATGGCATAAACTCAGATGACGAAGATCCTGCCTACCCTTCGACAATTGCTCAGGCTTCGCCACCACCACCACCACCTCCTCCTCCTCCTCCTCCTCCTCCTCAACAACAACAACAACAACAACAACAGCAGCAGCAGCAGCAGCAGCGGCAGCAACAGGTTCCTCCCCTAAGAATGCCTTGGCCCCGTATCCCAAATCATAAAGCACCTCTGCCAGTCCGACTACCGGGAGTTCGTACTCAGCCTATCCAAGAGAATCTAACGGTGAAACCCCATTCGAAAGTTCTGGTTGAGCGCCCAGAACCTGAGCAGGCTGACAGCTGCACGAAGTGTCGAGCCCGCTTTAGCTCTACTAACGAGGAATACCTTTGCCTAAATTGCGGGAAGTTATTCGATAGCAATTGCTCCAGCAGAATGACGTCCTTACCGCACCTGGGAGACCTGGGACTGGTGAGGGTGGATGATAAATGTTACGTCGCACTAGCACTAGCAAGAAAGACAGGCATACGCAAACGACAAGACTTGGCAGTGGAGGTGAATCAAGACGAGGCCCGGCAAGACTCTTCAGAAGACACTGTCGATGTTCGCGCTCATTTAAAACATTTACAGAGAAAAATCATGGAACAACATGAAGCGATTGAGAGCAGGCGTTGGTATGAGGATGAGTGGAGGAAGAGAATGGACCGCAGAGAGTCACTGGAGGCCGAGTGGGCCAAATCCCACCCCGAAGAGGAGGAACGCCGTCAAAGGAAAAAAGCATTAGAAATACGTGAGTTTCAGCGATTAACCAACGTCTTAGGGATCGAGTGGCCAAGTGAACCAGTGGACGAAGGAGAGTATATGTACCCGAACAGTTATCTGAAGGAATACGACAAGTGGGCAACAAAAGTTGTATGGAGTTTTAACCGCATGCGAAAGTATATTGAGCGTGAGGAAGAGCGGCATGAAAAGCAATTGCGAGCACATGCCGATACAAGGTTTACAGGGAGGAAAATTATGGATTTTTTTAAGATAGCAGGGGAAGAGAAGAAGGGGGATGCTTAATTAAGTTGAAGCAAATGCTATACATATCCATCCTGACTTTCAAAACATATTATCTCATACTGACAGACAACGCATTGCTATTCGTCTTTGATGGCATCTCTGTTTAAATGTTTTACCTGCCAGACTAATACAGGATCAAGCACATAAACCCAATGCCTATGTAGTGGAAATCCGGGGTGCAGCCAAGTTCTTTGCCATGGGCGCCTTCTGATCTCTACACCCTAGATTCCAACTTATGAGGGCCTTGAACTTGCACTAAAATGATCCTTCGTTCCGAGTGCCCCTCCCCCCATAACCAGTCTGTTTTTATTTATTATTTATTTACTTGTTTATGTTAGACGTCATAGGTTTTGTATAAGAAACGCGGCTGTGGTACACTATTATGAACTTGGGATTTTGCAGACTAGGATACCTAAATCCGGTGCTCGTTGCAGCCCACGGCACTTTTCATTTCAAATCTTGTAACAGCGGTAGCCATTATATACCAACAAGCTAAATAATATTACAATAAGCATTTCGATAATATAGTTATGTAACGACTGGTTGTAATCCAATCACATCCCATATTCATCCAGACTGGGTCTTTTTGGAATGCACATTATGTACCTCTATCCATTGATGTCATATGACAAGAATATACCGCCTTGCTCACTAAAGTATAGTGAGCAATGTACTACACATATCCACCCGACCTCTTTTTTAAACAAGCAAACGGCGACTTGATAAAAACCGAAGTCGGCTATGACGGCAGAGACCTTAAAAGGGCGCAAATACTTATTATTTCCCGGTGTACTAGCAGAATATAGTTAGATACCTATCGGCGATCGTGCTCTTCTTGGGTATTGACGTTATATGGTAACAGTAAGCGGACATCAGAAGGGACGTCCTTATGTATCTACCGACTGGCTGATTCTAAACCACGAACCTACATACATTCAAGTAATAGGGATATCTTACCGCTGTCTTGGTTCAACGTGTGCTTCAATTCCCCGCGCATCAACTTTATTTTTGCCTTCTCCCATTCTCCTTGTTTACTTTATTTTAAATCTTCCAGAGTATAGTTACTCCGTCATCGGAGGGCTCGGCCTAGGGCTGGTTGAACCCCGCGCATAGTTTTTTCTTCTTTCAATATCTCGATAGGTTGGTTTGTCGTATGCCATCATGAATCGTTACCAAATCAACAGCTCCCGCTTACGTGGAACTGCTCGCTGGCTTTACCATGAGTCCGGAATTCGTTCCGTCCATGTCACCGGCCGTGATGCATGGCTGATCATCCTGGCGCGAACATGTCGCATGTTTGCCTTTGGAGGAACTTCCCTAATCATGGCGCTCTTCTTTAATACCTTGGGCTTTAGCGACCCCCAGCTGGGGCTATTCATGACAATGACGCTTGCTGGGGACAGCGTACTCTCTTTTGTGCTCACCTTTATGGCGGATAGTCTGGGTAGACGTCGCGTTTTCTTTGGCGCGGGCCTGCTTATGGCGGTTTGTGGGCTGGTATTCTTCTACTTTGAGAATTTCTGGATATTGCTTCTGGCAGCTGTCATTGGTGTGGTATCTGCCAGTGGAGGCGATTTTGGGCCCTTCCGGGCCATTGAAGAGTCTGTGCTATCTCACCTGACGAATCCGGAGACGCGCTCGGATGTGCTGTCATGGTATGTTGTGACGTCGAATCTTGGGTCCGCTGTTGGTACAGAAGTGGCCGGTCAAGTCATTGAATCGTTGAAAATGCGTGATGGTTGGAGCGAGAAGCGCGTATACCATGCCGTATTTGTTGCCTATGTCATTATGGGGGTCGCTAACATGGGGTTTTCCTGCTTCATGACCGACAACTGCGAAATCATCAAGCCGACGCAGTCAATGGACGAGGGAGCGCAAACTGCACAAAGACTTCTTAGCAACTCCGATGAAGATGAAGATGTGGGAGACGAGACGGTGCCTCAGAGGAAAAGCCGTTTCACAGAGATATCGTCTACAACGCGGTCCATCATGTACAAACTTTGGTTCCTTCTCGCCGTTGATTGCTTGGCTGATGGTATGGTGTCATACACGCTGACCAACTACTATCTCGACCGCAAGTTTCATCTGTCCAAGTCAAAACTTGGCGACTTAATGTCTACAAACTACATCCTTGGTAGCATCTCTACCGTCTTTGCCGGTCCCCTAGCACGTCATTTGGGACTCGTCAACACAATGGTCTTCACCCACTTGCCATCTTCAGTGGCTGTGCTCCTCTTCCCAGTACCACAGGGAATTGTCTTCACCGTGATACTTTTATTCATTCGCGGTGGTCTAAACAATATGGATCAAGCCCCGCGGGCAGCCTTCATCGCTGCGGCTGTAAAGCCCGAGGAGCGAACGGCCGTCATGGGAGTCACGAGCACATTACGGACGTTAGCCTCGCTCGTTGGGCCAAGTATAACAGGTGCTCTCGCAGATACAAACAAATTCTGGGTGGCATTTGTGGCTGCCGGCGCGCTCCGCGTTGCTTATGATCTTGGGTTGTGGGCAATGTTTGTGAATGTGAAGCTGCACGAGCACGAGGAGAGTGGCCAAGATGGGAGCAAGGCAAGGCGAGTAACCGATGAAGAAGAGTAGATGGAAATGAGTTCATTCAGAGGAGGGGTCGAGTAATTTTATGTTAGATTCAACATGAGCAATAAGTGGTCTTGTTATTCTCAGTCCCTCTGGGATGCCCCTGTCACATTCGCCCCCTCTGCATGCTGCATGTCTCCTCTTAAACTTGAATTCGGTTCCACATCATAAAAGATCCCTTAAACTGGAGAAATGATAAACAATGTCCATACATGGTTATCGAAAGATTATTGAGTAAATTAATTAGGCATCAAGACAATAGTAAATGCTGAAACAAGCGTAAGCAGCCGTTGATCGCCAAAGCTGCCTGTTATTATCCCGGAAACAAGCAAACTGTCGCTGTTGATTATTACCACTTCCTGCATACTGACCGAAGCTGAAGCTTCCAGGTTGAATATGAGTTGTGAAGGTGTTCCCAGTTGCGAAGCTAGCAGTATAAGAGTTCCCTCCCCAGGTAACTAAGCGTGCTGGGTTGGTAGCAAAGGCTATATTTTGTGAAAATGGTGCCGTGTTTGACTGGGAGTCATCCGGGTAGTAGGCAACAACACTAACAGATGCCGAGCCAACATCAGGACCGCAATTAGCGAGATGCACTCCCCTGTAGAGAATAGCGCTATTAGCCACATGATCAGCTATCTCTTATTAGATAACACATACTCGCCAGCTAAAGCGCTGGGAATCAACAGAGCGACTGCTCCTAGCAGAATAGCACCGGGTTGGTACATGGTAAAAGTTTGGTGTAAAGGGGTTAGCAGAGAGTTGCTACTTGCTGATATCAAGAAATGTACGTTTGGGCAGACTTTATATAACTTGTTTTACTCTCTAGTCAACCTCTCCTATATTTAGAATCCCGTGAACGAGAGCGAGGCTATGGAGTCGTGTAAAGCTCACCTCCACTTGTGGGCGGTGTGCGGGCGGCCCTAGTACTCTTTCCAGGCATAAGTTGTGAAGACTTTTGCCCGTCGCAACAAGCAGAAGAAATTTGGCCCAAATACGGAGTACAGAGACGCGAAATGAAATAACCACGGTCAAATCCACCAACTGCATTTGAATCTAAGAAACCCGAAAAAATGACATGCAGATCCACCAGCTGCAACTATTTGTATTATATCTTCTTCTTCCACCTCTCTCAGACTTGCGGAGAAAAAGCAAACAAGCTGGAAACAAAACTTTCAGATGTTTGGGAGGCATCTAAAGGATCGCGTATGGGCAATCTGTATTACTGCCGTTCATCTTAACTTTGCTTATAAAAAGATATTGTCGACATTTAGTGGATAACATAGCTTTTGTGCCGTCTTGTCTTATTTTCGCATCGACTGTGAACGTCCTTTATATACATGTATCTTCGTTATTCTTTAGCAGCAAGAAACCTCGCCTGCTTTCCTATACGTTAGCCGCTAACCGGTAGAGTAGTTGTCAATGGGTGGCCACTGGCGGACATTGGCTTTTATATGTATTTCTCTCTTTCTTTCTTTCTTTCTTTCTTTCTTTCTTTCTTTCTTTCTTTCTTTCTTTCTTTCTTTCTTTCTTTCTTTCTTTCTTTCTTTCTTTCTTTCTTTCTTTCTTTCTTTCTTTCTTTCTTTCTTTCTTTCTTTCTTTCTCTTTTTCTTTTTCTTTTTTTTTCCAGTTCTCCACATGGTGTTTTCCTACCATTTGAGTCTCTTATTTAGGGATTGGTCATTCAACATCCGACGTTAGCTATTCAGCACCCCGTTCTCAAATTTAAAGCGTCCTGCGTAGTAATGAAGATAGCGAGTAGTAGATACGCTAGGAATCGTGTATCCAATTAAGTAATGGTGATAAACGATCTTTATTCGGCGTTGCTACCAATCGGGACTCTTTTTAGTGGCTGGGGTGCTGGATAGTCCCTTCCCTTTATTTAGAGATTCTTTATAGGAAGAAAGATCTTAATGTAAAGTCGCGTCAACGTTATATTCAGGTGAAGAATGCTACCTGTTACTTGCATGTCCATGGCGAGATTGTCGTGCTGAAGATACCAGCTCCACTTCGCTTCTCAATTAATTCTCCTTCTGTGATATGGGATTGGGATGCCTGCTAAGAGACCCTTGAGCCACAGTGGCCTCTATGTGGCAAACTCACCGGCAATGTGCATATTGATCATGCATGGATTTATGACATCAAATCCGAAATTTCCTATTTCGGAATATGTAGGTGGATACACAGTCTGTACTGATTATCGACATTAGTCAGACTCTTGCTGAAAGTTGTCGCCTGCTATGTACCGCCACGAACATCTTCTTAGCAAACTTGAGATCTTTAAGTTAACAATCATTGGTGATCATGAGAAATGCGAGCAGCCGAGTTGCGGATGAGCCGCAGCTTAAGACGCGAATCCGTCGCTGGAGACGTTACCAACCGGCGGCGAATCTCGCCTATAACAATGATTTGGATGTTGAGACAACACAGCAGACCTCTTCTGAGGCATTAACTAGATCATTGAGAAAAAGAATTGGGTTGGAATTCATCAATACTGCACATCCTCATGATGCCACCTCCTCGAACGCCATTTTTAGCATTCGGTCACACGCAGCACGAGATATTCATGCTTCGCGCCGCGCGTCGGTTTCACAGCCGAAGGGGAGTAGGAGAAGAAAGTTAATGGAGGTGGATAATGACGGGGGCTCTCATTTGAGTGGAAATTGGCCAACGAATATTATGATGATCCCTGCTTACAACGGTTTGCTTCCTTGCTTTGCCCGGCCTATCACAAAGCTGGAACATTTTCTTCTCGACTACTGTAAGTGATCGTCGGATGAACACCTTTGAGAATTCGTTCCTCGGATACCACTGACTCGGCATGGATGCAGCATCAGTTATCCCAGACATTCGACTTTGGTGTCACCATGGTGACGAAGAGCCGCTATTCCTTGAAGGTGTGAGGCTATATTGGCTCCCCTTTGTAGTGACAGACACTGGCTTGTTAGCTGGTATATTCCTATCCTCATGTCGTAATCTTACACTTCGTGAGCACCAAGTACAAACAAATTACGATTATCCTCAGATTGCAATGATTTACAAACTCGAGTGCATCAGGTCTGTAAATGCGGCCATTGCCGCCGAAGGACCAATCATTAGCGAAACTACAATTGCGAAAACTCTATTACTGTGTGCAGATGAGGTGAGTCGACATAAATTTCCTGGGGAGTACTGCCGAGAGACGATGTCTAACAAAACTATTGCATAGTTTCTATGCAAGAACCTAAACGCCTCAGCTCTACATTTTGAAGGTATGAACAAAATGATACAGTTGAAAGGAGGCTTGTCGAATTTTGGCATTAGTGGGTTTCTCAGAAAGGCTATGGAATGGTGCAATTTGGAAAATATTCTGAATATAAACCCAAAAGGTTAATCACTCTAGAAGTACCGGGGATACTGTATGAGATGTCAGGTTCCTTTTATACTGGTTGTGTAGTACCAAAGCTTTCTCAAAACTTGTCCACATAAGAACGCAAATCCAGCTCTAGGGCTCTTGGATGCCGGTGTTGCGTATGGAAATGCCAGAGACTGTTAGCGACGTACAAGTATATTGACTTTAGGCCGAACGGTGCTTAGTAGTTCCAAGAGAAATAGCGGTCGCATAGTATCAGGTTTCTGCTTTCCGACTTCGATGCTGCCGTTGAGGATGACAAGTCTTGCCCAAGGTACATGAATGCTGCCGTCAATGGTTCCCAGGACAGCGTGCACTCCATTCAATCTTGTTTGTTTTGAGATAAAATCTCTTTAAATTGGTTGACTAGTCTTTTCATGTTCTGCTATAGCATCTGCCTGCCATGGTAAGATACTTAATCACACAGTTAATCCGATGCGGCCACCCTTCCGTTTCTATGAAAAGCTGCTTATAGTCTCACGAATCCCGTCCTCCAAACTCTTCCAGCCATCTTGCTGAGCCCATTTTTTTAACAACTTCAGTGCAACACTGTCATCAGTTGTTGTGGAAAATGTCGCCGGTTCCGGAAAATCGTCAACAAATTTATGGGTCGGATAAAGACGTCGCATGATAGCCAGGACATCATTCCAGTTGAAAGGGGCGGCCCAGGCTTGGATACGTTCCTCCTTGGTATCCTCGTCAAGAATGGCTGCAACATGAAGGACTGCAACATCTTTGACATTCACGTAGATTGCTGCCCCATACTATTAATACACTGGGTAAACTGTTTGAAAAGGGTGGTCGAAGCGATACTCACATGAGGGAAGCAAGCCAACATGGCTTGTATCACCCTTCCACAATCCGCTCACCCATCCAGCTGTGCCCCTTGCATGGCTGGGATGAAGCATAGCGCCAAGCGTGGTAAATGGGCTCACAACATTCAGCACAAAGTTGGGCTTCTCGTCTTGAATGAACTTCCAAACAGCCTTCTCAGCCTCCACCTTACTCGCCATGTAGGTGGTCAGGCCGCGGGTAGCATCATATGGTGGTGGAGCCCACGCCGCTTGCACAGCAGCATCATTCCATGTGTCACGGTCGACATATCCCGACGCACCAGGGATAGGCATCATGGCTGCGCCAGCTGAAGACGTGAAAACTATGCGTTTAACGGAAGGCTCTGCAGCGGCGGCGCGTAAAAGCGAAACAATGCCAGACACAGTTTGTGGAATAACTTGGTTCGGGTCCGGATCGAAGCTCGAGACAGTGGCAATATGAGCGATAGCTGCAACTCCTTTAATGGCAGCACCAAAGGCATTTGGGGCTCCGAGGTCTGGCACTTCGATAAGTTCTAGATTTCCAGCCGCATTCTCAGCCGAGAATAGATCATCTTTGATCCAAGATGCCTTAGAAAGATCACGAACCGTCCCACGCACTTTATATCCACGGGAGAAGAATCCCTTTGCCACATGTGTTGCAATGTAGCCTGTGAGACCGGTTATGAGGACGAGGGAGCCTTGAGGGATAGCTTCAGTTAGCTCGGCCATGATGTTATAGATTTATCAATGCGTGGTGAGGTCAGTGTTCAATAATATTTTTATCTTAATGAACAGACTCTCTCTCTCTCTCCGATCGATTACCTAGGCTTATATACATTAATTGCTTTCCCCATTAGCAAAGATGCAGTTCCCTAAGTCCGCTTTGCTGAGCAATCAGTTTCGAAATTCTTGATTAGTATCATTCATCGCTAGATAAAAAACTCAAATGGATTGACAATCGAGGCATGTTTCTCGCAGGGTAATGATTCTTGGCAGTGAATTAGATCAATGGGATCTCTAGGACTGGGACACAGACTGAAGCTGACTAGCCACATCAAAATCTAACGGGCACTCGATAATTAGTATAATTATTTACTCCGAATCTAGCTGGAACGAACCTAGTACCGTGATGAAATAGTATTACTGTCGCAAAAATACCGTTCTAGGAAGCCACTGAGAAATTACCTGTCTAGGAATGTGTGCAAAGAGTCTCTTTTGGCAATCTATGTTAGCTTCAAAGCTACGCTGACGAATTTATGCGAATTATATGTCAAATTGAGGAAGTGAAGCGCCTGCCTGGCATATTGTCACAATGAACAGCACAAAGTCCGGTTGGAGATATAGCTGATTATTTTATAACCGGCTTAGCAAGCAACCGCTTGATCAATCTTTCCGTAGTCAAATAGGTCAATATATTCATAGGAGCGCCGTTTACATATTAAAATCCCATGTCGTTTACTGGATATCCAATGCGAAGCAGTGAGCCCACCGAGCATGACCCAAAATGAACCATTTCAGACTTTTACAGGGCTAGGAACCGACTCTCCTCATCAACCATATGATAACTCGTCCACTCATTGACCACTTCTGCGGAGCGGAAATAGAGTCTCCGCATACCAGAAACTTGGTAAATCAAGATACCTAGCCACGTGTCATGGTGAAGTATTCGACGAATTGCTCAGCAAAGAATAAAAAGTGAGGAGGCTCTCCGCCCCTGGGCTTCTCCTTAAGCGTTCATTATCTTTGTCAGCCGCCGATTGGCAAGATCGGAGCGCCAAGACCTTTTTTTCCTTTTTTGGAAGCTGTACTATTTTAGCTGAGCCAAATCTCGCCGAATGAACTACAGTGCATTCCTTCTAGATGGCGGAAGAGATAAAGGGGACAGGGCAACTAGAGATCTACCTCAGCTAAAATAAAAACAATCGCCTTCACAGGCAGCTCAAGTATTCCCCTGATGTGGTTTTTTTTTTCTCATGTCTAACTTAGAATAAGCAAAATAGTGGATTGGAAACGAAGCATCAACAAGTGAGCTACTGTTCTAGTGAAATCCTACGTAGATTACGGAGTATATGATTCCAAATCTTATCATCCAAACGTGATAAAGTCCTCATCATGCGTCCTAGGGAGTGCCTAAAACCGCCAGTTTAATTCCACTCTTTTTTTCCTTTTGCTGCATCTATACCGAACTCGTTGATGTATTATGTCAATATATAATCCAGCTGTTAGCCTGCTTTCGTTTCCACACCTTTTTAGAGAGTATCTGTTTTAATGTGAGCACCAATATATGTATTGATGACTGTGTATGCTTTAAAATCCATGTGTAATGAAGGATGTTGATATTGTGGCTAGCTAGCGATCATGCCAGCAGCGAATACTATGAGCTCATTTCATCTATTTCCGATGACAAATCACCTCAAGAGTGTACACGGACAACATAGCCATGCCGTCTAATTCCGCAGCGGAGTGGAAATGGTTTAACATGCTCAAACAAATCATAGCAGTGTATATTATGAATAGAGGACTAAACTCCGACCAGAGAACTCCGTAGCTACAGGCATATCCATCTACTTCATAGAAGCTCTAACATATAAACTAGTGCCTCTATCTTCTCTATATTAAGCCGGCCTATCAGTTCTCAGTAAATTATTTATCTGTTATATTGCAATAATTCCGTCCCAGAGGGCCTTTGCCATGTCCAAGCAAGGATCCCAAACAGTAGCCAGCATTGATGACAATGCAGACGGCGAGATTAAAAGGCCGGTTGAAACGGCAGAGCCTTCAGACCAGCCATCACTTTCTTCAGCGGCAGTGGCCTTCATCCTGTTAGGACTGAGCTTACCCGTTTTTCTCATTGCCCTAGACACTTCCATTGTTGCTACAGTTAGTACTACTATCACAAGCCAAATCACACGTTAGAAGCTGGCTAACCAGTTCATGCTTCGTTCTCAGGCTATTCCTTATATCACAGATCGATTCCGGTCCACGCAGGATATTGGGTGGTATGGAAGCGCATATTTTCTTGCACTGTACGTTTTCTACATCAATTCTGCTGTGTGATGCATTGGTGCTAATGCTGGTGTACGTAGATGCTCACTACAGGCGACAAGTGGTAAACTCTATGCTACATTTTCTCTCAAAGCAAGCAAGGCTCCAATCGTAATGTTTGTGCGAGAAGACTAATCTAACCGCCAGTAGTGGACATTCCTCAGCTTCTTTGCCGTATTTGAGCTCGGCTCTCTACTATGTGCCACGGCTGTGAGCTCTAACATGTTTATCGGCGGGCGTGCTGTTGCAGGAGCTGGAGGAGCAGGAATCGTGTCTGGTGCATTTTCTATTGTTGCGTTCATTGCTCCACTTCCGAAAAGACCACGTAAGAACTGCGTTCTGCCAATATTTTTTGCCGTCTGGAATTAACTCAAGAATTTTAGTGTATATCGGAGTTATATCCTCTTTTTTTGGCGTTGCGACTGTGGTTGGCCCTCTGATCGGAGGGGCTTTTACGGAGCACATATCGTGGCGATGGTGTTTCTACATTAACCTACCAATCGGTGCAATAGCCGGTCTAGTGTTGACGTTTTTTTTCAATCCTCCTACGAGAGCGATAGAAACAGAGCCCATTGTCCGCCGTATCCGGGCTCTCGACCTAATTGGTGCATCTCTTTTCATCCCGGCAATCTTGATGGCCCTACTTGCTCTTCAATGGGGAGGATCTACATATCCCTGGAAGTCAGCGACTATCATCGGACTTTTCCTCGGATTCGGAGGCCTCTGCGTGGTCTTCGTGTTTTGGCAGTTTTATAAGGGTGAAGAAGCCATGCTGCCCATGTCCATACTCCTCAACCGCACTGTTGCCTTCAGCAGCCTCACTTTGGCATTTGCATATGGCGCAATATTTTCAGTCGTATATTACCTTCCAGAGTGGTTCCAAGTCGTCAAAGGAGCGGGCCCAATCAGGAGCGGCGTCATGAGCCTCCCGACTTTCATTCCGCAAATCGCCGCCGCCCTGCTATCTGGAGCATTGGCCCCCCAACTGGGTCCCCTAAATCCCTGGCTCTATATTGGTTGTGCTTTCATGGCTATTGGCATTGGTCTCTACGGTACATTTGATACATCCACGTCTTCCGCCCATTGGATTAGCTACCAAATCCTTCCAGGAATAGGATTTAGCATGATGGCTCAAATGCCCGTTGTAGCGGTGCAAGCCACCTTGCCGACTTCGCAAAGTCCTGTTGGCGTTGCTACAGCCACCTTCTCTCAATTCTTTGGCAGTGCCATTTTCCTGGCAATCTCTCAAGCTCTGTTTGCTAATATTTTTATTAATAAGCTGACGGTGGACATCCCCGGTGTCGATTTACAGAACCTGCTCCTCAGTGGCTCGGGGGCTATTCGCAAGCTGGTACCCCCAGAAGATTTGCCAGTTGTTCTTGGCGCATTTAATCAAGCTCTCATGGGCACATTCTATCTCTCAGCAGCGGTATCAGCAGCGGCTATTTTTATATCGTTTGGGATACCTTGGATCAACATTAAGGGAAAGAATTTGGTAATAGAACCTGGTGCGTGAGACAACGCAAAGGTTCATGCTTTGCTACTAGCGACCTGCGCTGAATTGAACTTGCGGCTAGGTAAGATATATTTCAGGAAACTGATGTTTGCCTTGCAATATTTAACTACTTTATATAGACAAGCTACATTATTAATCACTGTGAAAGATGTGATATCATGTAGAAGACCAGCGCTGTCACTTTTGTTCCCAAGTAATACTCTGTACCCTTGATGCAAATTGGGTTGCAGTGGTGATGGTGGTATAAGTACCAACCCCTGCGACATTATCCCGCGACCTGCGGCCCCCGGGACTGCCTGCTCAAGGCATGTTCGGGTTCGGATTGGTTGCCTTGTCGTGACAAGGGTTTCTCATGCATGTGCTTTCATGCGGTGAAAGTTTGTCAGATTAGGCGTGTGTGGATAGGTTGCTGGGGCCAGAAAGCACAATCGACCAAATACAAGGCTTTATTGAAGGAACAGAATTGTCCAAAGGAAGGCTCATGAATCGGTCTTAAATACATAGAAAATTGTATGTGTGCCCAATTAGTTCCCGATTAGCAGGGGGGCCAAAGGGCCTAAGAAAAGAGTGTTCAAGCAGTCAAGCACGAGCCGCTTGCGCACATCTGCTTCGCAGTGCGGATCAAGGCAGGCCGGAGCAGCCTGCTGATGCAACCGACTTTGCCATTGACAATGTCGCCGTAAATGCCGTTATTTGTATCCTCTCGACTGACTCTCTTGGCGACCACATTCATTTCCCGTATGGTCTTCGATTAACTTCTTACAAATACCCTGGGCACCTTAGTTCCTTCATTCATTCCTCTGCCGTCCTCAACTTTCAGCTAGTCGTATTTTCAGTCTCTGGCCACTCGGAAGATGCAGATCCCCACGCTTCCGCTCAACGACGGCAATGCTATCCCCATGGTAAATACAACTTCTCCCTCACATCATGTCCGGAAATGACGCTAAAAGGACCCTTTCAGCTTGGACTCGGCACTGGGACCACGTGGTACAAGGACAACCCGGAAGATCCTCTGAGTCCCCAGCTCGTTGAACTACTCAAGGCAGCTCTTGTAAATGGCTACGTACACATCGATACTGCAGACTCATACGGAACTGAGCGAGAGGTTGGCCTAGCGATACAGCAAAGCAGCATTCCAAGAGCGAAGCTCTTCGTCACTACCAAGGTCCAGGATGGATGGAAAGATGCTCCAGCAGCTCTGGATGCCAGCCTTGAGAAATTGCAGTTGGATTACGTGGATTTGTAAGGACTCTCATCTGGTGCGGAGCTCACCGTACTCACGAACTAGCAGGTACCTTTTGCACAACCCGTACGTGATTGCCTCTAATGAAGATATACAAGCAGCATGGAAGGGGCTCGAGATCGTCAAGGCGCAAGGAAAAGCCAAGTCTATTGGCATTTCCAACTTCCAGAGGCATCACATCGAAGCCCTTCTCAAGACATGTACTGTTAAACCAGTAATAAATCAGCTGGAATTCCATCCCTATCTCCAGCGTGCCACCGATTTCGTGCCTTGGATGCGCGAACATGGCATTGGAGTATCATCCTTCAAAAGTTTGGCACCAATCACTGTAGGCAAAGGCAGGCCTCTGGACGAGCTCCTTCAGTCACTCGCAAGCAAGTATAGGGTAACGGTATCGGTGGTATTACTGAGCTGGTGCATTGGACAAAATATTGTTCCCATTACTACAACGTCTAGCCAGTCTCGCCTTGACGAATACAGCATTGCTACTAAAGTAGTGCTGGAACAGGCGGACGTCGAGGAAATTAGCCAGGCTGGACTCGAGCATCACTTCAGATGGTGGGGAAAGGAAATTTTTTAAACCGAACGACAGATCATATAAGCACCAAGAGAAGGGTGGAGAACTTTGAAGCAATGGAACCACAAGTTCCCTGTCGTCTAGAACTGTGCCCCCCCTTGGTAATTTCACCAACAATCATCCATGTGCCTACTTACATCGCCCGTTCGATGAAATTCTAGTATTGCCGAGTGACCCAAGTAACAACATATGGGAGTGGGCTTCGCTTGTCAGGTCGTTTGGCACAAGACCTAACGGCGTAACTAAATCTGCAAGGTGGCAAAATGACCTGAGGAATGAGAGCCGCCCTGCTTAGGAGCCATCCTGCCCCTGAGCAGCAGCTCATGTGCACACCGCGAGTATTCGTGAATTTTCATTCATTTCTACTTTCTTCAACTGAGATTTGTTCACTGCTCTAAATAAATGTCTTATCAGGCGTCAGCTGTGCTCCTGCTCCTTGACTTTACTTTATTTGAATAGGCATGTGCAGGTGAGTGAAAAATTTCCGCCACTTACAGTCCATCTCTATGAGCAATACTGCAAGCAATAGGTACATGTATAGGCCGAGCTCTTACACAAGATAAATATGGTTCATAAATTGACGCCTTGCCGCATAAAAGCAACGTTTGGCTAGACGCTATAACGCTAATGGACTCTGTAAAGGTACCTATATTAAGATGGTAAAATTATAATACCAGAGAAGGTTTCAGCCATATATAAAAAAAAGAGTTTAATACTAGGTTACCTCCGAGGGCAAGTACGAAGACGGGCTAAGCTAACAAGCACCAGAAAATATAAATAGCATATAAGCCCCGATCAACTTCTTTCTCAAATATTTACAGCAAAGAGTAAGAGAATTTAAGAGAAAGCAAAGGAGTCTTCGCCATGAACATGAGTAACTTCCTTATCCGCCTTCTATGGCCCAGATCTAAGACTCGCAGCTATATCCTTCAACTACCGGTCGAATTACTTGTGGAAATATTTTCTTTCCTTCCTCCTTACAGCCAATTGCTCATCTACCAGACCTGCCGGCCCCTACGCGCAATCATCCATCGATATTTTCTTACTGGGGAAGGGATCTTGGTCACACCGAATGATAGATTACTTTATCTCACTCATCTCGCCAGGTCTTTGCCCGATCGGTGGGTTTGTGCCAAATGCTTCAAACTTCATCAGACTTGCAGCTGGGACACACCGTCATTTCGCCCCAAATATTATCCAAAGTGTGGAGACGGAAAGAACTGGGATTTGGAAAGACACGACGAATCTCAAATATTCTTCAATTATCAATATTTTCTAGCGCATAGGCATATCGAACTCACGCTTAAGTATACTCGGCTAGAGAGCCAAAAGAGGATACATCAGAAACACCTTAAAAGGCTTCTTACACCATATCACGCCCCCGCAACTCAACGGCCTGCGGATATCGACGTAGCCGAAAACATTCTATCCCAGCGCTCATTTTACCCCAAGGTTGTGGATGGGAGATATTTACTTCTCACCGTCCAGACTTATCTTGGCATCGGTACTACGGTATCACGACAGTCCATAAAGTTCATTATATTGTGTCCTCATCTATGCTCTTTTACCTCCTTTCGCTTCCGGAATGGTCTGAAGTTAGATCTAGATATGATTTTGTACATGGGGTTCTCAGCACCACTAAAATTTCGAAGTTTTTTCCCCTGTCTTGCTTGTAGCACTGATGTTTGTATACAAACCTCACCAGAGCGCGTTGTTATATGCACGTGGCAAGACTTGGGACCGGAAGGAACTGTATATGATCCGAATTGGGAGGCAATAGTGCGCAACACTACAAGTATCCATCACGAGAATGGAAGCATTCGAGGGCTATATGGTCAACACGAGCACAGTGGTGAAATATATTAGATAGTTTGGAAGTCAGTTCTTCTTAATCTATATATTTATTTCCGAACAGTCCCAGCAGCAAAGCAAAGATATACTAGTTTCTAATCCTGCCATGAATTAGCCAAGGGATGGTTCCCTCAAATGAATCAGTCATGCTGTTTCGCAAGCTGTTATTATCCCATGAGGAGTAATTTCGTCATCCCGTGACTCTAGGTTGTGTGAAATGGCCATAGAGACAAGATTTGAAGCCATAAAATGTTGGAATATTATGTTAGTCGCTGCTTTGGCCCTACTTCGACAAATTGATGAACCCAAGATTGGAAATCCAGAATTTGGCATTCGAAATGATGAGTGGTGGGTTAATATTTATATCAAGTTTAATAATCTCTCTAAATACTTAAATGAAGCTGGTAATTTCCTAAAAATGATGCGATGGGTTGCCGATAATGTTACACTGAAGCCAAAGCTTCTCAAGATGTCGCGCTGAGTAGTATGCATTAAACGCCAATTCTCGGGTCTACAACTGGTATCAAATGTAATCCTGTTGATAATTGCCTTATTTACTCACAATACTTACAAAAATACGACACGGCCATCCAAATATTGGCTGACAAGAAAGATATCATCGACTGCTACGACGAAGTCCCTAATAACGAGTTGACGCCGTGTACTGTGCATTGTGGCAAGATGAGACAGGGCCTCGAGAAGGCTCCAAGAATAAGAAATTGAGAAAATCTTAGCTCAGAATTCTGTGTAGTGATTTCTGTCAGCCACGCCAAATAGGGAGGATGATATATTGTGTGTTCCCATCACTAGTCGTCACAATTGTCATGATGAGTCGATAACTAACGAATAGTTCATTTCAACAGGTGTGACGTGAGTTCTTGTATTTGACATGTGCAGACCGTGAGCATTCGTGAATTTTCATTTATTTCTACTCATTTCCACTGAGATTTACTCCCTGCTCTAAATTAATGTCCGTATCACGCGCCGGCTACGCTCCTTTCTTTGGCTTTGTTTTTCTTGAATAGGCATGTGCAAGCGAGTGAAGAACCCCCATCGAATGCACCTACAAAATTGTTGGGCTTTGCGACATTCCAACCCAAAGCTTTGACCATTGGAATTGCGGCGTATTTAATTTGTCTGTGAGGGGTTCATCAGGAGTTCATGCAGGCTAGGTAATTTGCCCTCTACAAACCTGAATGGTTGGACGGGTTACCTCTGCCACCTCTGTGAACTGATACATTCAAACTCTGAGTGTCAGTCAGATCAGTTGACTGTGACGCTTACCACGCAGTTTGTCTGAACCCGCTGTGAACGTCTTCCGATGAATTTTCACACTATCAGTGCAACCAGTTCATCAACGACTACCTAGTAATACAGCAGGCTCAGGGGCCAGCGCTTTCTCGTGAACTTGGCCGATCACATTTGGAGTGGAAATGTACAGAACCGATATTAACAATGAAAACCAGAAGGCTCCGGAGCGCGTAATGCTCCCGCGGACGGAACCAACTGTTTATAAGGGATTGATCGTTGTTCCGATTGACCGGATGGTAATAGATTCGCGCGACATCCATTCACGCTAAGAGCTTTTGTTATGACTCTTAATTGGTCCACGTGTAACAAGTCTGAGCGCAGTTTGCTATATTGTCACTGTTGGAGGTTAGACATAAATAGCCGCGATGTGTTGGATCAAGCAAATCCCATTAATTCCATTAACTCCTCTCCAAATCGCAGCTCAGTCAGATACGGTTTTGACAAAAATCAGCGATACCTGTATACTACCGAATTCGGTGACCAGCTCAAATTTCTGCAAATTTTTCAGCGATTCTGGGGCTTTGGGAGAGGAAACATTGGCCGTATTCTTATAAATTCTCGAAGCACTGACCGTCAGAATAGTGAAAGCTGTCAAGTAACTCGGGCAGAGAAAGATCACCGACGCCGCAATAGCACCCAATTGTGCATGGAGCGATATACGTGCGCAATTCGCAAAAGATCTAAAGCGGCTGGAATTACGTCTTAGGCAGCTACGAAGAGAAACTGAGGCTAGAAGTTTCATTTCAGCTATGGAATCGAATACTGAGCTCGTGCAGCTATATGAAGAGCATTTTGCAAACTCATCGCCCTTATCTACCTCCATGCGCTGCCATACTATGCCATTTATACGAAATCCGGAATTTTTTGGCCGAAAAGATATTCTAGATATGATTGATAAATCTTTCTGTGAACAATCAGTCCTTCCTACTTCAATAGCGCTCTGGGGAGCTGCTGGCATCGGCAAAACACAGATTGCATTAGAGTACGCGAATAGGCTTTGGTCGGAGGGATTCAATGTCATTATCTGGATCTCAAGTGAGACAAATGCCGAAAGGGCAAAATCTTACAGTGACGCAGCCAGGCAACTCCAATTCAGCGAGTTCTCCGAGACCAATACCCCAGAGAAAAACCAACACCTAGTCTTGCAGTGGCTCCAACGAACAGGTAAGACAGTGGAGACAATGAATATGTTGAAAGGCAACAGGATGATTGACGAAGAGTTCGTTTCAACAGATGTACCGTGGCTTCTTGTATTTGACAATGTGGAATGCCAGGCCGATCTACAGAGCTATTTGCCAACAGTTGGCCAGGGCAAGATCCTTATTACTTGTCGCAGTGAAATTCTTGCAGGCTCAGGAGTCACCGCACGATCTTTCGAAGTTCCGCCTTTCACATTGTCGGAGAGTACAGAAATGATCCTCCGAATCACCGAGCAATGCGAAGCACCAGAGACAGAAATCCAAGCAGCAAGGGAGATTTCTGATGAGCTTGGCGGCCTGGCATTGGCCATTGATATTACTGCAAAGCAAATTAAAAACTCCCGTCGATTCAGATCCGTCCAGGATTTTATTCCGTATTTACGGCGCAATCCGAAAGCGGGATATACACGACTGAAGCACTCAAAAGGGCAAGATGACTACTGGTACCCACACGACCTTGACAACATTTGGCGTATAGCTTTTCAGAATCTAAGTGAAGATGCGGCGGTACTGATGAATTTAATTTGCATTTTGAGCCCTGAATCTATTCCACAATATCTCTTCCAACCAGAAGAGACGCATGCTGACCGGGCTAGACCTGTTAGAAGATATTGAAAGGTGGTTATTCTACGTCCACAAGGCTTCACGGCTTACGTGCTAACAATAGCTTCATAGAGTTGAAGACGCTAAGGGCGAGCTACTTTATGCGTCTCTTGTCAGAATCAACCCCGAGACAGGTTTGATGTCCATCCATCGTCTCCTACAGCATGCATACTTTCTGGGCATGTCGATAGCAGCCCGCAAGATATCTATTCACAATGTTTTGGTACTGTTAAGATCTTACTTTCCCAAATACGATGGGGCAAACCATCTTTATTCCCAATGGAACCGTTGTGCTGCACTTCATCACCATATTCAGACTCTCAGAGATAAGGTGGTTGCCTTGAAACCCACAGAGCCAATGGACGACAATGACCAAGGGTTATACACTGAGCTCATTCATGATGACATTTGGTGTGGTTCTATTTGACAAGGGAAACTGTTTGCATTGTTTCTAATTCAACTCTAGGTATATGATCGAGATTCAGCATTTTTCGGACGCCGAGCGTTCCCTCTTGTCTCTTTTAGAGACCGCGGGGAAAGATTCCGCATTCACTGCCAAAGTTCACCGAAGCCTGCTAGGGCTCTATGAGAGAACCGGCCGCAGCATTCGTGCTAAGAGTTCTGCGTCCTTGGAGTTCGAGATTGTTGGAAGACATTCTCAGAGTGTAGGCAACGATGTTGCTAATGCCTGGAGCAATATGGGCTACACAAGAATTTCTGCCTTTGAGGCTTCAGATGGGGTACCCTATCTTGACAAGGCGATATCGATGGCTAAGGACGTGCCTGAGCCAATGCGCTGTCAACAATTCAACATTGACCGCTTCTTGCGCAACAGAGGACGCGCCAACGAGCAAATGCAACGTTTCGAAGACGCCTTACGTGACTTTGACGAGGCAGAGTACTACCAGGAGAAAATCCACGGACCAGGCAGTCATTATGATGGAGAGTGAGACAGCCCCCTATCCATTTTTTTAATACACGTCAATTACTAATGCATATAATTCTTCAACCCATCCAGAACCCAATATGAGCGTGCCAAGATTGAAGCGTGGCGTGGCAACCTCGAGGAAGCATACTCACTCGCCATGAAAGCTCATGATCTGGTGTCTGCAGGCAAACCTACACACGCGAGTGTAATGGCAGCACAGTACCGCCTGGGATGGATTGCTATGCTCCAAGGGGGAAATGATCTTGCATTGCAACACTTTGAGAAGTCACTGGTTATTTCAAGGATCAATGAGCAGCACAGAGGGAACTCGGGCGAGTCGGCCAGGATTCAATGGCGTATGTCACAAGTCATGGAGCGCATGGGCAGAGAAGAAGATGCTAAGTCTCTTCGGGACGCGGCTGTAAAGGTCAAAGCCAGTCTGCTTGCTACCGGAGACTACGTTCAAGTTGAAGACGAAGACAGTTCTTGGGATGCACTGGTCGGCTTACTATATCGTTGAGGAAGTTACAAAGCCAGTTTTGGTCGGTAAGCGCAAGCACAAAGAGATTGGTATTTGACGAATACACTTGTGCTCCTCAATGTTTCCGTTAATTGTATTCACTTCAACTTTTTTTTGCGAAAATACAGTCGAATGGAGTTTTTTCTATTCTCTTCTTTTTTCTTTTCTCTCAGTCTCAGTGTCCGTGCCATCATGTTACGACCAACTTGGATGTTGAAAACGTTTCACGATGAAGATGCAACTTTCACCACAACTAGGCACTGTTTATGCAGGTGTGAACTACCGATGCAATGTTATTGCTACTGGCCACAGCCACGTTTTTTTATTTGCAGTCCGAACAAATTGTTACTCAACCCCAAGGGTTGACAGTAATACATGGTTGCTTCAGAATCTGTCAAGTATACAAGTATACGATATTTTAGTGGATATTTCATGATGCCACTCGACCGAGGTCTCACACAAAAGCCAGATGAAGCAGAAGAAAAAATCCCATTGCAGGATGGGAAACCATTATCTTACAAGTCTCCAGCAAAGCCTCCGTTTGCAGCAAAACGCAGCTGGTATTCCCTCAAGTCGGCCCAGTGTCGCAGCTCTTCCTCTTCATCTTCCGCCGTCATCTGGAGCGGGTCTGGAGCACGCGTCTCTCCAACAGGGCCTGTCTTTTCGAGCTTCACTAGGACTTCAAGGAGCTGCGACAGGGCCTCTTCTGATTTGATAGCAAACGGCCCCTTCCTTTCGGGGGCATCGTTTAGTAGTGTAGACGCAACCTGGCGAATCTTGTTGATAAGAGATCCTCCATTGGGTTCGAGATTTCGCTGCGAGATGGATCCCAGCACGGTCAACAGATTTTGGACAATAATTTCTCGCTCAGCAGACATGAACTCTAAAATCTCCTTGTCATCTTGTTGAATAGCCTTCTCCTCTTCGCTTGTACCCTCAACTTCGAGAGTCTGTTGCTGCTCACTCAGGTGGACATCTCTCAGGTTGAAGTACAGCTCCACAAAATATGACCTCGTAGCCAGTTGCGACACAAAAATATTAGCCTTCTGTATCTCGTACTGAAGCTGTCGGCGCCTCGTAGGTTGCGTCTTGATGATATTGCGCACGTCGTGTGGTGGTTGCGTGTTGGGCCACACTGGCGGCACGTACTGGAGGCCGGAGTCTTCCATGCCAGCCAGAGGATTTGTTTCGTCTCCGGGATTGCCCAGCTGGAGCTCCGGTGGCAGGTTATCAATAATGCTCTTGGCAGCCAAAAGACCATCTCTAAGGAGCAGCCTTTGATCTGCCCAAGGAAGAGTGCTCATGCCATACGCAAGCTCCAGGCTGACGACGCCATTCATGGTTGTGTAGATGTCAATACCGAACCGAAAGCCCGTGAGAAGTGTGACACTGCCCTCTGCCTGGTGAATAATCTCGTTTGCAAGAACGCAAATGTCATCTACATTCTCGGGGTATGCGGGATAAGGAAGACTGGGTGTTGATGGGGCAATAACGATGTCGGTATGGGAGGCGCCGAGCTGCGAAAACGAGCTATGGATGGAATTAGTGGGCAGTTGATAGACAGCAAGAAATTGGGGTTAAGAAAGAAGCCTTACCGAACGCCTAGCAGCAGGCACCAAAAGATACGCTTGCCAATCTGGTCCTTAACATGATTGAACGGCATCGAGTCGGGAGCAAAGCTGTCACTCCCAAAGGTGGGCAATTCTCCAGGGTGTTTGGGTCTGCTGAAGCCGAGTTCTCTGAGCAGAGTCAGTGTTTCTGCCATGAAATGGCGAGATGCATTCCACTGCAGAGTGTAGCCGGACGCCAATCCAAGGAAATAGCTGGTGGCAGCATCGTCAAGCGTTTTTGGTTGCTTCAAAACCCACCTACTCCCACGTGTAATGAGGGCAATGTCACGACATTTTTCAATCATGACAATGGCCTTGGGGAATAGATGTGTGCTGTGCTGCGCCTTGAGGTGTTCTCTCGCACTGCGTGGAAACGATGCGACCAAAGTACCAATCATGCTAGCCAGCAGTCCCAAGAACTCAGGCTTCAATCGATCCTCCCTATTCGCAAAGGACTGTCGAAAGGTAGGCTCGTGTGGAAACGGGGCAAGCGGGTGGATATATGTAAAGAAATCGTCCACCAGGAGCTCCAGCACGGGCATTGGCGCAATTGCCTCTGCGTCCAAGACGCCATCCGTCGAGATGGTCATGAGCGTCTTGGCAGCATTCTGAGGCGATGGAGACGAGGGGAAGCCCGGGGGGGCAACAGCCGAGTCGATACGAGCTCTCTTAGCCGCTTTGGCAGCTTCGGCATGCTTGTTGGGCGGTCCGCGTCTCTTGGTCTCGCGATTGAAGGTACAGTCAACGCCCAGCTCGCGGCAAGGGCGACAAGGCATGTTAGAGTCGTCGCACTTGACCTTGCGCATGCTGCACATGTCGCAGGCGCGTCGAAGTCGCGTCAGCTTGGGGTTGATGGTGGGATCGCGCATGACGCCTCCCGGCCCAGCCACGAGATGCTGCTGAAGCTGTCCCGGCGCCAGCTCTGGAGCGGGCGCGATGGGCACGCCGACGGCATGGGACTGGGCGACGGCCTCGGCAGCGGCATTCTGCAGAGGATGGTGGTTCTGGATGGCCTGAGCAGCATCGCTGGCCGCCTGCAGGATCTCCAGCCCGTTGCTGGCGTAGGCGTGGGCTGTGGCGTGCTGCGACGGCGACGGTGGGGGAGATGCCGACATGGCGAGATCGAGACGACGAGCGAGGCTGTTGTCGCGATGGCTGATTGTCGGCGGATTCCCGGATGTTGTGGGTTGTTGAAGCGAGGTGACGCCGATACCGAGACGCAAGCGAGAGAAAGATTGGGGGATGGCAGTGCCAAGTCACGTGGTTTGTCATGATTTGCTATTGGGTACAGGGTAGGCCGTCAAGCCGTGTTGGCGAGCCGTGTAATATTGTGTTGGGTATTGATGCAGGATTTTTTGTTCATTGTCAGGCGAAGACATGTACGCAGCTAATTCATCTTCTATTCAGATATGTAATTCACCTTGTTGACTTGGCTCATCTTTAGTGGACCATGGCTGTGAGGTACTAGTAGAATTGGTGTTTTGGAGTACCAATATATTGCCTAAATCATACGAGTATCGCGTAGAACAAACGTCGAATTGACTTGGATTGCGAGAACCGTCATCAAATACAAGAGGTCATCTCTAGACGCCCAACAGGGAAACACATGCATCGCTTCTCTCACAATTTTTTATTCACTCACAAAGTATGATTTCGGCTTTGCAACTGTATTCTCGGTTTCACTAGCAAAACCAACTCCACCTGAAAAGAACGTTGCAAAATCCACGCGTAAGCTTGACGTAGTGGCCGTATAAACGTGCAGTTTGCATGCCATACTAGCATCGTTTAGGAAGGGAACAGTCTCGTTGTCAGCGATTTTGAACTACTCGCAGATCGGCTTCTGTGCGAGCCGATCAACGGCTGTCGTGACGCGCGACATTTTTTTCTCCCTGGCTTCTCTCTGGCTGGAAAAAAGTCTCTCGCACCCACACCTTTGTCGAGTGAGGTGGGTAATATTGGGTGCGTGCCAACGTGCTTCAGAAAAGCACGTGAAAAAGGCTTCATCCATCTGGCCACCATTTTGCTTGTGTCAGTTCATGACGAGTGCAAGCTGTAGGTTTGATAAAAGCCATCAAGGTTTAACATCATAGAGATTCGAATTTAACCGATAAAGTGAAATCTCTGGTGGCTCCCCCCCAAGTGCGTACATACATGTAGTTTTGATAGGTAGTATGCATATTCAGGACAGGACATTCTGCTCCGACAAGACGCTTCAGAGTGTCTCTGCATCATTAGCAACATGCTTCAACGCACAGCTGTGGGTATTTTAGCGGCATGGCTGTCAGGGACGGACGGGATCGGTGACAGGCAGCAATTCTCCAAAATCCAGTTTAGCAAGTAGCCTATTACGAGTACTCGGATCTTTTCTTTTAGGAGGGCAGCTGTCCAAATTGACACCGGGTGCATACAAGAGTTACTCCGTGCCTGAGCCCACCCACAGGTGGTGTGTATGTATTTCAGCTTTGAAAGCCGCAGCCATACAGGTACTCGGACGCTGAACACATGGGCTGAAATTAAACAAAGAAATGAAATGATTTTCATAAGAGTCACATGCTGCGGATTTCTCTATTCATTCACCGCCGGCTGTCTCAGATAGAGTTTACGAGTATACGTGTACGCACAAGCACAAGCTGCCTTCTCCTGAACGAGCTCCTTTTCCCAGGCCAGCGGTAAAAAGGGGTGCTTCGTCGACCTGGGGGAAAGAAGCAATGGCCGCTCCCCCGCTAAGCTTGAGCTTCTCCGTACGGAGAATCTCCGCTGGATCCAACCACAGCCTCACTATTGCATGGAGTCGTGGGCGCTACCACGTATTCCGGGCGGCGCGCTTTTTGCTTGGTGAATTGCCATGAACCATTTTGCCCCGTTCGCCATATTTTGTTTTCCGAGGCTTGTGCTGGAATTGCCTTAGTGCTGCTCCACTGGCCAGGTTGCCAGCGAGGTTCATTTCATTAGCATTTGTTACCACTGCGTCCCAGCTCACACGCCCGACCTCAGTCCAAAAAGAGCTTCTGCATTCGAAAAAGTCGAACACAGGTTGAAGGCTAAAACTAGAGCTTACAGTGTTGGTACCTGCTGAAGTACCCAGCAAGTTTCTGTAGACAGACAAAGAGACACATTCAAAGGCAATGCCTAGATTTTCATTCGGCCCGAGAGGTGTTTACGAACAGCCTTCCCTAAAACCCCCTCTTTGAGTGAATTTATGGACGGATGTGGTGAAGAGAGCGGCATCTGGTTGGGTGTGAAGGCGCTTCAACGGTTGTGTGCGGGCTGAGGTTGTGAGAATCTCGACGGCGTTGCACCATGTGCCAATAATGGACCAGGTGTGTAGAACTCCGCCCTCTTTGTATGAGCAGCACAAGTACATAAGCTGTACTCGTATACGATAAATAC